ACAGTCGTACCGATCTCGCCCGCTGGCTGAGGTGTTCCAATGGCACGAGCGTCAGAAGCAGTCGGCATACGGTGCCCGGATCCGGGAAGTTGAGCACGCGTCGTTCACCCCGATCGTCCTGTCTTCTGCTGGTGCCCTGGCGAAGGAGGCCACCTGGTTCCTGAAGCCGCTCGGAACGAAGCTCTCCACCAAGCTCTCGCAGCCGCTTATCCCCTCGTGATGGGAAAGCTGCGGACGGACCTGGCTTTCAGCCTTGTCCGCGACTCCGTCCTGATGGTTCGTGGGAGTCGCCGTGCATTCCGTGCACCTGGTCTGGCGGCGGATGTGGATGCTGTTTCTGTGGAGGCCCGCATTCCCGCCACTACGTGACGCTAAGTCCTCCTGGGGTTTGCCGCTCTCCGGTCCTCTTTCATCCCGTTCTCCCCTCTTTTTTAGGGATTCTTTGTACTTCGTCTTTCTTGTTTTTCTTGTTTCCTTTGTTTTTTGTAGGACAGATTTTTGGTGTACTGATTTCGGTTGTTGTTGTGTCTGACTCTATTCCCAATATCTAATTCTGTGGTTGGTTTTCCAACTCATTGGGTTGTAGTTTCCATCATGAGTTTGATTCCATCGTGAGTTTGATTCCATCGTGAGTTTTGATTCTATTTGCTATTTTTCGTTCCATTTTTGAGCTCACATCTAATTATTACTTCAAGTATTATTCAAACAGTAGTTTGGAGGCGGTGGGAAAAACAGTTTCGTAATACGTATTCGCATTGTCGTAAGTTGTATAGTGATGATATCTTTACGATTTTGACTCGTGGAAGGTCTAAGTTACATCTTGCTGTGTTAGAAGCTCTGTATATTCGTAAACCAGATCCAGAACTATGTGTACAGAAGGAGAATGTGTTATCGTTGCAGTTGTTTGGTGTCACACCTCGTGAAAGTGTGACAAGTGTTCCCTGATGTGTTCAACGTGTTTGTCTACAACTTGCAGCTGTTTGTTTTTGAGTTTTTAACACTTTAATCATTTTTAACACCTATGTTGAAGTGTTGACTTTTTCTTTCTTTCATTCTCTATATAGTTATGTGTTTTTCTAATTTCCAACATTCCCTGTACTATCCTGAAGAGAAGGGAAAGAAAACGTTTGATAGAAAAAGTGTCTACTGAATCAAGTATTATTGTTATTATTTTTATTTTTCAAACTCCATTTTTGATTACTGCTGCATAATTTGGGCTGGCATTTCTAAAACACTGATTGCTCGACTCGAAGTTATGCATAGGCGTCTTTTGAAAATATTATTTCGGCTTCCTCGCCTGACTCCAAGCGCAGACTTATACCGCCTTGCTTCTGCTGTGCCGCTCTCGGTCCGCGTGCGTTTTTTGGCATGCCAGACAATTCATAAAATTAAGCTGGGCATTGCTCCTCTTCATGCTCTCTCCTGCCTAAGCTGGTTTGCTCAATCTCAAGACATGCGCACCAGAAACTCTCTCCGCTTCCCTATTGCGCGGTCTGCCTCTATGCAAACATCTCCTCTCTTCCTTGCTTACCGCCATTGGTCTCTCCTCCCACAACATCTAAAATCCTGCCAATGTTACAATACATTCACACAGCTACTGCAGAATGCAACATACTAGTTGATATCCAGCCCTGCCCTAGCTTCTCCTGCTTTTCAGTTCCCCTTTCATTCTTTTTCTTTCTCCCCTCTAGCTCTATTACCGCCATGGCTGGCTATCGCCCACATCACCATTTCATTGGCTAGTGCCACGTGAATAAAAACAAGGAAACTCAAAGAAATCCAGTGGAAGCCGCGGATGATTATAATCTTCGGCGGAAAAGCGAGGTCTCGAGCTGATTTTCATTGACTGGATTAAATCTCTCAAATGTCCCGCTCAGCGGCAACTATCCATGGTAACCACGAATTATTTTCAAATTTTCCCTCAGTGTGACCGGCCCCTTAAGGCCGATTCACAATACAACTTTCTGCGACGCGACATGCGACTTGCGACACATGCGACGAGCTGCGACAGCGACACACGGTTCACAATATTCTTCATGTTTGCGACATCCTCAAATTCCTCATGCACAAGTAGTACTATGCACGTGCACTGCACGTACACTGCAGGTGCACCCAGGGTCGAAACTGTACTCCATTTGTGTATGTCGCGTGTCGCATGTCGCAAAAGTTGAACTTTCTTCAACTTCTGCGACAGGTGCATTGCGACAGCTTGCGACAGCTTGCGACAGCTCGCGACAGGCAATGTCTTGTCGCAACTGTCGCAAATCGCGTGTCGCGTCGCAGAAAGTTGTATTGTGAATCGGCCTTTAGCCTTAAGGCCGATTCACAATACAACTTTCTGCGACGCGACATGCGACTTGCGACACATGCGACGAGCTGCGACAGCGACACACGGTTCACAATATTCTTCATGTTTGCGACATCCTCAAATTCCTCATGCACAAGTAGTACTATGCACGTGCACTGCACGCACACTGCACGTGCACCCAGGGTCGAAACTGTACTCCATTTGTGTATGTCGCGTGTCGCATGTCGCAAAAGTTGAACTTTCTTCAACTTCTGCGACAGGTGCATTGCGACAGCTTGCGACAGGTTGCGACAGCTCGCGACAGGCAGTTTCTTGTCGCAACTGTCGCAAATCGCGTGTCGCGTCGCAGAAAGTTGTATTGTGAATCGGGCTTTAAGCGGGATTCACAGAAGCTTTTTTGCGATGCGACACGCGATGCGACGCGATCTGCGATGGATGCGTACGATGCGAACTCGCGAAATACCATTCACAGAAGAAGACAGCGATGCGACAAATTCTTGCTGATTTGGGTACGTCACCATGATATTCGCGCGGTTTGATACAACTTGTACAAATTTATAGGCAACTCTTGAACCTTTGGACAACTTTGCTGTAGAAAAGGTCAAAATCGTACGCCAAATCGCTTTTCGCATCGCATCGCATCGCAAAAGTTGAGCCAAGCTCAACTTCTGCGATGGCCTGCGATGGCCCTGTTGCGGCAGTTGCGTGGGGTCCGCGATGGTCGCGATTTGGGGATTTCCCGGTTTCGCGGCTGTCGCATCGCGTGTCGCATCGCAAAAAAGCTTCTGTGAATCCCGCTTTAAGGCCGATTCACAATACAACTTTCTGCGACGCGACATGCGACTTGCGACGCATGCGGCGAGCTGCGACAGCGACACATGGTTCACAATATTCTTCATGTTTGCGACATCCTCATGCACAAGAAGTACTATGCACGTGCACTGCACGTACACTGCACGTGCACCCAGGGTCGAAACTGTACTCCATTTGTGTATGTCGCGTGTCGCATGTCGCAAAAGTTGAACTTTCTTCAACTTCTGCGACAGGTGCATTGCGACAGCTTGCGACAGCTTGCGACAGCTCGCGACAGGCAGTTTCTTGTCGCAACTGTCGCAAATCGCGTGTCGCGTCGCAGAAAGTTGTATTGTGAATCGGCCTTTAAGGTGCTTGGTAATTTTTTCGAGAAAAAGAACAAAACGTCACGGTCTATCGATTTTTGAAGAGCACATCGATTTTTGAAGAGCACAAGGTGAGAGTCATGGCGGAACGAAGCAGAAAACGGTCGTTAGCTCAACTAATTGCTGTGGGCATCTCCCAGAGGTTTTATCCGAACTCCTTCACGATGAATAGTCCTTTTTTGGCCTGGTCCAAACGCAGTTCTGATGACAGCAGTGCCGAGGAGAGTCGAATGTGGAATCGCAGGACGCAACGCTGATCGAGCTGGACGGCCATGCGGAGGAGAATTTCGATCAGGCGTCAGTTTTGCCACCAGCCCAGCCTCTCAATGCCGGCAATAAAAAGAGTGCAGACCAAGAAAAATCGGTTCAAGTACTGTCTACAATCCAGGAGGCGCGCGACAAGTTTGACAAGGCCAAGGGCTGTAGTTGTTCCGCACTGGTGCTGTTTCCAGAGCGTGACACTTGAAACCTTGCTTTACATTTACAGCGCACACAGCGCACGTCCTGACCAAGTCAGAGCGCTGCTTGTGTGTAGGCGGAAAGCTAGACGTGCTCAGGAGGCGTGGTGAGGCTACCCAGCGCGTCCAGCATGCTGGGAGATGTGATAGATGGGGCTCAACAACACTACTCTGAACTACTGAAGACTACAGTCAGTGGCTGGTGTGGAAGTCATGTACATGCATGTCAGGAAGTCTTTGTGTATTCCTCCAGCCCAGGATCAAGCCCTGGGTGCTGAAATCTGTGCAGGCTGCTGTCAATGCAAGTGAAATCAGCCCAACACAGGAATTGAATGAACTCTGGAATGCACGGCCTGTGGAAGATGTTGTGGAGCTGAAGCATTTTAATCTGCAGATCCACATGGGCACAACAAGCCAGTACCAACCTACATGTATTTGCCCAGTATCACTACGAAGAAGCTTGTTCACCAGGCGTTCACAAAGCCTGGTGGCAAAGCTGCATACAGTACGTTTGGCAAGATTTGGAAAAGAGACTGCCATGATATCACCGATTATGAAACAATGTGTGCGGCAGATGTAGACATAACTAGGATTGATATTCTACTACCAGTACCAGATAAAACTATCAATATCCTTTAACCCGGCATTGATCCGAGCTTCTTCACTACTTTGCACCTGCCTCTACCCATCACTCCGGCTGGCATATCCTCATACAGAGCCAAATACCTCTTCCAGCAGATTCGTGAGCAACACCATCCACAGAGCAGAGATAGAATGTGTCTATCTCCACAACAGGAAGATCCAATGCCATCATAAACCTTTCCTTTTGAAGATTATGACATACAGATTTATTCTGCAAAGTTTGGTTGCAATCATGCTGCTTGAATTCTCACAGCATTGGCTCTAAAAATGTAGCATAAAATCCAGGATTTTTGCTACTTTTCCTAAAAAAATTGTAGGAAAAGTGCAAAGAAATTGTCACTGTATCTAACTGAATATGTATGCACTCCACCTCAAACTTCACCAGAATTTGAAGAAAGGGTCATGGGTCAACAATCCAGCACAAACTCGTTTTTGCAGAGCACTGGTCATTTTATTTTTTATTCTATCGCAATCATAATATTGGACAAAACAAAACAATATTGGGCATCAATGTCCGTTTGGTTTGCGATGTAAAATAAAACTTCAAACAAACAAAAGTAACCTATGTCAAGAATGGCTGCGAAAAAGTGCTCTTTCTAGCGCAAAACTGCGTTCAAAATCAGAACACATCTACACCAGCCAACATAAGTAGCAGATAGTAATGGGACTAGTGGACAGCATACATATCAAGGAGCAGGGGCAGGACAAAAAAAAGAGATGATAATTATGTGTCAGAGGACTAGAATTCTGCAATTCAATTCTTCATTCCATCACGTACAGAAAGGCCACGCTAAAAAGTAGAATCAAGGCTGCTTGTACCACCATGTTAGGCGAATGCTTCGGTGCTGTGCTGGCATAGCCCAGTTTATACTTCTGTTCAGTCTTCACTTGAGTGCCATCGACTGGAGAGAAGGCACGCATTGAAGCACAACACATTCACAAAGAAGTCAACCGGTCAGTTCGCAGCAGTATTATCTAGCAGTATTATGTATCCAATATTGACTGAGTACTTGGTAAGTGTAGGAAATAAAAGCCGAGTAAAAGACCTCGGCTTCGCCTCGGTCATGCACTCGGCCTATATTTCCTACATTGACCTCGTACTCGAACTCAGTCAATAATTATTAGATTTATCACGACAAACAGTCTGTATATCAAATTCCACAGCGATAACAGCATGCGGCTCGGATTGTGCCATTGTTGCACAACCCGGCAAAGCAACGTTAGTTCAGTAACCATGCACTAGGTACCATTCAACTGCTCCACCAAGAGTACATGAAAACCAGAGTGTGCAGCTTGGGGCCTTCTCTGTTATGGGTGTCTGTCACGGCGAAATTCCGTGATTACATCATTTTGGTGCAGATCTGAGGCGGGAAATGGCGTAGTGCGTACAACTGAGCTGCAGTTGCTAGTTGTGCAGAAAGAGACCTGCTTGAATCCTGCTTGTATCCTGCTTGTACGCACTACGTCACTAAAATGATGTAATCACGGAATTTCGCCGTGACAGCAACCCATCCGAGCTTCACACTCTGGTTGTCATGTACTCTTGGCTCCACCCATAAGCAGTCAGATATAGGCAGTCAATGTAGCCCTAAGGAGTGAAATATGCAGGAATATTTGACTGCTTAGTAAGGTATAGCGATAATCAATGGGAGTCAATACTAAGGCCTCGGTCACACTACGGCAAAAATGCTGCGTCAGCGTCAGAATCATGAGCTTTTCCATGGCAACTGACGCAACCGCGGGTAGTTTGAGCGTCAGACGCTGCTGCGTCTGACGTGGGGAAATCGGCTGCGTTGCCGCAGGTGGGAGTGACGCTTGGCGGAAAAACAGTGTCTTTCAAGTAAAATTAGTTTCAAGACAGTTGCTTGAGTTGAGCATTCATTCGACATTCGTCTCTTCAAGGTTTGTTTTGTTCCCTCTTTTTTTCGAGAGGAGTCCGTGGACCTACGTGACCGAGGCTGCTCTGCTCCGAACCTGGCGGAAGAGCGAGGCGTTTTCTGAGAAGAAAATGATGTCGAGAAAGAACCAGTTGTTCGAGTGGGTCATCGGCCAACTGGAGCCTGTTGACTTGTGAGTGTTGTGTTGTAGTCAAGAGCCCCCAAAAGGACAACCAGTATGACGAAGTCAGGAGAAACACAGCTGCGATGCGGACTTTTCTTGCCTGATCCATGACACTACAACCGAAAATGGCTTGTTGTGTTCACTACTAAAGCTGTGTTCACAACTGGCGCGTGGACGCGGTACGCTTGCGGTTCATTCGCGCCCATACGCGCGCTCAAGCTTTCACAAAAAACAGCAATCCGAGTCGTATTCAGCACGTGCGACACCTTCGAGTACTAATTTTTGGACCCCGCCAGTCAAAGTGACTGGCATGTACTCTGGTACGCGCCTGATACGCGCTGAAAATTCCAACATGCTGGAATTTCCATTTCGGTGCGTATCCATACGCATGACGCCCCAAAAGCCAGCAAAAATACGCACAAACGCGTGGTTTCACGCGTACACGCGCCAGTTGTGAACACAGCTTAACACCTCAAAAGTTTCAGGATCGCACAGACGCCACAAGACAAAAGGTCACGTAATTCTTTACGGACTATAATGAATGAACAGTAGAATACATTGAGAAGAAGAGACTGGAAAAATACGAACTACATCGGAAAGAGAACTCTAGAACACTAAAGAAAACAAACCACAGCATCAAGGAAAAGAACAACGCATGAGGGGTAAAGCGCTGGCCAGCCACAAAGCGGAAGCTAAATTTGGCGGCAAAGCGACAGCAATAGTACGGCGCGAGGCACATAAGCAATACGAGGCGCGGCACGTATACGCGTGTGCGGCAAACATTACACACCATGTACCATATATGCATGAACAGCGCGGGGCGCATACTAAAGCTGTGTTCACAACTGGCGCGTGGACGCGGTACGCTTGCGGTTCATGAGCCCCCAAACGCGCGCTCAGCCTTTCACAAAAAAACAGCAATCCGAGTCGTATTTAGCGCGTGCGACACCTTCAAGTACTAATTTTTTTGACCCCGCCAGTCAAAGTGACTGGCATGTACGCTGATACGCGCCTGATACGCGCTGAAAATTTCAACATGTTGGAAGTTCCATTTCGGCGCGTTTCCGTACGCATGGCGCCCCAAAAGCCAGCAAAAATACGCACAAACGCGTGGTTTCACGCGTACACGCGCCAGTTGTGAACACAGCTTTAAGCTGTGTTCACAACTGGCGGGTGGACGCGGTACGCTTGCGGTTCATGCGCGTCCAAACGCGCGCTCAGCCTTTCACAAAAAACAGCAATCCGAGTCGTATTTAGCGCGTGCGACACCTTCGAGTACTAATTTTTTGACCCCGCCAGTCAAAGTGACTGGCATGTACGCTGATACGCTCCTGATACGCGCTGAAAATTCCAACATGTTGGAAGTTCCATTTCGGCGCGTTTCCGTACGCATGGCGCCCCAAAAGCCAGCAAAAATACGCACAAACGCGTGGTTTCACGCGTACACGCGCCAGTTGTGAACACAGCTTAACTCATTCAACATCAGTGCGCGGCGCAGGCATCTTATAGCTAGCTGGCGCAAGCATGATCATAATTGCATGCCATCACGCAATCAGTGCACATAAATCGCGCATCAAATAAATAAGTGATCAAACACAAATCAACACATCAACTAAATAAATCAACGAGCTAGCAAGAACACAATTCAAAAATGCAACGAAGAAATAATTACTATTCTAGTCGGTTATTCGCATGGGACCAAGCGCAATGTCCAAGCTGATGAACTGTGATTGCACAAGGTAAGCCCAAGCTCCTGAGCTAACCGTTCTGGTGTGCAGTCTTCTTCGTGCTGCAAACACACACTACACAATGTGTCGTATCTCATAACAAGTACTGTACCAAATCACAACGAACACTAACAATACGCAATAGTAAACAATAATCAAAAACACTACGCAAAAAAGCAAAGCAAGCAGCACCTAGCCAGGGAGACAAGCAGGAGTCACGGTCGCAACGAGATCTCGACGACACCCCAGAAGACCTTTCTCCGACACGATACACAACATGGCTTCCAAATTCGGAAAGAAACAACAACGATCGTGCATGCACGCGTGGACCTTTCGTCTTCTTGTAATCAAAAATCAATGACAAATTTGAAAACTTTGTCCGACAATTTTTTTGGTATGATAAGCAAAAGGCCGGTTTCCGTGGGAATCCGTGTCGTCATTGAGTTTCCCTGGTGATTTTGTGACGTAGACAAATGCGTCAGGCCGCGGCAGTCATGAGCTGCAAAAAAAACAAAACACTGTGTGACCCCGCGTCTGCGTCAAGTGCTGCGGCTTGACGCTGCGTCCAGCTTCAAACTGCCGTAGTGTGACCGAGGCCTAAGAGAGTGATAACTAGCAGCATTATCTAGCAGAATGTGTTGCACAGAAGCCACCAGAAAATCCCATGGCGCATGTGGTGGTCTGGTTGTGTTTATTTGAATTCGCAAACCGAACGGACTGAACATGTCCAATGACAAGGAAGCGAACGAGGTCCAAGTAACCCAGGAATGGGAAATCTCGGCAGGAGACACAGATGAAAAGAAAATATGGGAACAGAAAGCCCTCAGCAAAGGATGAAGAGAAAAAGAAAGAAAGAAAAAAGAAAGAAAGGAGAAAAAGAAGAAAAAAGAAGAGATAAATCGTGGCATGTCCCTTGACTCGTCGTCTTCGAGTGATGCGCAAACGGAGACAAACGCTTTACCTGGTTCATTCACGTTGAACCAGGCTGGGGCCTGGTTCATTCACGTTGGACCAGGCCGGGGCCTGGTTCATTCACGTTGGACCAGCTTTCTGGTTCGTTAGTAGGGTGATGTAATTGGAACTAGTCCAGGGCTTCAGTTTTGCACTTTGGGTCGAATTTCACGTAACTATGTTTCCAATCACAGCTACTACAAGACTAGTATGGTATCATAGCAGGGGCGTCGCACACGCTACAGTCACTACGGTATTGACCGTACCACTCTTCGCCCCAAGTACCCCGTGAATCAATAAAATGCACTGATTTGGGCTCTAAATTTCCAAACATTTCGGCTCAGCCATCCCTCCCCCACCAGTAAATTGTACTTCAGATGGCTGACCATACCACACTAAAATATCTTCCGACGCCCCTGCGTAGCCTTCAGGCTCCGACAACAGGCATGTACTCATGCATACAGCCATCACAAGCCTTCTTGATATTCAGTTGTTTGATGATTGCCTAGCAGCATAAAACTCAGAGTTGCAACCAACCTGAACGTCCTCCGCTGAGTCTGCTATGTACTAAGCTCTGTATCTGACATTGAGCACTCTCTGCTATCACAAGGCTGGTATGCATTTCTTCAAGCTCCAACAACAGGCACCCACCTCTTCACACAGCCGCTGTTGTATCAGTCATTGCACTACGGACAACATTACTTCAATTGACGCAATCTCCAGTTTTAATCCGTTTTTTTTTGCTCAATGTAATTGTTCTGCAAATTCAGTTTTATATTGCCACTGCAAACTGTTAGAGCTGATCTTCACCAGGCCAGCCAGGTACTGCATAAGCATTAGACAGAGGGACTTACTAGTAATCTTTGCTCATGTATAGGTTTCATGTATTTGCATGACATCCCAGTGCTGGTTTGTCTCCTCCTTTGCCTTTTATTTGTATTCTTTTATCTGTTTTACTGCTGTGGTTGGCTTTCACCCTTGTCTCAGTTTTACTGGCCGTCATCATGATGTGCCGTGAGATAATGATATAAATACAAAAAAATACAAAACTGTGTTACAACATGCAAATGACTCTGACATACACCATTGCGTAGTCCGCCAGCAGTCCCATCAAGAGTGAACAACCCTCCAAGTCTGAGTGTGCAACTCCCACCTACCGTGCTGCTGCTGTCATCTGACAGGTTTTCAAATCAAGGTCGTTTTATGCTGCGATGCTCCTTATGCACCACGGATTTACTAAACATTTGTACGGGGTGTCAACAACGCAACACACGTTTTTCTTTGCACTAGTTTGTACAGGATCACGTGGGGCATATGAGGCTTTGTCCGCCATCGCTACAGGCTAAGTCAAGTAAGTCCTGTACTGTGAGGATCGCATCATAACAATGACGTCAACTTGAAATTCTGAGGGGACAGCGCCCATAGTCAAGTTGCGCACTCTTGGGGGTTATGTACTCTTGAGGAGGGGGGGGGGGGGGGGGGGGTGGTAGAGATTATGTCCTCTTGGTCACATACATACCTGTGCAAAATACACCATTTCCTGTAAATCCGTCTTTGCAGGAACACGTGAAAGATCCGTCCATGTTTGTACACAAGGAATTCTCGTCACAGCGGTGTGTACCGCTCTCACACTCATTTGCATCTGAAGAAAACACACACACACAAAAGTGAATTTAAAAAAAGCGATGGAAACGCAGCACTAAGGTTCAGAACAGGCCTTCGATATTATTTGCGAGTTTCACTCGCTGTCACCATGTACAAATTCATTCATCTTGGGCACCCTGTAAGAACACACATAGGGTCTGTTGGGAATGCCCAAGTAAAAATAATAGAATACTTCGAGTACAATGCAAACACGAAAATACATGACTAGGCAAGTGCATGACTGTGCATGTTGTTGTTGTATACTTTATTTATAGTGGAAATCAAAACAGGCAAAATGCCTAATAACATTGGACCCACTATGAAGGACAGCAGGGCTTTGTTGTGTAACCGTCAGGGTTTCATGGTAACAGCCAATCCTTTTTTTTTTTTTTTTTTTTTTTTGAAGAGTCGGCATGTAGCCATGGTTTCAGAACGGATTGACCAAAAAGAAACAAAGAAAAATGATGGCAGCTATGTACAGGGGATGGCCCACGCCTGGCTAACAGCCAATCACTCGACACGCAACAGAAGGATACTAGATTAGTAGTAGCAACACAGGTACAGGTGTAAGAGTTGCATTTTAATAGAAAGTATATTTTTTCGCAGTAAAAGAGTTTTTATTTGTGGAGCTTGTGTGGATACAAATTCCTAGGTTTGACCCCAAGATGGGCAGTTAGTTACATTTTTCTCTCTTTGTGTATTTGTATCTGCATGTTATTACCCTTTCCGTGAGTCGCTCGTGAGTAATGTATGAGTCGTGTATGGCTAAACCCGTATTTCCCCACTTTACCCGTATGACTGTTGTGAACTGTGATTAGCTGCTCGTAATAATGTCCCAGAATTTTCCAGAGCTGTGAACTGTGATTGTTTAATAATGGTAATATTTCTAGAATTTTGTCGGCGACCGGTTTTCGTAGATTGCGGATTGGTTAATGACCTAAAACATGGCTGCCGGTTGCCGGACTTTTGTTCCCTTGCTTTATTCCTTCTTGTTGCCTTTCTATTCTCTTTGCATTCCAAGTGTGTATAATATTTCTTTCCTGATAGCTACTGGTTAACTACGACGTGAGTGTTTAACTGGAGTGAGTGTGATTGGCTCCGGGGCCAGCTATCACACAGGTAGAGTAACACCTGCTGTGACTAACGACCACCACCCCTTGCGGTCAGAGAAAGCGGTCTTTAGTGGCAGGTGGTCCTTAGTTAGAGGTTTGTATGTGAGACGGCCCATGCCTTGCAAAGTGGTAGTAGCAGGCTGGTCGCTAGTCACGGTGGTCTTTAGTTACAGGTTTTACTGTGTATGAAGCAAAGCAGAGGAGCTAGGCAGGAGCCATCAATTCAGTGCAGTCCAGTAGTATGACCAGTGTTAAAATCAACGCTTCACAACTTCTTTTGAAAGGTTTAGAGAACGAAAAGGAACATGATGGTTGCAAGTTAAGAGTGCTAACTGTCCACCACTGGCAATATGGCGCTAAACACACGCCTGTCAACACATGCCTGCCAACACACGCTCCCTAAGCTGCAAAGTTCTGGCACAGAGCTCTCCTTCTCACCACCACCACCATCAGTTCCTTACCACCATATTGCCAGGTGTGTCTTTACCACCATATTTACTAACTGTCCACCACTGTAACTAAATACTATAATTTTACAGTCAGAAATTATAACAACTAGAGGTGGTCAGTTTGATGGTCATTTTTTCCTATGATTCTTTGTTTGTTTCTTTACCAATGTTTGCCGCTCTAGTGCTGCTGCATTACACATTGCCCGCTACTTTTCGTAGTTAGAGCACTCTGGCGCTAGAGCGATGAGCTATCTTAATGTCTGTGGTGCCTTCTTTGCACCATGGCTGGTAGATCGGCTTGCGTAAAGCTCGTAGCTGCACTGATCAGGCCTTTATGGCCAAAACAGCTTGCTGTCTACAGCATTGGGTACCAACCTTTGTATTAAATTTCCATTCATTGTGTATGTATGCATGCATTCTTTATTTTACTTCGCAAAGTCAAACGAGATCGTTGCCCAATAATAATATGATAGTGAAAGATTGTGTGAATGTTGCCCGTAAAAGAGGCGTTTGTGCTACACATCACGGAGGCTTTACATACCAGTGCAGGAGATACCGTTGCCTATGTACCCAGATCTGCAGGTACATAAGTACGATCCTGGTGTGTTTGAACACATCGAGTTTCCGTTGCAGTACTGAGCACCACCGTAGCATTCATCCTCATCTGCAGAAACAGCACGGCACACACGTCCAAGAAAATGAAAGTTCGCTGCGACCCTCTTTGAACACTAGGTGATCATCAGGCCACAGCAATGCCTGCATGCGGGCGTGTGTACACACACATAAAGTGAAGGTGTGAACAACAGAAATAGTGAGCAAATGCATAAGTGCGTGGAACCACACGATATGTAAAATGAATTAACAGTGATCACCACATAGCAATGAGGTACAGGGCCGTTTTGTGGGAGTTTGATTTCCGAGGTTGGCTCTGTTGGGGCCAAATAATGGCCACCCAATTTGAAGAGATATGAAGAGTGACAATACGGCTCCCTAGGGTTGGAATTTTTGGGGAGGTCAGATAAGCGTGTTGCAATGAACTGGCAGTTCTGTTCTCATCATTAACTGGATACGGTAGGGAATTTCAGAACTAAATATTGCGACAGAGCTTTCGGTCGTATTTCCAAGTTGGGAATGCAATAATTTGGTAGATAATAATTATTGGTTGCTGAAGCATAGCAGGCGAGGGTGCAGTGGTTGATGTGACAAGGATAGTGGAGTGGCTTGAACATGTGTGGAAGGCTAGACTCCTGAGTAACCTGCCAGGTATACATGTACGTCCAATTCAAATGCTATTTTCCTTCTGTTTTAGAAGGGATGTTTTGATCCGGGCATACCTAGCACGCCAGCTTACTTGGACAGTCCTAAAGTCGGTTTCAAAAACAAAATGCCCTGTACGGTCAGCGACAATAGTTTCCAAACCATGCAGAGCTGCGGAATCAATTGTACTCTGTCCAAAACAGGGTGTAAGTGTCAAGAGAATCATGGTTCCTGCAGACCAGCATTCACCATAATCTAGGAAATCATGAATAAAAGGAACTCATGAATAAAAATGGAACTCGTGAATGGTGACAGCTTCCAAATCAATTACAAAATTGACCCATTGCGCATTGCCAAATATGGAATGTATGAGCAATGCTTGTGAGTACGCTGGGATCAGGAATGCACTGTTCAACACCCCCAGACGACCTTGCTCAGGTGGCTGTGTGGGGTGTTTATGGTACAAATTACATCATTGCGCAATGGGTCCATTACATAGCCACACACTCTTTACGCAGAGGGATACATACCGGTGCAAGTGTTTCCATTTCCGGCGAATCCAGTGTTGCACCTACACATGAAGGAACCGAATGTATTTGTACAGGCGGCATTCGCACTGCAGTTGGCTCTTCGGCTTTCACACTCGTTTGCATCTGAGAAAGAGAAAACATAGAGTATTATGGTTCACACAATACTCAATACTCAACAGAGGACATTCATGGTAATCACTTTCACCACGAAAACAAGAAGAAGAACGACAATCAAAAGCACCAGTACAGAAACTATGCATGCACGCACTGTACACAGCACGTGCCAAGTCAATAAATAATGACTTCCAAAGTACAGATATCACAATAAGAATAATACAAGCTTGCATCTACTAGTTGAGGGAATTGAAAAAGGGAAAAATCCGAAGAAAAAGTCGATTGTCACCACCAGGACTGGAACCAGGGACCTTCACCTAAGGCCAGCGATGCTCTAACCACTGAACTATGGTGTAGCTGTTATCCCAGCAGAGACCGTTCAACATTCCCTTCAGACTTTGTGGCTCACACTTCCTGTGAATCCACACAGGCGGGTGGGATGCAGCCCTAACTGTACCCACACACTTCACACACAAACTACTATTCAGGCAGCCTCAAAGTATCAAATATGCACCATTTGAGGCAAGGTAAAAATAAACTTTAGTCACTGGATGATATGCGTTACATTATTCGACGGAGTAAAGCGCGCATGACCATCTCGTACCCATGTTGTTTGCGCAGTCTAGCTAGCAAGCTACTTCATGTTCAATGCTCTCGCAACCATACGTAAACTATAAAATGCCACTCCTGTTTCACTTGGTAGCGGCGTCGACAATTCCTGTGTGCCATACTTACAGAGACACTGGCCTAGTCACACACACACACACACATACCTGTGCAGGATATTCCATTCCCCATAAATCCAGGTTTGCAAGCACATGTAAAGGATGCAATCGTGTTTGAACAGATGGAATTTTCATTGCAGTTATGTCTCCGACTTAAGCACTCGTTTTCATCTGAAGACAGAGAAAAGTGTTCAAAACAAAGTCAGTAGTGACTTGCATTGCAACATTTTACATTATACTCCTTGTGTTCCACAACACTTGGAAGGAGCACTCACTTCAATTTCTTCAACAGGATATTTTTAAAGCCATCAGCGAGCTAACACTCCAGCCGTCTCTCCAGCCGCAATGCAGACAAGAGCCAAGGGACAGGCACTGCGAACGGAATTTGTTGTTGTTCTCCGCTAATTTTCTTTCAAAAGTTCTATCACCTGGTCCACTGCACCTAGTTCACTGTCCTTGCATCACCTGGTGACATCATCACCTGGTGATATCATCACCTGGTGGCATCATCACCTGGTGACATCATCACCTGGTGACATCATCACCTGGTGACAGAACAGATATCAACATCACCTGGTGACAGGACAGATATCAAACAGGATGTACCTAGCTACACTAACACATAGACCTCACACATATTATAGTATTACATACATCCATTTTTTTAATTTTTTAATTTATTGGGAACACAGCCCTACAAAGAGACATGTGGAGACAAACACAAAACAAGACACAGGGGATGTAGGGACGACGTGCCGATGTGCAGGGAGCAACTCGACTGACCAGGGGTCTCGGCGTTAGCGTTGCAACCTGGCATCGAAAAAAAGGGGGGGGAGGTTGAATACACTTTAGGCCCAGGCTCATGCAACCATATGTTCTTCTGAGGGAGGCAAGAAGAAGAACAATGGGGTGATTATGAGCAGCACCTCACCTGCGACTGCGAGCAGTGAAAAGATTATGTGACGGCTGATGGTGAGAATTTTGAGAGGTAGTACACAGACTCTCACTAGCTACATAGTAGTCTGATTCTGGCTCATTATTTCTGCATTGTATAGTGATTGACTTTCCGCGCCGAATTTCCGACGCTGCATGCATGTCCAATGCGCGTCAACAGTACTTCACACTTTCCTTTTCCCGCGTTATCACCTCAGTTATGCCAGTTTTGTATGTGGAACCCCCCCCTATATAATAGCAGTTTTGTCTATATTTTTAATCATTCAACATCTACCTTCACTGATGAGCTATGTATTAGCGAAACAGCTGTCTGAAGGAGTTTATCAATATCGTCTACGGAAGTGTCCTCACAATGGTGATGGTTGTGTGCAGGAGGGTCTAGTCGGCTAAAGAGCGCAGTGTAATGGTGGAGGTGACTCAACATAATACAAGTTTAACGAGGATATACACAAAGTAAGTATATCAATGGCAGAAAGAGCTTTTCGGAAGGGACCAGGGACACCTATCACTCTAAAATCAGAGATCTTGATATTACTTGATTGATTGATATTACCTACAAGCATTGCCTGTCCAAATTCTCACCATCAGTAACATGAGTTGTTTTTCAACATGGCGCAACCTGCACCAGGTTTGGCGCCATGGTGCTTTCTCTCTCCCTCTTCACGCCTGCATGCTATGGTCTTGCGCTACTGTCGCTATCGCCTTCGATGACTCGGTAACACTGCCCTGTCATCGCCTCTATTCTCACCTATATCCGTTAACTCTCACAGACAGCCCAATAGCACTGTCCCAATGCCACGTCTTCACTTCAAACACATCTTTGCCAACACCCGCTTTGAACCCGCTGGTTTCATTCCTTCCAGAGTTTCTATAACATAGTAACAAATGTTACGGCTGATTTCTACAGTGCGCACCTGTTATAACCCTTCCTCTTCTCAATCTATATGTTATAATTTTATAATATTGCAGTTACTCAATCTGCGGACAGAACTGTTTCGTCCTTTGTGGACTCGTCAGCGCAGCACAGAGGAAATGAGGCCGAACCTGATAGCAATGGAAATAAAAATTTCCAATCAGGCCCGAACGTACCTTGCCAGAGTGCTCAAACTCTGGCAGTTATATATTCCCAGTAAGCCATGAACGGAGACCCCTCGACTTAGGCCTCGGCCTTTGGGGAATCCATAAATAAATAAAATGAAATAAAAAAACAAAAAAACAAAGGTACTAACTTTTAAATGTAGAAGAGAAAAGGACATATGGATACGAGTTAAGAGTAACTCTCCATCACTGTAACATGATACTATATACAGTCAGAAAGTGCAATAACTAGGCACAAAACTGACAGAGTACTGAAACATTCGACGTCCTGACACCTAGCTTCAACACATCTTCGTAGCGCTAACCAACAGCCTTCCAACTTGGAAGGTTCAAGGTTATGGAAAGACCAAAGAGGGGAAGGCAAGCGCAACGAAAACGAGCAAAAGCTACAGTCCCAACGGAACAAAGAATGTCGATTGTTACTGGACGATGACGAGACCAGTACGATATTTGACAAACACATCTTTGCCAACACCCGCTTCATGTGTTGAAGCTAGGTGTCAGGACGTCGAATGTTTCAGTACTCTGTCAGTTTTGTGCCTAGTTATTGCACTTTCTGACTGTATATAGTATCATGTTACAGTGATGGAGAGTTACTCTTAACTCGTATCCATATGTCCTTTTCTCTTCTACATTTATTTATGGCTCAACATCCGAGTTTCAAAGTACTAACTTTTATTTATTTATTTATTTCACCGTCCAATGGCAGCAGCCAATGCAAAGGAGGGGGCGTTAGCCAGCCATGGCAAGAGAAGAAAAAAGATGAAGGAAAGAAGATGATAATCGGAAGAAAATAATGCATCAGCGGGGTGAAATGTATCACTATGTTGACCATGGTGGAGAGCGGCGAGATAAGCTAGCAAAAGAGGCGAGCGAGCCTACAACGTGGCATGACATTTAACATGGTCTATGAACTGTCTAATATTGGATATTGTCTTCATTTCCATGGGCAGCTTGAGCCAATACGAGTAAGCAGAGAAGATAGGAGATTTGGTAAACATAGTTGATAAAGCTCTGGGAAGTACTATGCCATTGCGAGTGTCCCATGCGAAAGTAAACCAATTATACTTGGTGAGATGTTCAGGGACAATGTTGAGTTTAATACGATGGACCAGAACGCATGACTGTCTCTGCGACAGGATAGAGATGGGGCTGGTGGAGGCCAAACTATATAGATCAGTAGAGGGGAAAAGAGAGGGTTTACGAAAAATAATTTTCAACACACGTTTATGATATATTTCTAGTGTCTGTACAGCAGATTTACTAAGCAGGGAATGCCAAGCAGTGGCGCCGTACAGAAAGATAGGAAGGAGGTAGCATTTATAAAAGAGACGAATACATTCGGGGGGAACTTCCACACTAGCATCAAATATCTAGGCCTGCTAATGGCATAGAGCGAGAGATGTGATATTGTCTTTCTCAATGCATGAGTCATGCTTAGGTAAATGAACAGACATGGCTAGCATTTCACCATTCACGCTAAATTAAACGGTACTCGCACCCAACAAACAAAATACAGTCGGTTTGGTATGCTAACCATGTCTTGAAAACACACAAAGAACGGTACAGGCCGACGGTCGAAGTTAGCGTCAACGGTAAAATGCTAACCATATCTAATGCATATTGCTATGGCTTCCAGCGTGATGTGCCAATACTGAAAAGGACCTGGCCCGGAGCTGTCAATACACCTTTACATCAAATTTCAGTGAAACCTGTCCAAGACAACCGCTCAAGGGACCTCCGAAACATGGTCTCTGTTACCAGGTGGTCTCCTTATCCAGGGTTATTTGACTGGAAATAGCATCCCTCGATCCTGGTTTCAGTAGTCTTCTTTGACAGATGGTCGACTTATCCGAGTGGTCGACAAATCCGAGTGGTCGCCTTATCCGAGTGGTCACCTTATCCGAGTGGTCACCTTATCCGAGTGGTCACCTTATCCGAGTGGTCACCTTATCCGAGTGGTCACCTTATCCGAGTGGTCACCTTATCCGAGTGGTCACCTTATCCGAGTGGTCACCTTATCCGAGTGGTCACCTTATCCGAGTGGTCACCTTATCCGAGTGGTCACCTTATCCGAGTGGTCACCTTATCCGAGTGGTCACCTTATCCGAGTGGTCACCTTATCCGAGTGGTCACCTTATCCGAGTGGTCACCTTATCCGAGTGGTCACCTTATCCGAGTGGTCACCTTGACATATTTTACTGTACCCTGGTGTCTTGTATTAAAGTCGGTCTCATATAGGAGCCTGTTTTGAATCAAAGCCTGCTTTTCAAGATACACTATCGGCAAATGAGCCTGGTGTTACTCCAAAAGCCTCTTTTACGGGCAACAATACACAATTTGCCAAGATGAAGGATGTTAACACAAATGAAGAGAATAATTGTATGAAGAAAAAAGAAAGAAAAAGAAAGAAAAAACACTTCAATAAGCCAACCTCTACAATCAGCACTACGGACGAAAACCAGGCGGAATGCCCAAAACCAACATGCCGAACGAATCCAATCATAGTACAACTAACTTCAGACAAGAACAATACAAAATACAGACCTCTGAATGTGATGGAAACTGTCATTGTCTCTCAGCCACTCACAGCCGGCCCTCAGCCACAGCCAACTCCCGCAGTGCGTTGACTGGTCGGTGGTACGATGATCTAGCTCCGCGAATGCACATAATGGCTGACCGAAATAGTGCAAAGGCAGCGTACATATGTCGTCATCTCCGCATACTTCTTTTTCTCTCCCCTAGAAGCCTGGTGTTACTGCTGACAAACATAGATATACCTGTCTTTCACTGAAGAATGTCTCTTGTAGAACAGTAAAAGCCTGCAAAATCCCCCCCCCCCCCCAAAAAAAGTCATGTAAAAACACACGACTTTATGTGAAAAGCAGCAGACTTCTTTGCTCCCCAACCTGGGCCTTGCGCTTCCTGCCGACTTGACTTACTCACGACTGCCATCTAGAGCACAAAATAAGACTATCAAACCTGCCACTCGGCAAACCTACACACACACACACACACACACACACACACACACACACACACACACACACACACACACACACACACACACACACACACACACACACACACACTCAGACTCACACACACACTCCATTTCTCCCTCGAACATCTCTTCACTTTCGCGCACGTTTTGGGGATGACACAAGCTGAGACATGCACTTCATATCGACCCTTCAACACCTGGTTCGAGATAGTGCAAGCTGAGACATGGTCCTAAGCCGTGCCGCTGTACTGCAAGAAAGCAGGACTCCCTACGTCTGGAGCTGCCACCAGGGATATCAGCAGAGCTGGACCAAACCTTTCCAGACGCACAATTTTAGATGCCCAACATGGGAGGATTCACGCCGTGTAGTGAGATTGCGCGATACTGTGGAGACAGGGCCCAATACCCAGAGCAACAAAGGCCATAATCACTGTAGAAAAGTACGCGGTCAAGTCGACAGTCACATGCTGTAGAACCAGGAATTTTCGTTGGTGTAATCTTTTTGGTGTTTCCCAGAATCAACGGTTGGGCGGAGAGCAATGTGAACCCAGTACAAACTAAAACAAACAAAAGCATACCTGCGCAAGATGTTCCATCTCCCGTGAACCCAGGCCTGCAAGTACATGTATGAGATCCGAAAGTATTCTGGCACATGGCATTTCCATCACAGCCGTGAGTGCTAGTGACACACTCGTTTACATCTGAACGAAAATAACGTACATCGAAACGCAAAGAAAAATGGGCATGGAACCAAGCAGACCAAGTGCGCCATTATACAGAAACAGTGTGCGGAGGGGAGGACGGGGAAATGAATAATAGTGAGGAACGAGGACAATGGGTAGATGGTCGTGAGAGCATAATTAATAATTATGTGGACATAATCCAGAATGTAACAACTTCATTGACTTTTGCGAGCGAGGGTTGTGTCCCACCAGCCTTTGTAGTGTTGCAGGAAGTGTGAGTTTCGCAGTCTAAAGATATTGTTGAACGGTTTCTGCTCGGATGACAGCTACATCAAGAAAGTGTGCAGTGTGTACGGAAGCAAATTCTAGAGCTCTTGTATTTAGGGGTGAAATGGTTGCCCTTTAGGGTTACACGCTGGTACCTGGGCTAACGGGCGGGTTATCGGGTACCCTTTAGCAGCCAGTAGTAACAGTTTCTATGCAATAGCTTTCCACATTTCATGCCAGAAGGGCATGCAAAGTCATGCAATCCACAGCAAGTGCACTACATCGCGACAAGCGCAGCATGCGCACTTACTGCGCTACATGCAAAACAGTCCAAATTGTCATATGCAGCAGGATCAAACCATCAACTGTTGAACAGCACATTCAAACTGTACATCAAACTGTACGACTTCACAGGCCAGCTTACTATACCGTACGTAAGTATTATCCTGGAGAAAAATACCGTACCGTACCGTCGTCCACGACTAACGGGTACTCGACGTACAAAGTATCTCAGCTGTCAGATGCAAACCATGCCCCACCATCGCTGCTGCGTCTCAGTGCAGCCCCTGCCCAGTATTCGTCACGCTTGTCCCTGTCTCAGGACGGTTGTCTTTCGTTACTGATTTCGAGCTTGTTACTGAATTGTTACTACTACTACTAGCTTAATTAACCACCCCTGCATCCAACCCTTGGCATGCTACAACCGACAACCGTTGCAAACTTGGGTGAGAGAATACATACAGTAGATTCAGTATAAAATTGGAAAGAAGATCATCGAAAGAATGAAAAAGGCAGCTGCGCATCAAAATCAAATGTAAAGATGGCGACCATGAACGACTGCGACGTGGATAAACTGCAAAACAAACTAGTGCAGCGACACTGACTCGACTGAGTAAAGAAGCGGAGAAGACGAAAACGGCAAGGAAAGCGGATCGCTACGATCGTACGATCGCTCAAATGCACTAGCCTAGAGCGTGCATAGCGCATGCAGTCAAACGGTCACGTGATAAGTGCGTACACAAGTCATACGTCATAATAATGCGGTTGACAAAGAAAAGGAAACAAAGCTGAGCGCGAGGCAAACAAATCTGCAGAGCGCGAAAATATAAACACATTGAACGAAGGATTTGTTTGAGAACAAAATGCACAGGCAGACAAAGAAGAAACAGTTCGAAGCTAGAATCAATGTCCGTGTTTCTTAGAATCAATCATGGAGAAAGCTAACTAAGAGTAACTACCTCTGTCACGCAAGACCGGACCTAAACACCTACGAAGTAAGAATTGATGTGTTACGAGAAACACGTGTAGTGAAATAAATTGGTATGCATTGCATCGTGACACAACTTGCCAAGCTGCATGTACGTGATTGTAAATGTACAAACAACATGCAACGTCGTAGTAAACACAATCGTAACTCGTGAATTCCGTGTTGTTGACTCAAGGCAAGCAGTACCTCGTGTACACGTTGACAACGACGAACGAATTGATTAGACTCTGATAATAAATACTAATATTAGTAATAATATGAAAGAACAACAAAACGTAAATGTCACCTACGATTACACAACAAGCTAGGAACGTGAACACAGTACAAATGAAAACATACCTGTGCAAGATGTTCCATCTCCCGTGAACCCAGGCCTGCAAGTACATGTATGAGATCCCAATGTGTTGTGGCACATGGCATTTCCATCACAGCCCTGAGTGCTAGCGGCACACTCGTTTACATCTGAACGAAAATATAGTGCACCGAGACGCAAAGAAAAATGGGCATGGAACCAAGCAGACCAAGCGCGCCATTATACAGGAACAGGGTGCGGAGGGGTGGACGGGGGGGGGGGGGATGAATAATAGTGAGGAACGAGGACAATGGGTAGATGGTCGTGAGAGCATAATTATTCCCGTAGCTATGCAGAAGACGTTACTTCAGTAACGTCTGGCGCTAGCCACGGTCCACACAGCTTTAATTTGGTGTTTGTTTGTGTGTTTGTTTGTTTGTGTCACGCCTGGTGCTATCCGTATCTGACGGCAAAAAAGCATAGGATGTTATACATTTTTCAATTCTCCTATTTTTTTTCAGGCATATCCTGGGATTCGAACCCGCACTATCGCCCTACATGAATTTCCCCATTCATACCCATTCTTCCAAGTTGCTTCACGTTATTATCTTGCGTTTGAAAGCCCTATTTGAATATTGCGGGCAGCTGTATGTGGCCAGCTGTGTTTGATGGTACGGTACGGTACGGGAGACGGTGTCGTATTACCCTCGATCGTACCTGTCCCGTACCTATCCCCTACCGTACCGTGCCATCAAAGACGGCTGGCCACAATGCATATTCAAATAGGGCTTTCAAATGCAAGATCACAATGTGAAACAACTTGGAAGAATGGGTATGAATGCGAAGTGTAGGGGGGAATGCATGTAGGGCGATAGTGCGGGTTCGAATGCCAGGATATGCCTGAAAAAAATTGGGGAATTGAAAAATTTATAACATCCTATGCTTTTTTGCCGTCAGATCACAATGTGAAACAACTTGGAAGAATTAGTATGTATGCGAAGTGTATCGGGGGATGCATGCAGGGCGCGTGATAGTGCGGGTTCGAATCCCAGGTTATGTCTTAAAAAAAGAGGATTTTTTAAAGAATTTATAACATCCCTATGCTTTTTTTTGTCTAGGTCATCAAGGCAAAAAAGCATAGCGTAGGGCCCTGAGCTTCCAAGCTCTCTCGTTTGGTATTCGTGTGTTTGTGTGTTTGTTTGTGTCACGCCTGGCGCTATCCGTATCTGACGGCAAAAAAGCATAGGATGTTATAAATTTTTCAATTCTCCTATTTTTTCAGGCATATCCTGGGATTCGAACCCGCACTATCACCCTACATGCATTCCCCCCATACACTTCGCATTCATACCCATTCTTCCAAGTTGCTTCACGTTATTATCTTGCGTTTGAAAGTCCTATTTGAATATTGCGGGCAGCTGTATGTGGCCAGCTGTGTTTGATGGTACGGTACGGTACGGGAGACGGTGTCGTATTACCCTCGATCGTACCTGTCCCGTACCTATCCCCTACCGTACCGTGCCATCAAAGACGGCTCGCCACAATGCATATTCAAATAGGGCTTTCAAATGCAAGATCACAATGTGAAACAACTTGGAAGAATTAGTATGCAAAAAATCGACGTGGAGACAACAATTTTATAATACAGTGGTCCCTCTATAATCCGGCACCATTTGTGCCACGAAAATCTGCTGGATTAGGGAGGGTGCTGGATTAACAAATCTGATCTACTGCTGCAATGTGCATGAAGAGGACATTTGGCTACTGAAAATTGTGCCGGTTTATCGAGGGTGCTGGATTATAAAGTGCCGGATTAGAGAGGGACGACTGTAGCAATATAGAGAACAAATCCTGCAGTCATCGCCACACTACAACGAAGTCATGAAAGTTTACCAGAATTAATTTTCTTGTCACATTCATCAGTGGAAAGTCGTGACTGAAGAGTAACCATGCTGAACAATGATTAAATATACATTCAATGATGTGTTACGAGAACAAAATACAGTGCCAAAATAGAATGAGGGAAGGTGAGACAATAGAAGTGAAGTGAGAGCTAAGTGCAAATATAGATGAGGCAAGCACTGAACGTGAACAACGAGAAAGAAGGCTGAAGGGAACGGAATTCAACAAAGAAAGTGACACAATCAACATTCAAAGACCTAGACGATCAACAGCTAATTATTCAATGAAATATTACAGTACTGGAGGTCAAGCACCGGCGACGACACTGGGAACACAAGATTTAACAACAACAACAACAACAACAACAACGTGTGTGGCATGCAGGCCTTCTAGCAAAACTCTCCCACTATGGTGTCCAGGGCAACGCCCTGGAGTGGTTCCGACGGTACCTGTTGGGGCGTCGGCAAAGGGTCCAGGTGGATGGCGACCTATCGCCTTTCCTCGAGATCCCTGCCGGCGTCCCTCAGGGATCTGTTCTTGGGCCGCTTCTATTCCTCGTCTACACCATAGACCTTCCACATGCATGTGAGAATCCCGGCACCACCTGTAGCCAGTTTGCAGATGACACCGCTCTGATTTCCATAGCGAGAACTCTTCAAGACTGCACCCGAAACCTACAACAGAGTGTCACAGCAGCTGGAGACTGGCTTCAAAGATGGCACCTGCTGGTTAACACAAAGAAAACAGTCATCCTCCCGTTCTACCACAATAACCGCCCCCCTGAACAGCTACCCCAGATCACCCTCAGGAATAGTCCGCTTACCGTAGCACAAAAACACAAACACCTCGGAATAATCTTTCAGCATGACCTCCGTTGGACGGAGCATGTTGAATACATAGTCAAAAAATCACTCAAGTCTTTCAATATTCTTTTTAGACTAAGGTCTACACTCACCAGTGATTCTTTATCTCACATCTATCAGACATACATACTACCTATATTCTCATATGCGAGCACTGCTCTCACACCGTTGTCCCACACTTCCCTTGACAGGCTAGAACGACTCCAGCGGAAAGCCGCCAGAATATGTCTCCACCTTCCCCTTTACACACACTTAGAACACTCCCACCTTTTGCATCGCATCAAATGGCCAACATTATTTTCACGTTTTAAAGTTAAACATATACTCTTCGCGCATTCTCTGCGCCACAATTATGCCCCACCACATATACTCTCGCTGCATACTGCTAGCAACGTGCAACCTTCGTATAATTTACGTCGCTCTCGTACTTGGCACTTGCCAACTCCGCGGACTGACCGCTGTCTCCATTCTCCCCTGTACAAGGCCCTTCATTACTTTAATTGCCTGCCCACCCAGCTTCGCGAAAACCCTTCTCGTACTCCCTTCAAATCCGAGATATCCCTGCTGTTGCACAACTCTGTATGCTCGTGTAGCGACCACCCCTGCCCGTACACTTAAGTACGCAACTCTGTATGCTCGTGTGGCGACCACCCCTGCCCGTACACTTAAGTAGTCATTAACCCCTAGGCCCTGCCCACCCAATTCTTCCTCACTCTTTCTCCTTTCTTACACTATTATCTCTTATTGGCCACTGGCTATCGTGAGAATAAAGATTTGAAACAACAACAATGGTAACAATTTACCATCAAGATCAAAGGAGGAGTCAACGAACACAGGTTAAACAACATGAAGCGAGCCTGGGACCGATCGGTGTTGATGAGGGGAATGGCACGGAGGACGACACTGAGGACGAGTTGGGAGATGAGACGGAGGACGAGGTTGCGGTTGTTGGAGACGAGGAATCAGATGGTGATTGTGATCGTAAGAAGTCTGCCGTTTTTCTTCACTTGTTGTCTCACCCTAAGTGTCTGCAGGTGTATGATGATTTTAGTTTTTCTGTTCTTTGTCGTGCACGGTATGCTAGTCAGTTGAAAGTACTTGAGGCTGTTTGTATTCGTTTGCATAAGCCTGATCTTTGTAAGCAGAAGAAACATGTAGTTGCGTTAAAATTGTTTTCGTAGGTGCACAGCATGATTGTTTGTCTCACTACACAGTTTTAGCGTTATAATTAGTTTCTCACCCGCCGTTGCACTTAGCTCTCACTTCACTTCTATTGTCTCACCTTCCCTCATTCTATTTTGGCACTGTATTTTGTTCTCGTAACACATCATTGAATGTATATTAATCATTGTTCAGCATGGTTACTCTTCAGTCACGACTTTCCACTGATGAATGTGACAAGAAAATTAATTCTGGTAAACTTTCATGACTTCGTTGTAGTGTGGCGATGACTGCAGGATTTGTTCTCTTTATTGCTATTAAAGAATTAGTATGTATGCGAAGTGTATCGGGGGATGCATGCAGGGCGCGCGATAGTGCGGGTTCGAATCCCAGGTTATGTCTTAAAAAAAAGGATTTTTTTAAAGAATTTATAACATCCCTATGCTTTTTTTTGTCTAGGTCATCAAGGCAAAAAAGCATAGCGTAGGGCCCTGAGCTTCCAAGCTCTCTCGTTAATTATGTGGACATAATCCAGAATGTAACAACTTCATTGACTTTTGCGAGCAAGGGCTGCGTCCCACCAGCCTGTGTAATGTTGCAGGAAGTGTGAGCTTCGCAGTCTAAAGATATTGTTGAGCGGTTTCTGCTGGGATGACAGCTACATCAAGAAAGTGTGCAGTGTATACGGAAGCAAATTCTAGAGCTCTTGTATTTAGGGGTGAAACGGTTGCCCTTTAAGGTTACACGCTGGTACCTGGGTTAACCCTTTATGGGTCTCACATAAGCGTAAGGGTCGTATGTGACCCTTACAGTAAAATCGCATTTTCTGTGAGTTTTGTTGCTAGGAGACAACTAAAATGGTGCTCCACTCGTAGCTGAGGTCCCAGGCTTTCCAACGGTGTAAAAAACAACCATACTTACCATACAAATTTTGCAGTATCGATCGACTGAAGTCTGGTGAAATTGGAAAAGACGACCATCCGCCATGCGCGCATTTCGAGAATGGGAGTGCATCTCTTGAAGCCGTGTCAGAAAAGCTTTCTGAGGACACTGACTGCACCAGTCTAGGCTGGATGTCCCTGGAGGATTTCCAGTGTAATGTCGTGAGAAAGAGAGCTCCGTTGAGTCCTCCTAGCTCAAATAAATCGTCCCCGAGTGAAGAAATCAAATTTACCAACCAGCGAGGAAGCACAGCAACAGCAACTCTTACAAGGACTTGTCAGGTGCGATCAGCTGATTCGCCTGGCCGTGAGAATCACGGCACGCGTGACATCGAGTACTCATCTGAGCGAGAGTGAATCTGACGCGAGCGGCGCTGAGGTGAACGAACCAAAATTGTGATATTGTGGAACTGTTGCTGCTGGTGCATCGCCGATGGCGAGGTATTGGAGTTCAAGGACGGAATTAGGAGCATAATATTCTTCACCAAGACGTAGCGCTTACCTGATTGTTTATCATAGGACTTCAGCTCCATCACGAACTTGGTATGCACTTCGTGCTGTGATTTTTGTGCTTTTTTGTTCGCAATTGTATTTTCTCTCAACTTGAAGGGCTACCACGGGTCATATCCTTGCCTGGACATAGTCATATTTGTGTTTTCTGGACGCGTCCAGGCATACAGATTTTGAAAATATATAGTTTACCCATACCTACAACTCACGGAACTTGAGTTATGGCTCGTTGTTTGTACGCGTGTTTGCGTGACCACCCCTTACATACATTGAGTAAGACCCACAAAGGGTTAACGGACGGGTCATCGGGTACCCTTTAGCAGCCAGTAGTAACAGTTTCTATGCTATGGCTTTCCACATTTCATGCCAGAAGGACATGCAAAGTCATGCAATCCACAGCAAGTGCACTACATCGCGACAAGCGCAGCATGCGCACTTACTGCGCTACATGCAAAACAGTCCAAATTGTCATATGCAGCAGGATCAAACCATCAACAGCACATTCAAACTGTACATCAAACTGTACGACTTCACAGGCCAGCTTACTATACCGTACGTAAGTATTATCCTGGAGAAAAAATACCGTACCGTACCGTCGTCCACGACTAACGGGTACTCGACGTACAAAGTATCTCAGCTGTCAGATGCAAACCATGCCCCACCATCGCTGCTGCGTCTCAGTGCAGCCCCTGCCCAGTGTTCGTCACGCTTGTCCCTGTCTCAGGACGGCTGTCTTTCGTTACTGATTTCGAGCTAGGAACGTGAACACAGTACAAATGAAAACATACCTGTGCAAGATGTTCCATGTCCCATGAACCCAGGCCTGCAAGTACATGTATGAGATCCCAATGTGTTGTGGCACATGGCATTTCCATCACAGCCGTGAGTCCTAGCGGCACACTCGTTTACATCTGAACGAAAATAAAGTACATCGAAACACAAAGGAAAATGGGCATGGAACCAAGCAGACCAAGCGCGCCGTTATACAGGAACAGGGTGCGGAGGGGAGGACGGGGGAATGAATAATAGTGAGGAACGAGGACAATGGGTAGATGGCAGTGAGAGCATAATTATTCCCGTAGCTATGCAGAAGACGTTACTTCAGTAACGTCTGGCGCTAGGCAGGGTCCACACAGCTTTAATTTGGTATTCGTGTGTTTGTGTGTTTGTTTGTGTCACGCCTGGCGCTATCCGTATCTGACGGCAAAAAAGCATAGGATGTTATACATTTTTCAATTCTCCTATTTTTTCAGGCATATCCTGGGATTCGAACCCGCACTATCGCCCTACATGCATTCCCCCCATACACTTCGCATTCATACCCATTCTTCCAAGTTGCTTCACGTTATTATCTTGCGTTTGAAAGTCCTATTTGAATATTGCGGGCAGCTGTATGTGGCCAGCTGTGTTTGATGGTACGGTACGGTACGGGAGACGGTGTCATATTACCATCGATCGTACCTGTCCCGTACCTATCCCCTACCGTACCATGCCATCAAAGACGGCTCGCCACAATGCATATTCAAATAGGGCTTTCAAATGCAAGATCACAATGTGAAACAACTTGGAAGAATTAGTATGTATGCGAAGTGTATCGGGGGATACATGCAGGGCGCGTGATAGTGCGGGTTCGTATCCCAGGTTATGTCTAAAAAAAAAGGATTTTTTAAAGAATTTATAACATCCCTATGCTTTTTTTTGTCTAGGTCATCAAGGCAAAAAAGCATAGCGTAGGGCCATGAGCTTCCAAGCTCTCTCGTTAATTATGTGGACATAATCCAGAATGTAACAACTTCATAGACTTTTGCGAGCAAGGGCTGTGTCCCACCAGCTTGTGTAGTGGTGCAGGAAGTGTGAGTTTCGCAATCTAAAGATATTGTTGAACGGTTTCTGCTGGGATGACAGCTACATCAAGAAAGTGTGCAGTGTACGGAAGCAAATTCTAGAGCTCTTGTGTTTAGGAGTGAAACGGTTGCCCTTTAAGATTACACGCTGGTACCTGGGTTAACGGGCGGGTCATCGGGTAGCCTTTAGTAGCCAATAGTAACAGTTTCTATGCAATAGCTTTCCACATTTCATGCCAGAAGGACATGCAAAGTCATGCAATCCACAGCAAGTGCACTACATCGCGATAAGCGCAGCATGCGCACTTACTGCGCTACATGCAAAACAGTCCAAATTGTCATATACAACAGGATCAAACCATCAACTGTTGAACAGCACATTCAAACTGTACATCAAACTGTACGACTGTACAAGCCAGCTAACAATACCGTACGTAAGTATTATCCTGGAGAAAAAATACCGTACCGTACCGTCGTCCACAACTAACGGGTACTCGAAGTACAAAGTATCTCAGCTGTCAGATGCAAACCATGCCCCACCATCACTGCTGCGTCTTAGTGCAGCCCCTGCCCAGTATTCGTGACGCTTGCCCCTGTCTTAGGACGGTTGTCTTTCGTTACTGCTTTCGAGCTAGGAACGTGAACACAGTACAAATGAAAACATACCTGTGCAAGATGTTCCATCTCCCGTGAACCCAGGCCTGCAAGTACATGTATGAGATCCCAATGTGTTGTGGCACATGGCATTTCCATCACAGCTGCGAGTGCTAGCGGCACACTCGTTTACATCTGAACGAAAATAAAGTACATCGAAAGCAAAGAAAAAAGGGCATGGAACCAAGCAGACCAAGCGCGCTATTACACAGAAACAGTATGCGGAGGGGAGGGCGGGGAAATGAATAATAGTGAGGAACGAGGACAATGGGTAGATGGTAGTGAGAGCATAATTATTAATTATGTGGACATAATCCAGAATGTAACAACTTCATAGACTTTTGCGAGCGAGGGCTGTGTCCCACCAGCTTGTGTAGTGGTGCAGGAAGTGTGAGTTTCGCAGTCTTAAGATATTGTTGAACGGTTTCTGCTCGGATGACAGCTACATCAAGAAAGTGTGCAGTGTGTTGTGAAATGATGTGTTGTTTTCCTGTGTGATGGCATTCCCCAAACTGTCTTGTTGTGTAACGCACGCACAACAATTATTCACCACTACTACTCCGCACATGCACACCGCACTCACAACGGCGGACTCTGACAGTAGTGTAAATAAAAGGACTGATACTTGGAAATGAATTAGTTAGGTAAGGATATAGAAAACAACAACACAACTCAATCTTGGGAGAGCTAATCAACAAGGAGAAATAAAACCGGAACTCCACGGAACCGGCGGGGGCGGGGCAAGGCGACGTGGAGAAGCCCGGCTGACGTGTGCGAGTACGCACGCGGCGCGGTCAATGGGGCTTTGGCCAGCAAGCGTGGGGTTGCTAACCCGCTTTGCAGCAAGCGCAGCATGCAAGTAAGGCAGAAGGCAAAAGCAATGCGCATGCTCGCAATAATGACGCGTAGCTGATAGGGCATGACGTCAACACAACTCGTGAAAATGCCTACGCAAAAATGTGGTCGAAAAGTAACCGTGAGCTACGATGCAGGAAACGATCTCTGCAATCTGGCGGACAATGAAACAATTCGAAACTAGACAAGTTGACAGTCAGTGAGTCAGAGCAGAAAGGAAACATGATAATAGCAAGAGAAGAAAGGAACAGAGCAGGCGCGGAGAATGCAGAGTATGGATAACAGAACAGAACGGTAAGCAAAGTCTCAAAACGAAGAACACGACGTACAAATTCAAAATCTATAACTTGAAGCAATAAATAAAGGTGCAGTATGGTATCAAATACTTGTGGAGAGAGAGGCGAACTATTCTACTTCACCTCTCCCCCTGATACCATAGTCATACTCACTCACGGTAACGTGCTGGCGCCTGGAGCTGGCCACGAGGTCGTAGCGCATATCCGCCAGTTGGAGCAACATCAATGGTGACACCAATACCATTGACATCTTCCTCGTCACTATTCAGGCTAGCCTCTGTGGCAGCTACATCAACAGCATCGGGAAGATCCTTCTTCAACAAGGCAATGTTGATAACCTTCTCGGACACTCGGCGGTTGTCCGAACCTGGCTTTTCAATCACCACAGTCATTGGACTTACGATTGCTTTCACTTTCCAGCCACGCTCATAGGGTGCAAGGCGTTTCTGATGGCGATCTGGGCGCTGCAACATCACGTGATCACCAACAGCATAGGGACAGTGTGACTCTTCTTCGACGAAGTCGCTCGCCGAGAGCTCACCATCGATCAGATCACGAATCCAAGCAGACCGCTTAGCATGTTTCGTGGCCCAGTCACTGAGGCTGCACGCTTCGGCGGTGTCGGCGATAATGAAGTGAGGGGGTTTCCAGCCCACTATGGCTTCCATCGGCGACATGCGAGTGGCACTGTGAGGTCGATTGCGATAGAAAAACAGGAGCATATCCAATTCACCCCTCCAGTCCGAAGAGCCATCGAGGACTTTCCGGATGAGGCCGAGCAGAGTACGATTGGCATGCTCAGCAGAGCCCTGCGATTGAGGGTGACGAACAGCACCGGTACGCACACGGACACCCATGAGACTGAACAACGACTCCACAATGGCATTACGAAATTCCGTGCCATTATCCATGCGGACAATGTCGGGGGCACCCCAGAGCTTGCATACACCAGCGAAAGCAGAGGCAACAGACACGGCATCATGACGACGCAGAGGGATGACTTCAACCCACTTCGTAAATGAGTCGACACAATCCAAGACACAATGATGAGTCGCACTCTTGTCGAGACCAAGTTCAAGAGTGTCGATAGTGACCTCGATTGGTGAGAGATGGACTGGGCCGTCAGTACGTTTCAGCGTCAGGCGAACAGTCCCAACGACAGGCAATGGTTGGCCATCCAAGGCAACGAGCACATTCGACGTGCGATCGACCGGGCAGTTGGCGGGCAGTACTGAGGTGCAGCTAGCAGAGATCAGTGTATGGGTTGACCCACAATAACAGCGGTGACACGTTCCCAGTTACACTTGACACCACAACGACGTACGTCCGCATGCATTCTCGGGAGGGTGCCAGGACCAGAGCCACTTGAAATGCACAGGACTGGGGCTTTCTTGTCAGCTTTTGACACCCCGGCAGCAGATTTGCCAGCGGAAGCCGCCATCCAAGCTTTGCGCTCCGGGCACGTAGACTTGACATGGCCAGGCTTGTCGCAGAAGAAGCATGTTCGTTCTCCACCGCCATACCGATGCCTCTTTCGGCGAGGACAGTTCTGCTGGATATGTCCAGGCTCGTGGCACTGGTGGCAAAATACGCTGCGGGACGCACCTCCAGTACCTCCAGGTGCAGCACTGGCGACCACCATCGGACTGCGTGTACAATCAGCATGCGTAGCTTGTAGAGCACGTACCTGCTCCACGCACTCAGACACTTTCAATTTTTTCCCAGCAGTGGCCATGCGCAGGGGCTGGATAAATTCTAAGGGTAACCCACTGATGAACTGTTCTATCACGACAGTATCCTCATCATCAGTCGCGCTGTGACCAGACAGGCCCAGCAACCGCTGCAGATCGGCGACGTACGCGTCCACCGACTCATTGGGTTACAGCTTACGCTGTACAAACAGGCCGTATGCCTGCGACTTCGTCACGGCGAACGCAGATGACAATTTGCCGAACACAACATCCGGATCTGCCTTGTCGGTGTCCGACAATCGATCATACACAAGAAACGCGTCGCCGTCCAGAAAGAGCGGAAGGTGTTTCATCTTGTCGTCGTCCGACGTCCATTTTGATATTTTGGCCAACACACCAAATTTCGAGCGAAATGCATTGAAATCGTCCCCCTTGCCCTTGAAGGGACGAAGGAAATTGTCCAGCTTGAGACTCATACTGAACAGAACACACTACGAATAACGATACTAAACGCTAGTAGAACAGCTTGCGGGAAACAAGCACGGGCACCGACCACTGCCACAAACGCACCAACACAGGTGAACACTACAACACGAACGACCCAACGATCCTCAAATCCAAGGCGGGTTTCGGCACCACTCTGTTGTGTAACGCACGCACAACAATTATTCACCACTGCTACTCCGCACATGCACACAGCACTCACAACGGCGGACTCTGACAGTAGTGTAAATAAAAGGATTGATACTTGGAAATGAATTAGTTAGGTAAGGATATAGAAAACAACAACACAACTCAATCCTGGGAGAGCTAATCAACAAGGAGAAATAAAACCGGAACTCCACGGAACCGGCGGGGGCGGGGCAAGGCGACGTGAAGAAGCCCGGCTGATGTGTGCGAGTACGCACGCGGCGCGGTCAATGGGGCTTTGGCCAGCAAGCGTGGGGACGCTAACCCGCTTTGCAGCAAGCGCAGCATGCAAATAAGGCAGAAGGCAAAAGCAATGCGCATGCTCGCAATAATGACGCGTAGCTGATAGGGCATGACGTCAACACAACTCGTGAAAATGCCTACGCAAAAATGTGGTCGAAAAGTAACCGTGAGCTACGATGCAGGAAACGATCTCTGCAATCTGGCGGACAATGAAACAGTTCGAAACTAGACAAGTTGACAGTCAGTGAGTCAGAGAAGAAAGGAAACATGATAATAGCAAGAGAAGAAAGGAACAGAGCAGGCGCGGAGAATGCAGAGTGTGGATAACAGAACAGAACGGTAAGCAAAGTCTCAAAACGAAGCACACGATGTACAAATTCAAAATCTATAACTTGAAGCAATAAATAAACGTGCAGTATGGTATCAAATACTTGTGGAGAGAGAGGCGAACTATTCTACTTCAGTCTCGTCTAGTCGCGTCCATGGGTGATATGAGCATGCGCGATTTTGTAGTCGAGAGTCATTTTGTCAGTCTTCTTGTTCGTCTTTTTGAGTGTTGTAACCATTTCCGTCTTGTCAATATAAATAATGTAATACAAACCAGTCTTGTCCTTTGTGTCCTGCGTCCCGGGGAACGGAATGGCTGAGATTCCGTTACAACGTGGTGCCGAAACCCGGGACGCAGAGGATGAGTAAGTTTGTCATGAGTCTGTTCGTCGTCGTCAACAAATAATAGTAAGCATGGGGATGGAGGTGATCAGGAGAGATGAGAAGCTGGTGGAAGCAGAAGACGACGCGGAGAGGAGGCAGAGAAGGTGGTGGACCGGCAGAAGCAGGGGACTGGATCCTGGGACGGCGGGTACCACATGGAGCGTGTGGCCGTGGCTCGCCAGAGGCCAGTGGAGGAGTCTGGCATCACCGACTGTGTGTCGTCCTTTGTTGTTCGTCTTGTTGTTGTCTTGCTCGCTGTGTTGTCTGATCGTGTTTCTCTCGCTGTTCAGTTCGTTGCTGTGTTGTTGAGTTTGGTTGTCGATATGTTGCTCTTCTGTTCGTTCTGTTGTTCTCCATTGTTTTTGTTGTAGATTTATTTGGTGCGGCTGTGCGCATGTTATTAGAGAGGTTTTGCATTCCGAATTTCGGAATTATTTTCGGAATGTGGCGGCAGCAGTCGAAAAAGTAGTCGAACTTTCGGAAGTGTGGTGGCGAAAGTGCATGGTTTTCCGAAAATGGATTTTCGGCTCTTTCATGTTTGGGAGTACATATTTGAATACAAAAAAGTGTATTTTTCATGTTTGTATTTTTGCTTTCTGCTGCTCTCGATTATTTGAAAAAATTTCCACGTATGTAGTTTTGATTTTTGCTGGTTTTGCTGCTCTCGCTGATCTCGCCATGTTGACTAATCTTCTCACACTCCATCACACTCTATCTTCCTTTTTCATTGAGCCTACTGACAGTACAAGACAGTAGTTCGCCAACCTCGTCTTCAGCTGTTGGATCACTTGGTCCACCATCAGTACGTCCGTCCTCGTCTTCGAACCGCACCCAAAAACAGTTTGGCCTGCGCACATGGATTTGATCCTGCTCAGGGAGTCGTAAAATACCAGGTATTTTACGACTCCCTGATCCTGCTCAACCCCTTCGACGCTCTCCATTTTGTTTTGCATGGCAACCCTTGGAAACGAAGTCGAATCAGATTTTCGGAATGCAAAACACTGAAAATACCGTTTTTCGGAACGCGCTTTTTTCGGAAAAGCACAGTCGAAAATCATTCCGAAATTCGGAATGCAAAACCTCTCTATTATTTTGTTGGAGCTTCGGCTCCCGTGTTTTGTGGCCTGGTTGTAGAGCGTCGGCCCTAGGTTTTTGTTTGGCCCTGTTTCGTGGCCCGGATATTATTTTAGAACGTCGGCTCTAACGTTAGGTTGATGGTTGGTTTTCGTTTTTCTGTTCTGCTGTGGTTCCTTTTGCTGTTGTGCATGTGGAACGACTTACGTGGTGTCGGTTTATTATTTTGTGGAATGTCATCAAGGGGGCAGGTGTTGTGAAATAATGTGTTGTTTTCCTGTGTGATGGCATTCCCCAAACTGTCTCGTCTAGTCGCGTGCATGTGTGATATGAGCATGCGCGATTTTGTAATCGAGAGTCCTTTTGTCAGTCTTCTTGTTCGTCCTTTTGAGTGTTGTCTCCATTTCCGTCTTGTCAATATAAATACATGACGTTTTCTCCAAGCCCTTCCTGCAAGGATCAACTCCTGGATCTCGACCGAGAGGAAGGCCCGCAACATCATGGATTTCTAACATTAAAAGTTGGACGGGTCTTCCCTTGCATGCTCTCTCTCATGCAGCACACGATAGAATTGGATTCAGAGACATCATTCACAATTCTCTCGCTGATTAATGCCTCTACGATCACCTTGTGATTATGAGTTATACATACATACATACATACATACAATATAAATAATGTAATGCAAACAAGTCTTGTCCTTTGTGTCCTGCGTCCCGGGGAACGGAATGGCTGAGATTCCGTTACAAGTGTGTACGGAAGCAAATTCTAGAGCTCTTGTATTTAGGGGTGAAACGGTTGCCCTTTAAGGTTACACGCTGGTACCTGGGCTAACGGGCGGGTTATCGGGTAGCCTTTAGTAGCCAATAGTAACAGTTTCTATGCAATAGCTTTCCACATTTCATGCCAGAAGGACATGCAAAGTCATGCAATCCACAGCAAGTGCACTACATCGCGACAAGCGCAGCAAGCGCACTTACTGCGCTACATGCAAAACAGTCCAAATTGTCACATGCAGCAGGATCAAACCATCAACTGTTGAACAGCACATTCAAACTGTACATCAAACTGTACAACTGTACAAGCCAGCTAACAATACCGTACGTAAGTATTATCCTGGGGAAAAAATACCGTACCGTACCGTCGTCCACGACTAACGGGTACTCGACGTACAAAGTATCTCAGCTGTCAGATGCAAACCATGCCCCACCATCACTGCTGCGTCTTAATGCAGCCCCTGCCCAGTATTCGTCACGCTTGCCCCTGTCTTAGGACGGTTGTCTTTCGTTACTGCTTTCGAGCTAGGAACGTTAACACAGTACAAATGAAAACATACCTGTGCAAGATGTTCCATCTCCCGTGAACCCAGGCCTGCAAGTACATGTATGAGATCCCAATGTGTTGTGGCACATGGCATTTCCATCACAGCTGCGAGTGCTAGCAACACACTCGTTTACATCTGAACGAAAATAAGGTACATCGAAAGTCAAAGAAAAATGGGCATGGAACCAAGCAGACCAAGCGCGCTATTACACAGAAACAGTATGAGGAGGGGAGGACGGGGAAATGAATAATAGTGAGGAACGAGGACAATGGGTAGATGGTAGTGAGAGCATAATTATTAATTATGTGGACATAATCCAGAATGTAACAACTTCATAGACTTTTGCGAGCGAGGGCTGTGTCCCACCAGCTTGTGTAGTGGTGCAGGAAGTGTGAGTTTCGCAGTCTAAAGATATTGTTGAACGGTTTCTGCTCGGATGACAGCTACATCAAGAAAGTGTGCAGTGTGTTGTGAAATGATGTGTTGTTTTCCTGTGTGATGGCATTCCCCAAACTGTCTTGTTGTGTAACGCACGCACAACAATTATTCACCACTACTACTCCGCACATGCACACCGCACTCACAACGGCGGACTCTGACAGTAGTGTAAATAAAAGGATTGATACTTGGAAATGAATTAGTTAGGTAAGGATATAGAAAACAACAACACAACTCAATCTTGGGAGAGCTAATCAACAAGGAGAAATAAAACCGGAACTCCACGGAACCGGCTGGGGCGGGGCAAGGCAACGTGGAGAAGCCCGGCTGACGTGTGCGAGTACGCACGCGGCGCGGTCAATGGGGCTTTGGCCAGCAAGCGTGGGGACGCTAACCCGCTTTGCAGCAAGCGCAGCATGCAAATAAGGCAGAAGGCAAAAGCAATGCGCATGCTCGCAATAATGACGCGTAGCTGATAGGGCATGACGTCAACACAACTCGTGAAAATGCCTACGCAAAAATGTGGTCGAAAAGTAACCGTGAGCTACGATGCAGGAAACGATCTCTGCAATCTGGCGGACAATGAAACAATTCGAAACTAGACAAGTTGACAGTCAGTGAGTCAGAGAAGAAAGGAAACATGATAATAGCAAGAGAAGAAAGGAACAGAGCAGGCGCGGAGAATGCAGAGTATGGATAACAGAACAGAATGGTAAGCAAAGTCTCAAAACGAAGCACACGATGTCCAAATTCAAAATCTATAACTTGAAGCAATAAATAAACGTGCAGTATGGTATCAAATACTTGTGGAGAGAGAGGCGAACTATTCTACTTCACCTCTCCCCCTGATACCATAGTCATACTCACTCACGGTAACGTGCTGGCGCCTGGAGCTGGCCACGAGGTCGTAGCGCATATCCGCCAGTTGGAGCAACATCAATGGTGACACCAATACCATTGACATCTTCCTCGTCACTATTAAGGCTGGCCTCTGTGGCAGCTACATCAACAGCATCGGGAAGATCCTTCTTCAACAAGGCAATGTTGATAACCTTCTCGGACACTCGGCGGTTGTCCGAACCTGGCTTTTCAATCACCACAGTCATTGGACTTACGATTGCTTTCACTTTCCAGCCACGCTTATAGGGTGCAAGGCGCTTCTGATGGCGATCTGGGCGCTGGAACATCACGTGATCACCAACAGCATAGGGACAGTGTGACTCTTCTTCGACAAAGTCGCTCGCCGAGAGCTCACCATCGATCAGATCACGAATCCAAGCAGACCGCTTAGCATGTTTCGTGGCCCAGTCACTGAGGCTGCACGCTTCGGCGGTGTCGGCGGTAATGAAGTGAGGGGGTTTCCAGCCCACTATGGCTTCCATCGGCGACATGCGAGTGGCACTGTGAGGTCGATTGCGATAGAAAAACAGGAGCATATCCAATTCACCCCTCCAGTCCGAAGAGCCATCGAGGACTTTCCGGATGAGGCCGAGCAGAGTACGATTGGCATGCTCAGCAGAGCCCTGCGATTGAGGGTGACGAACAGCACCGGTACGCACACGGACACCCATGAGACTGAACAACGACTCCACAATGGCATTACGAAATTCCGTGCCGTTATCCATGCGGACAATGTCGGGGGCACCCCAGAGCTTGCATACACCAGCGAAAGCAGAGGCAACAGACACGGCATCATGACGACGCAGAGGGATGACTTCAACCCACTTCGTAAATGAGTCGACACAATCCAAGACACAATGATGAGTCGCACTCTTGTCGAGACCAAGTTCAAGAGTGTCGATAGTGACCTCGATTGGTGAGAGATGGACTGGGCCGTCAGTACGTTTCAGCGTCAGGCGAACAGTCCCAACGACAGGCAATGGTTGGCCATCCAAGGCAACGAGCACATTCGACGTGCGATCGACCGGGCAGTTGGCGAGCAGTACTGAGGTGCAGCTAGCAGAGATCAGTGTATGGGTTGACCCACTGTCAATAACAGCGGTGACACGTTCCCAGTTACACTTGACACCACAACGACGTACGTCCGCATGCATTCTCGGGAGGGTGCCAGGACCAGAGGCACTTGAAATGCACAGGACTGGGGCTTTCTTGTCAGCTTTTGACACCCCGGCAGCAGATTTGCCAGCGGAAGCCGCCATCCAAGCTTTGCGCTCCGGGCACGTAGACTTGACATGGCCAGGCTTGTCGCAGAAGAAGCATGTTCGTTCTCCACCGCCATACCGATCGTGGTGCCTCTTTCGGCGAGGACAGTTCTGCTGGATATGTCCAGGCTCGTGGCACTGGTGGCAAAATACGCTGCGGGACGCACCTCCAGTACCTCCAGGTGCAGCACTGGCGAATACCATCGGACTGCGTGTACAATCAGCATGCGTAGCTTGTAGAGCACGTACCTGCTCCACGCACTCAGACACTTTCAATTTTTTCCCAGCAGTGGCCATGCCCAGGGGCTGGATAAATTCTACGGGTAACCCACTGATGAACTGTTCTATCACGACAGTATCCTCATCATCAGTCGCGCTGTGACCAGACAGGCCCAGCAACCGCTGCAGATCGGCGACGTACGCGTCCACCGACTCATCGGGTTACAGCTTACGCTGTACAAACAGGCCGTATGCCTGCGACTTCGTCACGGCGAACGCAGATGACAATTTGCCGAACACAACATCCGGATCTGCCTTGTCGGTGTCCGACAATCGATCATACACAAGAAACGCGTCGCCGTCCAGAAAGAGCGGAAGGTGTTTCATCTTGTCGTCGTCCGACGTCCATTTTGATATTTTGGCCAACACACCAAATTTCGAGCGAAATGCATTGAAATCGTCCCCCTTGCCCTTGAAGGGACGAAGGAAATTGTCCAGCTTGAGACTCATACTGAACAGAACACACTACGAATAACGATACTAAACGCTAGTAGAACAGCTTGCGGGAAACAAGCACGGGCACCGACCACTGCCACAAACGCACCAACACAGGTGAACACTACAACACGAACGACCCAACGATCCTCAAATCCAAGGCGGGTTTCGGCACCACTCTGTTGTGTAACGCACGCACAACAATTATTCACCACTGCTACTCCGCACATGCACACAGCACTCACAACGGCGGACTCTGACAGTAGTGTAAATAAAAGGATTGATACTTGGAAATGAATTAGTTAGGTAAGGATATAGAAAACAACAACACAACTCAATCTTGGGAGAGCTAATCAACAAGGAGAAATAAAACCGGAACTCCACGGAACCGGCGGGGGCGGGGGTCAAGGCGACGTGGAGAAGCCCGGCTGACGTGTGCGAGTACGCACGCGGCGCGGTCAATGGGGCTTTGGCCAGCAAGCGTGGGGACGCTAACCCGCTTTGCAGCAAGCGCAGCATGCAAATAAGGCAGAAGGCAAAAGCAATGCGCATGCTCGCAATAATGACGCGTAGCTGATAGGGCATGACGTCAACACAACTCGTGAAAATGCCTTCGCAAAAATGTGGTCGAAAAGTAACCGTGAGCTACGATGCAGGAAACGATCTCTGCAATCTGGCGGACAATGAAACAATTCGAAACTAGACAAGTTGACAGTCAGTGAGTCAGAGAAGAAAGGAAACATGATAATAGCAAGAGAAGAAAGGAACAGAGCAGGCGCGGAGAATGCAGAGTGTGGATAACAGAACAGAACGGTAAGCAAAGTCTCAAAACGAAGCACACGATGTACAAATTCAAAATCTATAACTTGAAGCAATAAATAAACGTGCAGTATGGTATCAAATACTTGTGGAGAGAGAGGCGAACTATTCTACTTCAGTCTCGTCTAGTCGCGTCCATGGGTGATATGAGCATGCGCGATTTTGTAGTCGAGAGTCCTTTTGTCAGTCTTCTTGTTCGTCCTTTTGAGTGTTGTAACCATTTCCGTCTTGTCAATATAAATAATGTAATACAAACCAGTCTTGTCCTTTGTGTCCTGCGTCCCGGGGAACGGAATGGCTGAGATTCCGTTACAACGTGGTGCCGAAACCCGGGACGCAGAGGATGAGTAAGTTTGTCATGAGTCTGTTCGTCGTCGTCAACAAATAATAGTAAGCATGGGGATGGAGGTGATCAGGAGAGATGAGAAGCTGGTGGAAGCGGAAGACGACGCGGAGAGGAGGCAGAGAAGGTGGTGGACCGGCAGAAGCAGGGGACTGGATCCTGGGACGGCGGGTACCACATGGAGCGTGTGGCCGTGGCTCGCCAGAGGCCAGTGGAGGAGTCTGGCATCACCGACTGTGTGTCGTCCTTTGTTGTTCGTCTTGTTGTTGTCTTGCTCGCTGTGTTGTCTGATCGTGTTTCTCTCGCTGTTCAGTTCGTTGCTGTGTTGTTGAGTTTGGTTGTCGATATATTGCTCTTCTGTTCGTTCTGTTGTTCTCCATTGTTTTTGTTGTAGATTTATTTGGTGCGGCTGTGCGCATGTTATTAGAGAGGTTTTGCATTCCGAATTTCGGAATTATTTTCGGAATGTGGCGGCAGCAGTCGAAAAAGTAGTCGAACTTTCGGAAGTGTGGTGGCGAAAGTGCATGGTTTTCCGAAAATGGATTTTCGGCTCTTTCATGTTTGGGAGTACATATTTGAATACAAAAAAGTGTATTTTTCATGTTTGTATTTTTGCTTTCTGCTGCTCTCGATTATTTGAAAAAATTTCCACGTATGTAGTTTTGATTTTTGCTGGTTTTGCTGCTCTCGCTGATCTCGCCATGTTGACTAATCTTCTCACACTCCATCACACTCTATCTTCCTTTTTCATTGAGCCTACTGACAGTACAAGACAGTAGTTCGCCAACCTCGTCTTCAGCTGTTGGATCACTTGGTCCACCATCAGTACGTCCGTCCTCGTCTTCGAACCGCACCCAAAAACAGTTTGGCCTGCGCACATGGATTTGATCCTGCTCAGGGAGTCGTAAAATACCAGGTATTTTACGACTCCCTGATCCTGCTCAACCCCTTCGACGCTCTCCATTTTGTTTTGCATGGCAACCCTTGGAAACGAAGTCGAATCAGATTTTCGGAATGCAAAACACTGAAAATACCGTTTTTCGGAATGCGCTTTTTTCGGAAAATCACAGTCGAAAATCATTCCGAAATTCGGAATGCAAAACCTCTCTATTATTTTGTTGGAGCTTCGGCTCCCGTGTTTCGTGGCCTGGTTGTAGAGCGTCGGCCCTAGGTTTTTGTTTGGCCCTGTTTCGTGGCCCGGATATTATTTTAGAGCGTCGGCTCTAACGTTAGGTTGATGGTTGGTTTTCGTTTTTCTGTTCTGCTGTGGTTCCTTTTGCTGTTGTGCATGTGGAACGACTTACGTGGTGTCGGTTTATTATTTTGTGGAATGTCATCAAGGGGGCAGGTGTTGTGAAATAATGTGTTGTTTTCCTGTGTGATGGCATTCCCCAAACTGTCTCGTCTAGTCGCGTGCATGTGTGATATGAGCATGCGCGATTTTGTAATCGAGAGTCCTTTTGTCAGTCTTCTTGTTCGTCCTTTTGAGTGTTGTCTCCATTTCCGTCTTGTCAATATAAATACATGACGTTTTCTCCAAGCCCTTCCTGCAAGGATCAACTCCTGGATCTCGACCGAGAGGAAGGCCCGCAACATCATGGATTTCTAACATTAAAAGTTGGACGGGTCTTCCCTTGCATGCTCTCTCTCATGCAGCACACGATAGAATTGGATTCAGAGACATCATTCACAATTCTCTCGCTGATTAATGCCTCTACGATCACCTTGTGATTATGAGTTATACATACATACATACATACATACAATATAAATAATGTAATGCAAACCAGTCTTGTCCTTTGTGTCCTGCGTCCCGGGGAACGGAATGGCTGAGATTCTGTTACAAGTGTGTACGGAAGCAAATTCTAGAGCTCTTGTATTTAGGGGTGAAACGGTTGCCCTTTAAGGTTACACGCTGGTACCTGGGCTAACGGGCGGGTTATCGGGTAGCCTTTAGTAGCCAATAGTAACAGTTTCTATGCAATAGCTTTCCACATTTCATGCCAGAAGGACATGCAAAGTCATGCAATCCACAGCAAGTGCACTACATCGCGACAAGCGCAGCAAGCGCACTTACTGCGCTACATGCAAAACAGTCCAAATTGTCACATGCAGCAGGATCAAACCATCAACTGTTGAACAGCACATTCAAACTGCACATCAAACTGTACAACTGTACAAGCCAGCTAACAATACCGTACGTAAGTATTATCCTGGGGAAAAAATACCGTACCGTACCGTCGTCCACGACTAACGGGTACTCGACGTACAAAGTATCTCAGCTGTCAGATGCAAACCATGCCCCACCATCACTGCTGCGTCTTAATGCAACCCCTACCCAGTATTCGTCACGCTTGCCCCTGTCTTAGGACGGTTGTCTTTCGTTACTGCTTTCGAGCTAGGAACGTTAACACAGTACAAATGAAAACATACCTGTGCAAGATGTTCCATCTCCCGTGAACCCAGGCCTGCAAGTACATGTATGAGATCCCAATGTGTTGTGGCACATGGCATTTCCATCACAGCTGCGAGTGCTAGCAACACACTCGTTTACATCTGAACGAAAATAAGGTACATCGAAAGTCAAAGAAAAATGGGCATGGAACCAAGCAGACCAAGCGCGCTATTACACAGAAACAGTATGCGGAGGGGAGGACGGGGAAATGAATAATAGTGAGGAACGAGGACAATGGGTAGATGGTAGTGAGAGCATAATTATTAATTATGTGGACATAATCCAGAATGTAACAACTTCATAGACTTTTGCGAGCGAGGGCTGTGTCCCACCAGCATGTGTAGTGTTGCAGGAAGTGTGAGTTTCGCAGTATAAAGATATTGTTGAACGGTTTCTGCTGGGATGACAGCTACATCAAGAAAGTGTGCAGTGTGTACGGAAGCAAATTCTAGAGCTCTTGTATTTAGGGGTGAACCGGTTGCCCTTTAAGGTTACACGCTGGTACCTGGGTTAACGGGCGGGTCATCGGGTACCCTTTAGCAGCCAATAGTAACAGTTTCTATGCAATAGCTTTCCACATTTCATGCCAGAAGGGCATGCAAAGTCATGCAATCCACAGCAAGTGCACTACATCGCGACAAGCGCAGCAAGCGCACTTACTGCGCTACATGACAAACAGTCCAAATTGTCACATGCAGCAGGATCAAACCATCAACAGCACATTCAAACTGTACATCAAACTGTATGACTGCACAGGCCAGCTTACTATACCGTACGTAAGTATTATCCTGGGGAAAAAATACCGTACCGTACCGTCGTCCACGACTAATGGGTACTCGACGTACAAAGTATCTCAGCTGTCAGATGCAAACCATGCCCCACCATCACTGCTGCGTCTCAGTGCAGCCCTTGCCCAGTGTAGTAACTGGCCTTTCTCCACCTGCTCCCAGTCCCGTGCCATCTCCACACTTATTCCAAGGGACGACGATAACTACATTTAGAAGACTGTTTATTGACACGACGACGAAACACAACTAGACCAGACGAACTCAAGACGAAGACATGATGAACTCAAGACGAAGACTGCTTTTCATACTACAGCAACACGCGCATGCACCAACATAACGTACGCACGACGTACACAAAATAACGTACTATATACGATATGGTAAATCTATCGATATACGGTACATACGGTATGATACGGTAGACAGTCCGTCTACTACACTGCTCCCCTCTCAAATAATTTTCCGTCCTCGGAAAACAAAAAAAGAACATAAACAGAAAAATTAATGTCTACACTGCTGCCTCCTCAAAAGGCTGAATCGTTCCTGATTCAAAAAATTATAACAGAAAAAACAGAAGAACACACTAGCCACGCGAGCATACCACACCAATCACCCAAAAATGTATCGCAGCAAAACACAGCAGCCAGAGACCATCTGCCGTTCACGCAGGACCTGATAAAACACAAAAACCTGTCTGCCCACCAACCAGACCTTCAGCTCACGCGCTGGAACACAATCGTGGGAAATGCATACAACATCACACTCGCGCCACCTCACCAATCACGCAAAAATTCTAAAATGTAAGAGACAAAATAATAAGAAGAGAGTGATAAAGTAAAACCCACGAGCTGCGATCTGTGGAAGCGGCTTTAGTACTCATCATCTCGGATGAAGAGCAAATAAGAAAATGACCCTCGTCCTCAAGGAGAGCAACTGATAAATAAACGAAAAAAATTGAGGAGAACAGCAAATACAAAACTCACGCCGTCTACCATACTGCTCAGCGTCGACATCCTCACTTCTGGGCACAGTTTTACGTCGTGTCCGGGACCATCCATCCTTCTTTTTCTTTTCCTTTTCTTCTGGGCACAGTTTTACGTCGTGTCCGGGACCACCAGTGACGACGACTGCTAAGAGACGGGAGAGACGAATGATGAAGGACGAGGACGACGGACGAACTTCTTGAAGATGGACGAAACTGACGATAGGACGACTGGAGATGACATCGGAAACTGGGAGCGAAGGCCACGCAGGACGAAACCAGAAGTTGACAACAAATTTCTATCACCGCTGCCACCAATGTTGTAACTCCCTTTTCTCCTCTTTTCTCCAGTCTCTCCGGAGGCGTGGGTTCGAATCCCACCGCTGCCACCAATGTAGTAACTGGCCTTTCTCCACCTGCTCCCAGTCCCGTGCCATCTCCACACTTATTCCAAGTGACGACGATAACTACATTTAGAAGACTGTTTATTGACACGACGACGAAACACAACTAGACAAGACGAACTCAAGACGAAGACATGATGAACTCAAGACGAAGACTGCTTTTCATACTACAGCAACACGCGCATGCACCAACATAACGTACACACGACGTACACAAAATAACGTACTATATACGATATGGTAAATCTATCGATATACGGTACATACGGTATGATACGGTAGACAGTCCGTCTACTACACCCAGTATTCGTCACGCTTGTCCCTGTCTCAGGACGGTTGTCTTTTGTTACAAATGAAAACATACCTGTGCAAGATGTTCCATCTCCTGTGAACCCAGACATGCAAGTACATGTATGAGATCCCAATGTGTTGTGGCACATGGCATTTCCATCACAGCCGTGAGTGCTAGCGGCACACTCGTTTACATCTGAACGAAAATAAGGTACATCGAAACGCAAAGAAAAATGGGCATGGAACCAAGCAGACCAAGTGCGCCATTATACAGAAACAGTGTGCGGAGGGGAGGACGGGGGAATGAATAATAGTGAGGAACGAGGACAATGGGTAGATTGTCTTGAGAGCATAATTAATAATTATGTGGACATAATCCAAAATTTAACAACTTCAGGGCTCACGGTTGTGTACAAATACGTTGGCGGCATTTTGTTTCTGGCCAGCTCACGCGACGACAGGTCGACTGTCACGCGACCACAGCTCGACCACCCCTTGTACACAAACTCTAGCCATCTCGCAGCGCATTTTCAGTGCGACACATGCCTCTTCAAAATAGAGTAAGGTAGCACGGGTAGACAGTACAACACTGAAAATTTGGGTGGAACCAGGCAAGATGTGAACTAGGTGTTCAACGGAAGGAATTTTTGATTTTGGCCCCGGGAAACTAAAGATATTGTCACAAAGTCCGTGAATGCTCTACAGCGATCCCTTCATTTAGAAATAATCGCTTCAGTTAAACTGTAGCTTAGCTAAGCATCTACTGAAGATTTTGAGCCATCGATTGTCAAAATCGGCCAATATTGTGCTACCTTATACTGTTTTGAAGTGAGCTAAGTCGGCAGGGGCGCACGCGAACTCCCTTGCGCGACGACAAGGAAGGAAGCATGTGCAAATGCGTTGTACGATGCGGAAACTACACCAGCGAGGCAGCAGCAAGGCGTTTTTTGCAATGTTTCCTCCGTGACTGACAAACTCTTGAAATATTATTCACCGATTGCTGTCTCGCTCATCGGCGCTCTACTGCTGTGTGCTTCAGCAGCTATGGCGAACCGAAAATACGTGACCAGTACAACGGCGAAGCCATTTGATTCGTCCTCTTGCAACGAAACAGAGTGGCAAATCAATTAATTCACAACTCTCCATCGTCACTTCTCGCAGCAGCGTGGCACGGCTCTTTCACTCGTGTACGTGCATTTACAAAACACTCTGAGAACAGAGATAACGAACTAGAACACGGTGTGAGTCTTTGCTTCATTCCGTCAAGCAGCTCTTGTCCTCTACCTCTCCTCACCTGCGCCAGTGCATCAGCGGACGACATAGATGTCGATCCCTTTCTCAGCAAAGACTCGGTGGCAGAACTGGCGACTTCTCATCGCAGGATTCAGCGTGCGAACGAACTGTCTGAAGCTCTCGGCTTACGAGGCCAGCACTGCTCGCAACACACTCTTTCGGAAAGAAGCAATAACACGACAGTGAACGGCAACCAAAGTGAAAACGCAAGTCCCCAACCGGTCTCTGTCTTTCTCAGTTGTACTTCTTCTTGTCAGTCACTGAAACACGCTCGAGTCCATGCTGTGCCCCGCGCAGTAGTACTGCGCGCACTGCCGCGTGAATATAGCTCGAGTCACGCGAGCTCATTTCTATGGTGATCAGATTTCAAGATGTCCTCCCACGTAATCGAGTTTTGGCATCCCAACCGTGAGCCCTGAACTTCATAGACTTTTGTGAGCGAGGGCTGTGTCCCACCAGCTTGTGTAGTGTTGCAGGAAGTGTGAGTTTCGCAGTCTAAAGATATTGTTGAACGGTTTCTGCTGGGTTGACAGCTACATCAAGAAAGTGTGCAGTGTGTACGGAAGCAAATTCTAGAGCTCTTGTATTTAGGGGTGAAACGGTTGCCCTTTAAGGTTACACGCAGGTACCTGGGTTAACAGGCGGGTCATCGGGTACCCTTTAGCAGCCAATAGTAACAGTTTCTATGCAATAGCTTTCCACATTTCATGCCAGAAGGACATGCAAAGTCATGCAATCCACAGCAAGTGCACTACATCGCGACAAGCGCAGCATGCGCACTTACTGCGCTACATGCAAAACAGTCCAAATTGTCATATACAGCAGGATCAAACCATCAACAGTGCTTTCAAACTGTACGACTGCACAGGCCAGCTAACTATACACGTAAGTATTATCCTGGAGAAAAAATACCGTACCGTACAGTCGTCCACGACTAACGGGTACTCGACGTACATAGTATCTCAGCTGTCAGATGCAAACCATGCCCCACCATCACTGCTGCGTCTCGGTGCAGCCTCTGCGCAGTATTTTGTCACGCCTGTCCCTGTCTCAGGACAGTTGATATTCGTTACTACTTTCGAGCTAGGAACGTGAACACAGTACAAATGAAAACATACCTGTGCAAGATGTTCCATCTCCTGTGAACCCAGACCTGCAAGTACATGTATGCGATCCCAATGTGTTGTGGCACATGGCATTTCCATCACAGCCGTGAGTCCTAGTGGTACACTCGTTTACATCTGAACGAAAATAAGGTACATCGAAACGCAAAGAAAAATGGGCATGGAACCAAGCAGACCAAGCGCGCCATTATACAGGAACAGTATGCGGAGGGGAGGGCGGGGGGGGGGGGGGGAGTGGAGGAAGGGGGGGGGGGGGGAGGACAATGGGTAGATGGTAGTGAGAGCATAATTATTAATTATGTGGACATGATCCAGAATGTAACAACTTCATAGACTTTTGCGAGCGAGGGGTGCGTCCCACCAGGCTGTGTAGTGCTGCGGGAAGTGTGAGTTTCGCAGTCTAAAGATATTGTTGAGGGGTTTCTGCTGGGATGACAGCTACATCAAAAAAGTGTGCAGTGTGCAGTGTGTACGGAAGCAAAAAATCTAGAGCTTTTGTTTTCCTTCATGGTACGTGGCCACCGAATACTCCCACGCAATGGACGTCGTAGGAGAGGTATCCGTTGCTGGCCAGGAGGCCGAGGCTAATCCCTGGAGGAGGTGATCGGCTGCAGAGCCACGAGCCAATACAATCGTGTTTCCAGCCCTGAAGCAAGTGAAGCCCCCTCAATATGTGACATCATTTGAAACCGCTGGTCTCAATGTGTCGAACATTCTTTCTATCCAAGTAAGTGGTTCGGGTTAGGGTTGAAACAATTATACCGATAACTCGCATATCGATCATTAAGAGTGCAATCAATGATCGTTAGTGTTCAAAACGAATGCTAACGATTTATTATGCATGTGTTTTAGTGACAGTATTCTAGCCCTTGCACTCCATCCGATAGTGAATACGAGTACAATCATGTACTTCCAAGCGCTGTAAGATAGATTTGTGGCTTTGAAAGAGATCGGGAGGGAAGACTTTGTCTTTTTGGTTCATTTGGGTGAGAGGTTGGAGATAAGAGAAGTTACCAGAGGGTGATGACAAGATCCTTTGCTCTAGAGACAACATGAAACTCTCTAGTTCATGTCGATAAAACCGGCCAGATTTCCACAGATGTCAACGGTGCGGTGCCACACATTTCTAATGTACCAAGGGTATCATGGAATTTCTTTATAGACTGGTGTGTGAGGTACACGAGTGGAGCCGACAAGAATCGATAAAACCAATATATTGATCGTTAGTGATATTGGCTGATCGTTAGGAGTTATTGAATGATCGTTTCAGCCCTAGTTCGGGTCACTGCAGAATCACACTGTCCTCCGCCACGGTAGCGCAACAATTAGTTTCGAGTGGTTTTCGAGTCGAGGGCGGAGACATTGTTCCCCAATGTTCTCAAGAACAAACTCAACTCAGCTACACATCCAAGACATTCTCCAGTCTGGTTTTCAGGCTGTGTTGTGCTTGCTCCACTCTCACCGTACGGGCAAATTTACAGTCCGTGATGACGTTAACATTGCCTCCGGTGTCAGATTTGCCACCTTCAAACCAAAAGCAGGTGCCACACTCCCGTCGTACGTGCGTAGCAGCAACGGGAAATACGTGTTCTGTGTGTATCACAGTGGCCAACAGCGTACCTGCAGGAGATGTGGTGCGACGGATCACCTCGTAGCAAACTGCACCAATGGTAGCAGCGACTTGTCCGGCACCACTGACTCAGCCCCGTCGCCGTACGGACACAGGCACCCAGACCACAGTTCACCACTCCCAGACCCGTGCTAGCACGGACTGGACAACCCCACAGAAGACATCGCACATCCCCCAACGGCAGACGCATAATCCCATAAAGAGCATATCAAAGGTAATGTCACTCCTTGCAACCATACTACATGCACAACTGGTGTAAAGGTTTGTGGTTTTTCAATAAAAAAAAAAAAAAAAAGCTAGTGTAAAAATGTACCCGTACCGAAGTTACCGAAAATAAAACTCCGCCGACATTTTCCAGTTTTACAGTACAATGAACTTACCCGTGCAATGGTGTGGACTTCTCTCGAATCCCGATTTGCAGCCACAAATATATGCTCCTATTGAGTTTGTACAAAATTCATTTTCAGAGCATTCATCGGTTCCAAGGTCACATTCGTTTACGTCTGAAATATTTAAAAAAACAGTATCGAAAACCGGTACTGAATTTTGAAATCAAACCCATCAAAACCCATGACGTCAAGAATTCAGGCGGACCTTTGAAGTGCACAAGGTAGCACCGTGCACCCTGCAGATAACATTTTGATGATAACAGACTGACTACATAGTACTGTATCACAGCTGTCAGATGCAAACCATGCGCCACCGTCACCGCTGCGTCTGGGTGCAGCCTCTGCTCAGTAGTTGTCATGTTTGTCCTAGTCTCAGTACCATTGTTTGTATAGAAAAGAAAGAAAAAAATTAAAAAATTAATCCTTGGCTCTCCATCCGAGTCCACCATTGTTTATCATTATTATTTTCGAGTCGCCAACGTGAACACAGTACAAACTAAAACAAGCAAAAACATACCTGCGCAAGATGTTCCATTTCCCTTGAATCCACGGCTGCAAGTACATGTGTGAGATCCCAATGTGTTGTAGCACGTGGCGTTTCTATCACAGTGGTGAGTGTTGCTGGCACACTCGTTTACGTCTGAACAAAAATAAAATACATCGAAACACGAAAAAAATGGGCATGGAACCAGTTTCTATCAATTGTGCTTGTCTTAAGAAAGCTCATTCAAACTCTCGAACACTCGCCATGAATCATAATTGAACCATCACCAATATTTTTCTTTGTCTCGTTTTCTAGTCTTTTGGCTCCTGATCATGATGGTATAGTTCGTTTTTTTCTGCGATGACTGGAAGTGGGTGAAATCTTGAGAACAAAAGGCGCCCACAATTTTCCCGACGTACCAAGTGGCGTCAAGCCGGACTTGACGTCCGCGCGTACATTCGTCATCAAGCCCTTGTGCTGGTTCGTGGAGCCAGCTGTTCCGATGAATGGTGCATCTGTGCATTGTGAACCCGGACACAGATCCCTTGCTGGTTTTCTCTCACATGCTCTGGTGGCGCACACCTACCAGTACACACTACAACTAGATACAGCCAGTCCGCGCTTATCTGGTTCTCTTTTATCCGGATCTCTCGCCATGAGGAAGAAAGTCGTTGGCTACCGATTTACAACATAATGCCTTTCATACATGAAGCATGTGTGTTCGATTATCCGGTTTCCTCGCCTTATCGGATATTTTTGTGGAGAACAGATGTGTGCCGTTAAGCGAGGTCCGACGCTAGTCTGTGCTCTGAGGTCTGACTCTAGTCTGTGCTCTAAGGTCTGACCGAAGTCTGTGCTCTGAGGTCTGACCGTAGTCTGTGCTCTGAGGTCTGACTGTAGTCTGTGCTCTGAGGTCTGACTGTAGTCTGTGCTCTGTGCTCTGACTGTAGTCTGTGCTCTGAGGTCTGACCGTAGTCTGTGCTCTGACTGTAGTCTGTGCTCTAAGGTCTGACCGAAGTCTGTGCTCTGAGGTCTGACTGTAGTCTGTGCTCTGAGGTCTGACTGTAGTCTGTGCTCTGAGGTCTGACTGTAGTCTGTGCCCTGAGGTCTGACTGTAGTCTGTGCTCTGAGGTCTGACCGTAGTCTGTGCTCTGTGCTCTGACTGTAGTCTGTGCTCTTACTGTAGTCTGTGCTCTGGGACCGGTGTACTAGCACACTACTGTCGCCGGAAGCAAAAACACTTCATGACTTTCTTTCATTAATTTTCGCTGCTGTTCTGTCCCTCTCTGTGTGGCTCTGTCGGCCTGAAGCACCAACAGATGACAATTCCGAACCACAGGAAGGCATGATTCACATTCTGGAAAGCCGACAGCTATCGCAAGGCAAAGGTGTCGTGCTGTAAACCAAGCGAAGCGACCTTGTTTTCCATTTTTGTCCACGAGGCACATTGCCAACAAAAGAACTGTGCTCACTGCTTGTCGTTGCTAGTTTTTAGGTCAGAATGAGAAAGAGCAGGACAATGGCACTGAGGAGCAAGAAGAGTGTGAAAGAGATAGCAGCTAGTGTTTTGTAATCTGCACCATCCCCCAAAACACCAGCGAAAGTGAGAACAGGTCGGCAAGATGTCAAAACTCCAAACGCAAAGATGTGACACTCGTCACTTCCCGCAGCGAAGTAAAGCTAAAAGTTCAAACTCGAAGTCGTTGTTCAGTGGAAGGTCTTACCTTTCTCAGCTGCTTCCACTCCAATGTCTCCTTGATAGGATAGGAGAACAAGCAAGATCTCCTCGCAGCAGTCGTGACGTGATGGGAAGACTACAATGTGAACAAAATTCGATATGTTTGGCTTTCCGGAGCATTCTCGAGAGCCAAGGGGATACCAGAGTACCAGCGCCACCGCGGTCTTTACCTAGATGTTGGGGAAGGCACGGGTGAAAATCACGTACCAGTAACAGCAAAGACGATCAGAAACGCGGAAAAGCTGCTCCGTGCCACTTTGGTTGGCTCCGGCCGTGATGAATCGAGCGATGGTGACTCAGACTGAGACTCTATTAATCGACTTGGTAGATACTCTACACACGTCCATTGAGCGTGTTGAAGTGTTTCTCTTCCAACAGAACACTTTTGTTGAGCACAGTAACTCCTTGAAAAGTCTGTCCATCCAGGAAATTGCGATTCCACGGATGCAACAAATTTCGCGATTTTGGTCCAAACCCGCGATTTTCAGCAAAATCCGCGATTTCCCGCGTTTTTTGTTGTTTTCTGCACTATATCTCACATTTTTATGCACTTTTCACGCAGTTCTTTCCATGATTCTTTAGGTTATTTGCACAGTACGACTCCCGAGTAGATATACTACATGTACGATGCAACACATTTTGTGATTTGGCCCAAATCCTCAATTTTCTGCAGATAAGTCCGCGAATTCCTGGCAAGTTCTGCATCATTCCGCACTTTTCGTCGCATTTTTTGTTACTTTCTGCCGCAATTTCTTGCTCAAGTTTTCGAGAGTTTTTTCCGCAAATTCCCGTAGGGACAGAAAAGTCATGTGAAAAAGTCACGAAGTTTTTGATTCCGGAGGAAGTATGCAGAGGTATCACTCAGTGACTTGGTGAACATCTGCTACTCAAATGCACTGCACAAAGATGCACAGTGACCCAGCAGTCACATAACACATTATGCCAGTCCCCGTAAATCCAAATTTGCTAGTACAGTACACGTAAAGGATGCAATCGTGTTTGAACAGGTGGAGTTAACGCGTTGGCTGCAAGCGCATGGAGAATGATGGGAGTTTGCTGGCAAACATGTGTCGGGTTGTGAGCGACTCGCACTCTTCATGTGCGTGTGTGCTGGGAAGATTTCTCGAGCTTCATACCGTATATTCTCTATTATAAGCGCCGTGCTTATATTTTTTCAACACCCCTCTACCCCGTGCTTATATTGGAGACCGCGCTTATATTGGAGACCGTGCTTATATTTTTTCAACCAATACATCCATACAAAGCAAGACAAAATACATGCTAGATATTATGCATGCCGCATTGATTTCCACCAAGACCGTGCTAATAATAGAGACTTTGCTTATAATGTTTCGAAAGGTGCTCACAGTGTGCTAGTATTAGAGACTGTGCTAGTAATGGAGACCTGTGCTTATAATAGAGAATATACGGTATGTCAACAATTCACGCAGGAAGTCCTGATCACTATTTTTAAAAATTAATGATGGTTGTTTTTATTTGATAAGCGCAATCAATAAGACAATCTGAATAGACATATGTGTATACTTTATTCATGCAATGTAAAACGGTGGAGACAATGTGCAATAAAACAATGAAAATATGAAGAAATAGTGTAGAGAAAAATAGGGATTCAAACAAGTTTTCGTACAACACTCATCAGTTGTTTTTATTTCGTGGGTTTCTAGCTTACCTGTGCAAGACCTGCCATCTCCTGAATACCCAGCTAGGCATGTACATCGGTAAGACCCTACTGTGTTAGCACAGTTGGTATTGGCACTGCAGGTATGAGAACCTTGTTGACACTCGTCATGATCTGTACAAGCAAGGTGGAAACAACGAAGTAAACCAAAGAGAAGAATGAAGTAAATGGGAGTATGAGGGGGGGGGGGGGGGGTACGCTGAGGGTATGAGGGTGGGGGGGGGGGGGATACGCTGAGGGTATGAGGGGGGATACGCTGAGGGTATGAGGGGGGGGGGATACGCTGAGGGTATGAGGGGGGGGGGTACGCTGAAGGTATGAGGCGGGGGGGGGGGTACGCTGAGGGTATGAGGGGAGGGGGGGGGGGATACGCTGAGGGTATGAGGGGGGATACGCTGAGGGTATGAGGGGGGGGGGGGGTACGCTGAGGGTATGAGGGGGGGGGGGGGGGATACGCTGAGGGTACTGTGGAATTCTGAGTATAACTAGGAGCTAATGCACGCAATCATGTTTACACCGACATTTCAAGTTGACCCTCCCTACGCTTGAAGCTCATTACGGATTCACCTCAGTTGTGCAGACACGTGAAAGCCTGCATGCGAATAGGTGTGTCTTTACTCATGCAACAACCCTGCAAAAGCATGTGTCCATCCATAGCTGATAGCGGATAGAGATCGTTGTGCAGATTACTTTATCGCGATCATATCTGTATAGCCTTAGTTCAGACAAGAGCCTTCTGCTTCTGATTTGCACTTTTTATTTTTTTTATACGAAAGTCCACTATATTCCCGAATACAGTAGGTGCGAGAAGTGGTAGCGGGGCCAGGCTGCTCCGCCGGTGTCTACACAGACAAAGTGCGCCATTTTGCAGTAAAAGTGTGCGGAGGGGAGGAGTGGAGAATGAATAACAGTGAGGAACGAGGACAATGGGTAGATGGTCGTGAGAGTATAATTATTAATAATATATGGACATAATCCAGAAAGTACCAATTCATAGAATTTTGCGAGCGAGGGCTGCGTCCCACCAGCCTGTGTGGTGCTGCAGGAAGTGTGAGTTTCGCAGTCTGAAGAAAATGTTGAACGGTTTCTGCTGGGATGACGACTATACCATAGCTTAGTGGTTGGAGCATCGCTGGCCTCAAGCAGAGGTCCCTGGTTCGAGTCCTGCTTGAGTCAATTTCTCTTCAGGCTTTTCCTTTTCCATTCCATAAACCTATGAATATGACTTTTTTCGCAATGTTTGGTTCACACTTGTGCTGAAAGAGCACTGTTGGTCCATGAGATGTTTTATGTGAAGTACTCTTTAGAGTCTTTATCTAACATACCTCCAAAGAACAGCTCCCTTCCCCTGCAAATACACATGTTCCGGAGAAGGACGCAACCAGTTCCTAAGGGAAAGTCCTGATAGTGAAAACCAAAATTGGCTATAAAACTTAACTTCCAACTAGGCCTCGACCAAATATGCTTGCGTATATTTCCGCATATTTTCGTGAGACAGTTCATTATGGCATATTGAGCGACAAAGGGAATATTGGAATGAAGCCAGCATGTAATTCAAATATTCTGAAGAAAACGAGGACAAAACATTCATATTATGGACAAAATGCGTTCAGAAATGCCTTTTATGGATGAATTTGGAATGGTTGAGGCGTTTGCTACATTCCCCCAACGATGAACACTATCGCTACGGTTGCTGGGGACACACCTCAGCCATACTATTCCGCATGTGTTTTGATTTGCACCATAAGCATGATAGCCGTGAAGCCAGTGAATATTCCAAGGTTGTAATTTTACTGAAATGATCTACACTTTCTGCTTATGTCGAGCATATTTTAGCATATTTTGGCATATCTTTTTGCATATCTTGCTACGCCTTTGGCATATTATGGACGTTTTCCCTGATATGCGACGAGCATAATATGCTCTTTTTTTTAGCATATTTGGTCGAGGCCTACTTCCAACTGAAGATATGCTCAAACTGCAGTAACAAAGACACAATTTTTGTAATGAAATTCCTTCCTATCTTCTCTGTGCTGCGCTGATGAGTCCGCAAGGGACGAAACAGGTCTGTCCGCAGATTGAGTAGTAATACTAGCAGCAATGTACTGACCTAGGCATGTGTATGTGGCAAGACTACCACTACAGAGTGCACAGTTATTGACCAAGGATAAGGTGGTGCAGGGCTGCTTGCAATACGATGCATTCAAAGCTAACAGGGAAAGAAACAAACAAGTAACGACGTCAGGAAGGCAACCTCATAACATGGTTCTTAGTTCATACGAGAGGGGGCTTGAAAGCCCAGGAGCCTTTGCTATGCTTAGTTTTTACCCTGGTCATAATGTGTGTTATTCGAACTGATAGAAACGACTTTGAAAATACAAAAGCATGCACCCGATAATTGTATTGAAAAAAACATTACTATCAATTCGAATAGCACACATGATGACCCAGGTAAAACAAAGCATAGCGTGGGCTCCTGGGCGTTCAAGCCCTCTCGTTCCTAATGGTTCCTAAAAAAAACTTTATATTACAAACAACCAATAGATATGTAAAAAAGAGAAGAAACACATGAGAATGAGTTATGCAGCAACTACCCACGACTGTAACAAGATGATAAACAAAGCCCTATCATCGCACTTTCTGACCGTTTATCATCTTGTGACAGTGGTGTATAGTTGCTGCATAACTCGTTCTCATGTGTTTCTTCTCTTTTTTACATTTTATTACTGGCTCAGTATCTGAGTTTAAACAATAGATAAATAATCAAAAAAGAGAGGACCATAAGTTTACAAGTCATCCGCTTTGTCCAACACTAAAGATCATATCAGGATACTGTTGAGTCAAAATGTGTTCTTTTTTCATTTTAATCCTTGACTCGCCGTCCAACTTGAATAGATACAGAACTCAAATTCTAACTCTCATCCAGGTACAGTCTACTAAGTAGTTATATTCTAACTCTCATCCAGGTACAGTCTACTAAGTAGTTATATTCTAACTCTCATCCAAGTACAGTCTACTAAGTAGTTATATTCTAACTCTCATCCAGGTACAGTCTACTAAGTAGTTATATTCTAACTCTCATCCAGGTACAGGCTAGTAAGTAGTTATATTCTAACTCTCATCCAGGTACAGCCTACTAAGTCGTTATATTTTATTACGCTATCGGGTGCTAGCTATAATTTTTCCATTTCTATTTCTCCACACATGACATGGGATTCGAACCGGTACTATCGCCATGAATGCATTCCCTCCATACACCCCGCTTGTATACACATTCTACTAACTTGCTCCATGTTCCAGGTTATGATGCTGCAGTTGAAAGCCCTATTTGGATATGCGGCCAGGTCTTTTTTCATGATACGGTATGGGAGATATATGGGATGGCAGGGCGGGCCTGGCGTATCACGTGAAGACACCCTACGACCCCCTCCTCACAGACACACACACACATACACACATGCACGCACACACACACACACACATGCACACACACACACACACACACACACACACACACACACACACACACACACACACACACACACACACACACACACACACACACACAGATACGAGATAAAGGACAGTGGGCCCTGGCTAGCGCCAGACGCAACTAAAGTAAAGTCGTTTGCATAGCTTTGGGAATTATCGATCCTCAGCTACATTCTGACGAGGTCACTGTTAACATTATTGCTGAGTAGCAATTCCCCTACATGTACGTATACGAGTTTAATGATCGTCTGATGAGTGTTTATGAACACGAAACTCCGAGTTACGAGAAAGGTTTTTGGTCCCTGTTGTTCTTGCTTTGTGCAGCACGCTCTGCCCTTTTTGAGGTGTTGAGCACTATGTTGCAGCAAGGACTTCAGACACTATGTGCTGGTATATGAGTACATGTGCACAAACTTAGTTGTAAAGCCTGAGAGGAGCTAAACATCAAGGGTTGGACAGGCCTCTCAATCTCGCCACTTTCGCAGATCAAAGGTGAGTACAATCTCTCTCTCTCTCTCTCTCTCTCTCTCTCTCTCTCTCTCTCTCTCTCTCTCTCTCTCTCTCTCTCTCTCTCTCTCTCTCTCTCTCTCTCTCTCTCTCTCTCTCTCTCTCTCTCTCTCTCTCTCTCTCTCTCTCTCTCTCTCTCTCTCTCTCTCTCTCTCTCTCTCTCTCTCTCTCTCTCTCTCTCTCTCTCTCTCTCTCTCTCTCTCTCTCTCTCTCTCTCTGGTGTTGCCATGTTCAATGGCAACTGAAGGCTTGCAAGTGCCCCATAGCCGGAGGATTGAGAGCGGCATTTTGCAGGCCTTGCTCCTTACATGGGAAATGTGGGAGCTAGCGCTTTGCGTTTTGACTTTACCGGATGCTGCGCTTACTCTTAAAATCATCCATATTGGTACGCCCACTTCGTCACATCCTTCAGCCACTTTGAGCTGCTGATGAATCCGTGAACATGTTTGATTGCAGGTCACTTTACATCAGCATGTGTTCTTATTGTTCGATTATTCCTATCCCGGCCTCTTTCAAAGGCTGATTCCACTGCGAAGGGAAGGAAACTCAGTTAAAAAGCCTTCGCCAGGGTGCAGAGAATCACCATTGGCCGTGCACCGTGGTGCAAGAATACTTCTAAAATTCATTCCAAAGCTATTTTGCTCTTCATTGCTCTATAGTACTGGACGCTTTGTACATCAACGGGTAAATTGTATGTCAGTACTTCCATGTACTGGGCTGTAAACAAGCGACATGATCCAAAGGAAAACTAAAAAAAAACCCGAAGCTGAAGACATTTTTTTGAAACGGTTTGTCAAAATTTGGATGCTGATGTTGTGGCACAAATCAAACCGGCCGCTATTCACCCAGCTGATACAACCAGAGCATTTTACTGCGTTGCACATCAGACACTGTTGCTTCCAATTCCTGGCAGAACACTTACTGTTTGAAAGATAGTTCAGTACAGCATCAGTGCTTTGTAAGCGCTCGCGCTTCGAGAAATCTCTGGGCACTTTTAGTTGGCACAGTCGATAGTCCAGCACTGTGATATCACCCAGTTTTCTATGCATGCAAAAACACACAAATGATTATATAGATTTCTCATTACTGTTTTCTGATGATCCCTTAGTGCGTGAAACTCAGACTTAATTCTCTGTCCTCTTATTGTTTGAATAATTATTATTCATAAGTTGTGTGTCTGATGATTGGTCTCTGAGTCACAACGGAATTTGCCCAAGGTTTTCATTGTGTGCCTTTGTCTATTCATAGGTTGAGGGAATGGATAAGGGAAAAATCTGAAGAAAAAATTGACTATCACCACCAGGACTCGAACCAGAGATGTTCCTTGAGGCCAGTGATGCTCTGACCACTGACAAATAGATATGAATACTGAGAGCAATGAAGGGACGGGAAATCTCCAGGCAGATATGCGAAATAGTATGGAAAGAAAACTCAACCAATCTACAATCAATGGATGTGATTTTGTTTTGAAAGAAGAAGTATGTCTGCGGAATTCATCAGTGACTATTTCTGGTGGGTGAGTAAGAAGAGTGAACGAAGCAGCTCACGGCAGCAGACGTTGAAGCAACTAGACGCGTCACAGCAGCACATTCTGTTTCTGCTTATGACCTCCTCTGCCTGGACAAAGACCCTGCCATTACAGGCACACGTATCATATTTGTTCACATACTTACAGATTCCTCAGCTTTGGCAGTTGAACAAAGGCCCTCGGATGCAGAGTGGAAATGACATTACCCGTTAGATCGCTGGGAATAAAATCAAAAATCAAATCGCATAAGAAATTTGAACGTTAAACTTTTTTTCAGGAATTCTTGACAGCGACCTGGTTCAAAGTCAGCGAAAAATGCCTCCGACAACACCGCCTCAAAGTAGATCTCTTCAAAATGTTCAATCATTAAGGCATCAGCAGGGTTCACAACTGGTGTGGTCAATGACTGAGACAGTTGTTCGGCACTGTTAGTTGAACAATGGCATGGCTCTACAATGGTGTTGCAAAGTTCCATGTGTGGTCATTCATAAAGGTGAAGACTAAGTTAGCTCTTTGCCGTGTTCTCATAGTATGTCCGTCCTACGCAAGCCATACTCTCTCTGTCTCTCCCTCTATCTCTCTGTCTCTCTGTCTCTATCTCTCTGTCTCTTTCTGTGTCTTTGTCTCTATCTCTCTGTCTCTATCTCTCTCCGCCCCTCTCTCTCTTTCTCTCTCTCTCTCTCTCTCTCTCTCTCTCTCTCTCTCTTTCTCTCTCTCTCTCTTTCTCGTCAAATGTCTACACTACACTCATGCATGTTGACAACAAAATAGACAGAACCTGTCAATAAATGCAGGAAGTACGAAGCATTTAATTGAAGCTGTGTAAACATTTCTCAATAATGCATTGCATTTGTTGTGATATTTCGCCAGTGAGAAAAGCATGTTGTCTATTCGACAAGTACTCAGGTGGCTAGCAACGTTGGGCGTCACACCAATGACAAAACCTGCACTTTTAATGTACAGTACAACCTGTGACTAACGATTATGTACTCTTGTTAGATAGGTACTCTCGTTAGATAGGTACTCTCGTTAGATAGGTACTCTTGTTAGATAGGTACTCTTGTTAGATAGGTACTCTTGTTAGATAGGTACTCTTGTTAGATAGGTACTCTTGTTAGATAGGTACTCTTGGTAGATAGGTACTCTTGTTAGATAGGTACTCTTGTTAGATAGGTACTCTTGTTAGATAGGTACTCTAGTTAGATAGGTACTCTTGTTAGATAGGTACTCTTGTTAGATAGGTACTCTAGTTAGATAGGTACTCTTGTTAGATAGGTACTCTTGTTAGATAGGTACTCTTGTTAGATACTTCTCTAGCACTAGCATGATCTAGCATGATCACACTCCGCATGCTCTTGTTCATGGCTTTTTCCCCAATCTACTTGTGCTAGCTGGATGCTTGTGTGCATGGGGATCAGGACACAACAAACGACCACCCGTTGGGACCAGAGAAAGCGGTCTTTAGTGGCCGGTGGTCCATACTTAGAGGTCTGCACCGCACAACCATGAAAGTGTGAGACCGTCCGCGCCTGGCGAAGCGGTCTGTAGTAGCAGGCTGGTCGCTTGTCACGGTGGTCTTTAGTTACAGGTTCTACTGTAGCTTGTAGTTCAGCTGTGATTTGAGCATTTAAATCAACTCACAGTGCAGTCAGAGAGGGGATTGCTGGTAATGCAGGGATGTTGGAAATCTGGTTGAGGTTCAATTCCCTGTTAGACAACAAGAAAACACACACACAAACTACAATCTTTAGTACAGCATATGCACCAGTGAGCGACTTGAACGCGCACATACCCCAGGATCAGACGGCCAAATAAATGCTACTAAAACGCCAGTTCTCCTCGGAATCAGTATTGTTGGTGTAAAATTGTCGTCTCGGGCCAGCCATCCATGCTGCAGCTAGAACATAGGACAGACTTGCTCCGTATGCGCTACCGGCCGATTCCGTTGACAAGTTTACTTCCCATTTAGAAACTATTCCAACTGCCATAATGAAGTAGTCTGCAGAGAATTGCGGGACATCTTCCATGTTTGTATTGCCCATATTTTTATTCAAGAAAACAAACCAACAGCACTCGCCGACTGTACACGATCTGGTTACATTTGTGCACAGTTAGTCATAACTCGTAACATTTTGCCCTTCTCCTTTTTACCATACCGTATTTATAGTAAAGAAAAAGGACCAAGAAACTGAAAGTTACGCTATAATGTCCACTAACACCACCACTTACACCATCACCAGTTACTAAACAATCAGCTCATGCGATAACATCGCGATAACATTGCCGAGTCCATACCATATTTCCCAGAACACACTGAGTCGCGCCTTTTTATACTAAAACTTCAAGGACAAAGAAGGGGATGCGACTTACAATCGAGAGTGGCAGCCTACTTACATGCATGTATTGAAACAATGTGGTTCAAACCTCAAAGTGGGGGTGCCACTTATAATCGAGTGCGCCTTACAATCGGGGAAAGACGGTAATTAAATTGCCTCACCATCCGAGTTCAAAACTCACTGAATGTTGCTTTTTTCTGCAAAATCTTGACAAACACCTCATGCAGAAGGTGATATTGATTAACCTGCAGACGCCCCCCCCCCCCCCTGTGTGTGTACCCCCCCCCCCCCGTGTGTACTATACACAACAATCACCCCAGAATCCAGTATAATGTTTTAGGCTTTCTTGATGCAACAAATGCCTCTCATCAAGTGGGCCAATCCAAAGACACCGAGATTTTAACGCAGATTTAGCGAAAACAGAACGGTCTTTTTATTTTATACAAAAGAGAAAGACCAAGGAACTACAAAAGAGAAAGACCAAGGTTTATTTTATTTTATTGAAAACCACAAATCTTGAGACATGTGGATGTGCACATATACAGTGTACATGGTACATGGTATAGAGAAGGCAGTACAGAAACGGCAGTGGTGGTGAGGCCCGGGCAGCTCGTCCGACCGTGGGTCTCGGGAGTCAACACTGGGCAGACGCAGCGGGAGGGAGAGGTGTGGGGGAGGTCCACATTCACTTACACTCTTGCGAGCGCTGGAAGCCCTGTCAAGTCGGGGAATTCCCGCATTCTTGTAGCACACAGGGATCTACAGAACACCAACGAAAGAATAAGCATAAAGGCCAGGATCCTCGGTGCACACAACATGATCTATGCCACCTCTGCCCCTGCAACCTACCCCGCCCACCCTCAAATCTGGAAATGTTCTGAAATTCTTCCACGGATTAGCCTGACGTCATGTCCGCTTTCGGTCCAAACTCTGAGTAGGACAAAATTATCGTTGTCATGGAAGCACAATCAATGCCCTTGTGTTAGTTCCCTGATATTTTAATTGTAACAGAAACAGGCCGGGCTTTTTTTAAACAATTATATTTTAGTTATTGCAACGTAACAAGATGTAGTGTGCAGGAACACTAGGTGATTTGTCTGTGTATTGTCTTGTTCGCTTAGTAAGCGGTGGACATCACACAACTGCATTGCAAATAAAAAGTGGGTTTGCCAATTGACAACCGCTCTCTATTTAGTTGGAATTCACTCCTGGCGCATGCGCTTGATGAAAATTCTTTTATTGGTGATGTCGAAAAAATTATTGACGTTTCGGGTCAGCCACCCATTGTCAGAATGTCTAATAAATAATAATATTGGCGGGATCCGCGTCGGCATCGCTTGAATGTTCAGAAACACACAAACTAGCCTTCGCATCCGCAGGCCACCACTATGCCTATTAACCTTAGTGGCGAATGCAGACCTCGCAAGTGAGTCAGGGGAGAGGAGGTTAGTCTCTCAACCAATCGGGCGTGTAACGGCCCATAACCCTGTAAACTGCATCCTTGTTATTCTCACTCCGAGCTGTGAGTACCCAGTTGACCGTGGGTGTCGGCGCAGTTCACCACGCGTAAAACGTCTTTTTACACGCTCCCTGCTACCAGCGCGGGTCTTGAACTCGGGACCTCAAGATTCGCAGGCAAGCCTGCAAACCAATCGGCCATATGCGTTGGTGTCTAGTTAATTAAAAAAAATGTCAATCTCAAACTCACTGGCAGCCCCACTGCTTGTGCAGCTTTGGGTGATCTGGCTCTAGCAAAATCCTATTTTTACAGCGCCAAAACATGAATCTTGACCAGCTTTCTAAATGGAGACCCTAAATTGTGACACTCGAATACATGCCATATCGGATCATCCACGAACATCAAGGGACGCGACTACCTGTAGTGTGCTGCAAGTTAGAGTTTCATGCATACGCAATCATCATCAGGCTGAAACATGAGGAAGCTACTGGCCATGCCGGTATTTACGCCAGGAGAGGTATCGGTGGTCGTCTGGTGTAATGCTATGCTGGTGTAATGCTATGCTGGTGTAATGCTATGCTAGTGTAATGCTATGCTGGTGTAATGCTATGCTGGTGTAATGCTATGCTGGTGTGATGCTATGCTGGTGTGAAGCTATTATGAAGCTGCAAGCTGCAGGAAGCCTCAAGATTTCTTTTGACATGCTATGCACAGTTTGTTGGCTTGGTATTGTTAGTTAGCTATGTGGGGAGCTGTGTGTGCATGTGGGGAGCTGTGTGTGCATGTGAGAAGCTGTGTGTGCATGTGGGAACAACATATCGCATTGCATAATTATAATTATAAGATATGCGTGGGGTATAGCTTACAAATCCAGAAGGGCCTTGTTCTTGGAAAACAACCCAGCCGGCAGGACTCCGAGGGGGGAAAATCCCATGGACCTAAACACACCACAGAACACGTCAAGGATGAAGAGCGAGAAAGTCAGCAAAATCCACATTGTCCTGTTCCAATGGTGTACATTCCAAAAGCATGCTTTGTAATTTTTGATTTAGTGTACAGTGCAGTGTGACTTTCACCGGTGATTCACACTGACTCATCGGCTTTTTCATTCCATTTTTTACTTAGTTGTAGAACTTGCAATTTCAAATTCGGACTTCACGGAGAATTTAAAAGGTTTTAGGAAATTAGAGGCTACATGCCACGTACTGCTCTTTTCTCTCCGAAACTCAACACTTGCAAGCCAGATATGAAAGAAAGTTGTAGAAAGTTGTAGAACTGTAGTACTGTCGGTCAGTTTTATGCAATGTTATCGCCATGAGCTGATTGTCAAGTAACTGGTGGCGTAAGTGGACAGTTACATTATAGCATAACTTGTAGTTCCTTGGTCCTTGTCTGTATTATAAATTATTATTTGTCTTCATTGAATGAACGTTTTGGAAATACATACATGAAAAATCTTACACACACCATCTTTTTTCGGAAATAGCAACTTTATTATCGCAGCCAAGAGGACAAACTGCAAGACAACCATTGTTATTTTTATCTCTCTCACATGTAGTTTAGTCATGCATATTAATGGCTACCGAACAGCGTGTCCATTATTTTATTTTTATTATTTTTTATGAAAGCGCATGTGCCTACATAGCATGCAGGAGAACAACAACAAAGAATATAAGTTATAAGTTTTTTTAATTTATTTTTTACTATTGAACACTCACTGCATGATGAACTAAAATGAGGAGGAGAACTCGACACAATGGTACATATCCAGCAGGACGGAGTGGGTGGGACCTGTGAAGCTCCGCCGACCAAGGGTCTCGGCATCACAGCTGAGTGGACTACAAATGGCGTGTAGGTGCTAAAAAGCTGTGCTGGTGAGGTGAAGTGCGTCCCCCTACCAATGGTCTTGGCATCATGTGGCACATCACGCACCATAATCGGTATCAACTTTACGTTATTTTAGCCGTATGAAAAACCAAGATAAATATGTCTTTTTCACAGACTCAACCTTCTGTCCTGGTACACCAGAACATGATTAAACTGAAACTCAATTTCCGCAACAGAATGATGACACTGTAAAAGTGCTAATCCAGGCATGCTATTGCTATTGGCGCGGCGGGTTGTGATGAAGCCGAGACCCAAGGTCGGCACAGCATCCCAGACCACGCCACCACTCCCCTTATTCATGGCTCACACATGACGGGTTTACGTGGCTCTAGTAAAAAAAAAAAATGCGTGTGTACTATGTCAGTACTCAACCTGCATGATTCTGATAGCAAAAAAACAGAAGGCACATAATTATACTGTTTCTAAGTTCTGGTTCATTTTCCAGTCGATAACTCAAGTACTCGCACCGATTTGCTCAAGATGTCATGTATATCTTCATGCATTTCATATTTCTAATCACAAGAGAGAGAGAGATTGGAAGCTGTATCTCTACTCATGGGATATTGTGTAGGGACAGGAAGTATGCGTAATACGATGGCAGCCCCAGGGAAGCGTGTTGTTGAAACAGACGTCCAGCCTATATAGCAAGCACCAAATGCCACGATGGGATGCTATTTTATCACACAGAGAGAAGCATAGACTACACTCGGAGGTGTGATATCTGTACTTTGGAAGTCAATAAAATAATGACTTCCAAAGTACAGGTACCACATCTGACTTCGCACGTGCTGCGTACAGTGCGTGCGAAGTCAATAAATAATGACTTCCAAAGTACAGATACCACAGGAGGCAGCTGTGGTTCCTTGTGATAGTGCTCAATACTCCAAGATGCAGAGCCTAGCACACACACTTCTGCTGTCCGATGATCAGCTAAAACCATGAAACTCAGAGTTACAGCAGAAACATGTTTGATTCCTCTCAAGTGTGTGTAGAAGCATAGGTATAAATACACTGCTTTTTAAACCCCATTTTCAGCCAGCAATGGAGTTGGAGCGGGGATAAGGTTTTGTCTGCGACATCACGGTGCACGATTGCATTTTGATCCTGTACATCTAGGTTAAACCCAGTCCGTTCTCTCTTTTTATTTTTACAGTTCTAAAGAAGTCTAAGGGGAAAACTTACAAGCGCTGGAGTTGTGGAAGTTGGTCAAACACTCCAAGTCGAACATTGCGTAATGAGCTGAACTGAAGGTCCCTGCAAGACCCGAGAATACAAAGAGAATAGTATATCTTCAGAGTCTGAACAGAATGTCGAACATTGTCTGCTGGGATGAGAACTACACCATAGCTCAGTGCGTACAGCATCGCTGGCCTCAAGCGAATGCCTCTGCTTCGAGCCCTGGTGGCGACAGTAAGTTTTTCTTCAGATTTTCCCGTTTGCATCTTTCCCTGAAAGCAATGAATAATGTATTTCATTGCAGAACATGGAATATGGAACGGGGATGGGGCACGTCGCTACGGGTCATCACTCATCACTAACTGTCCACCGCCGTGATAAGATAACACACAGTTAGAAAGTAAACATTAAGTCTGCATGTACTCAATCTGCAGACGGAACTGTGTCATCCTTCGTGGACTCTTCCACGTGGTACAGAAAAAAATGAAGCTGAACCTATAATTATCATAATGAAAAATGTATCTTCCAAAGCCGGGCCCGAGTGAACCTTGCCAGACTGCAGGGGCATCGGAAGGTATTCAACATTGGTGCCGCTATGGAGAGGTGGGGTCCAGGGTGCTCCCCCTGGGAAATGGTTTGGAAAACTGGGCCCCAATAGCAAAGATTTTTTAGCTTCAAGGTTCTCCGGATGAAATTATTGGTGTGTCTGAACGACTTTTCTATTTTATCGATAATTCAGTCCACATTTGAGTTTGGCAGCACTGCATACATTCACTGCTTTTCACAAACCCTAAACATTTTAACAAGCTTCTTACTGCCAGCTGCGTAGAGAAAATTTTCGTTGGATAGAATGACCCCCACCACTCTTCTATACAGTCATACGAACTTGTACACCCTTGAGAAACGCCTCAACTTTGGCACACTTCCGGCTGTGTCATGCCCCAAACGATGATAGCATCCGACGGTACGGTCGCCACATCCCCAAAGAGCATAGCTGATGTTCTGAACGTGCAGTTCACCGCATTTGGGCTACCTGATGATCCTTCATGGCGCATTCCCCCCTTGTCCCAGTCGCCTTTCATATGTTCCGTTCCGTACAATCACTGTCACTACATTTCAAGTTCGGAAATATCTGAAGCGCCTGAAATGTGGAAACTCTCCCAGCTCAGATGGGATCCCGAATGAAGTGCTGCAGTCTCTTGCACCATCAATAGCCTATCCTCTCGCCATTATTTTTAATATGTCATTTCGAACTGGTACATTCCCACAGGATTGGAAATCCGCCACCGTGACACCGCTTTACAAGAATAAAGGCTCCCGTGCTTGCCCGGCAACCTACCGCCCCATCTCTCTGCTGCGCACAGTTTCCAAACTTTATAAGCGTATTGTATTCGGTTCCCTCTACCTGCACATCGCTCCGGCTCTCTCACCAGCTCAGTCGGGATTCTGCCGTGGTGACTCAACTCAATACCAGGTGACTCGACTTGTCCAAGACTTAGCGACAAAGAGGAACTGTGGGGAGCACGTGGGAATGGTGTTTTTCGACGTGGCTAAAGCATTCGACACCGTATGGCATCGTGGCTTACTTGCCAAGTTGGAGGTCACCTTCCGGGTGGAGGATGCTGCCTTGCGTTGGATATCATCGTCACATGATCTGTCTGCTCGTTCTCAGGCTGTTCGCTTTTCCTATTTCTTGTCTGATCCTCTCCCTGTAACGTCTGGAGTGCCCCAAGGTTCCATTCTGGGTCCTTTGTTATTCTTGCTTTACGTTAATGACCCACCTTCAGTTGTCCCCGATGTTAGTTTGTATGCGGATGACACTGGCCTTAGCTGTTCTGATTCCTCCCCTGCACAATTACTCCTTACCATGCAGCATCACATCAACAGCACTGTCATGTGGATGCAAACGTGGAAACTCCAGCCCAATTTAGACAAGACAGAAGCCATGTATATTTCTTCATCCCCTCCTGATCAACCATTATACTTCCCTGACTCGACTATGCCTTTCCGTGTTGTTACTCAGCACAAACATATCGGTGTGATGTTTGACTGCAAACTCTCTTGGGCTGCACATGTCAACTGTGTATGCAAGCGAACCAGTTCAGCATTAGGGGTACTACAACCACATTGCACTCATTTGCCCATCCAGTGTAAACTATTATTTTATCAGTGCTATATTCTCCCTATATTCGACTATTGCGATACCACTTGGTGTGGCCTTTCTGACGCAACTCCGGACCAATTAGAAGTCCACCATAGATTTATACTTAAAATTCTTTACAACAAGGATCGATGCTTTCCATCGGATGCCCTTTATCGACTTGCACACACTTCTCCTCTCTCCGTTCGTCATAAGCACCATCTCTGTACACTGGTTCATAGAATATTTCTTCATAAAACCCCTTCACACATGATGAAGTACAATTGGTTTTCGACAAGCTCAACCCGTAACGCGCTCATCCTGCCTCTTGTTAAGTCAGCCCAGTATCAAAAGTCCCCCTTGTTTTCCGGTTACTCTCATTGGTTAGCATTACCATACGGTCTGAAAACTTGTTATTCTATTGGTCAGTTTAAAGATCTACTATCGCAACTGAACTAGACGCAATAATTATTATCGAAGAACATTTTCGAATACCTGGGTGATGCACGAATTTTGATTGTGCTCACTTCCGTTAATCGTTTTTCTTTGTAATTTTCCATTCATTTTTTGCTTTAATTAATATTTGCTTTGTTTTCCTAGCTTACTATTGCCGTGGCTGGCTCAACGCCCTTGTCTCAGGGGATTCTGTCCCTGCATTAGCTATGCTTGTCACATGCTATGAGATTGTGTCTAATAATAGTAATAATAACTTCAAAACCTATGTATTTCTTTATTGCTGCCTGAATGGACTTGCTAGTCCTCTTCTGCGAGACCGCTTTACCTTTCGCGTCCATGGTGCCCGGCCTACATCCACCACCCGTGGCCAAGTCTCTGCTGCTCTTGGTCTGCTCCCCCCCCCCCCCGCCAACACCCAATGTGGCTTCAGTGCGATGTCTTATTTGGGCGCTGCCAGGTGGAAGACACTTCCACCGGCTTTCTGCATGTCTAGTTCATCAGCTGAATTTCGCTCATCCATCAAACTATACCTACGGTTCCCTGTACAAAGGCGTCAATGCCTGTTGGGAATTCCCTAGTAAAATAAGAATAAAAACTGAGAATAAATAATAGAGAATAATGGAGATGATTACCGTCACCAAGAAACACTGAGACTTACAGAGTGGTAAGGTTCTCAAGCTGGAAGGCTCCGACCTGAATGTCTTGAATGCGATTGTCTGCCAGATCACTGTTCAGAGCAGACATGAAGTAAACAGTTATGTCAATGTAGATTCTTTCGCACAAACCAACATCATTTTCTATGAGTATGAGCTCAAATGAGGGGGTTGCGGGGGGGGGGGGGGGGGGGGATTCCCGAAACACTGTGTTTTAAGCAGGGAGTTTAGAGGCAAAAGCCTCACTGTGGAGGCGAATATCACTGAGAGGAAGGGCATTCCAAAGTGTGCTTCAGTGAGATGTAGAGAGGACTAGTGTCCCTCTAAGCCTAACCCCCATGTTGGTTTCGACCGCAGACTTTCCATTACAGTCATCATTGGTGCAGGACCAATTAATGCATGCTTCCATATGGTACCGCTTGCCTGTAAGGCAAAGACCGATTTTGCTAGCAATTCTGCTAACAAAATAATTATCGAAGAAGAAGAAGAAGAGGTTGGTGCGACTTCGGCTATAGTAGGGGAATAGTGTGTTTCTTGCAGGTTTGCCGAGTGGATGGTTCGATGGACGTCTCGTGTGCTCTGGATGGCAGTCGTGAGTCAGTCAAGTGAGAATTCAAGTCGGCAGGAAACCGCGAGCTGCCGTGTAGGGAGCAACACAATCTTCCCCCAAATACCGAAGAGTTTCGAAAAAGAATTTGCTTGCTAAACGGAGCAAAATATCGGTATGTTGGGAGAGTTTACACATTTTACAGTGCACTTAAAACTCATTTCGCACATTTCTTTACCAAAACGCAAGCATTGTGATGAAGTTGGTTGTTTCAACGAGCAACACACGCTTCCTGCCAGACTAAGTTCACGGTGACACATCGTCTGGGAAACTGTGATAATGTTAATCAATATAGCTTTTCGGCTGTTTCCTTTTCATGTATAATAATCTTCTCCTTCTTTTACCATGGTTGGCTATCACCCACATCTTCCTGTTTTGGCTGCCATCGGAAGCCATAAGATGTTGAATAAATAAATAAATGAACAAGCGTTTCGGAGACAGCAGTTTTAATATCGATACAAAGACAACTAATTGCACAGTAAGCATACGTAGATTCACTGATGATTGTAACAAGAAAACAGTTCTGAACGAATCCTCGCTTTCCCTTCCTTGTGTGCCTTGCAATAATCGTACAACATTTTACACATACATGTCGACATATATGAAATGCTTACTGTGCAATTAGTTGTCTTTGTAGCTATAAGGCCTAAACAAAAAATAGGCTTGTTTCCGGTCGGCAACCCCTCAAAAAGGAGACTCGGTCGGCCGGAATGAAACTTTTTTTGGATACTTTTTTTTGGGTTCCTAAATCGTTGTGGTATTGATGGACAAGAGCACCTACACATGTACATTGTACATATATCATGGCAAGGATCAATGTCAAAGTTGACTGACTCACTGTTCTTGTACAGCATGGGGTGTATTCCTGTTTTCGTACATTCTGAGAAATCAAGCAAACAGTTCGAGTCCTTCCAGCTCTGTTATTCTAGCTCGTATCGACCCCGGAGGTTTTCGAGCCGACAGCTGAGAATCTCTGCTACCTTGTAGGTGTTTCGATTCTGGAATTCGGTTGAGATTTGACTGAGTTATGACTCGTTGAGTGCACTTGCACACATGGCATTGCCACCGTTTGTATACATTTGGGACCAAAAAAAAGTTTCAGAATTTGGGAAAAAGTGGCCCGGTCGGGCGACCGGAAACAAGGTCATTATTTGTTTTGGCCTAATAAATAAATAAATGTGCCACCTCCCTGTATGCCAGGACTACCTACATGTATACTACGACTCACTGCTTGCTACCACTCCATGTATGCAAGAACTCCATTAGGGCTGTGACTACTTGCATGGTCCGACTCCATGTATGGTCTTACTCCATATATGGTACGACTCCGTGTATGGTCTTACTCCATATATGCAGTGACTCCATGTATGGTCTTACTCCATATATGCAAAGACTACATATATGGTATTGCTCCATGTACATGTATGTTACGGCCCCTAGTGCTAATGCAGTATTGGAGTTTTACCAACAGAGAATATGGTTAAATACCGTATTTTCCGGAGTATAGTGCGGCGCACTGCGCACCCCAATCTTCATTGGGGGTGCACACTTCAATCTTCATTGAAGTACATGCATTTCATATTTGGAGCATAGTGCGCACCTGCGATTTAGGGCCTAAAATAGCTCATCTAAAGTGTGCACTATACTCCGGAAAATACGGTAGTGTGGCAGCAGGTGATCAGGTCACATTCAGGTGCCTGTGATAGGCGGCGATATCACCACCACCATCGCCATGATGAGAGGTGGTACAGTTCAAGAAATCATCTCTCCCCATATTGCCCTTGCCGCACCATCAGGGCAGGAGCATAGCAGCCGGTCAGACTTTGGCCGGACCACTTTTTTTTAACAAAATGCCCCAAGTGCCCTGACCTCTGGTACTAACAAGATACTTATTTTTTAATGCAATAAGTTAAAAGCAAGTTGCGCATTCAAAACACACACACCATTGGCACAGGTTAGATCTCAATGGTGTTTGTTTTGAATGCGCGACTTGCATAAATTATTGCGTTGATTTCATTTCTGTCTGCGCGAAAACTGTTGAAGTATTTATTTTACTTTACCAATAGTTTAACAATCTTCTGTTTTAGGGTGAACCCATTCGATCGAGTTTTTTTCATTTACCAAATACAGCAGACAAATAGTGTGGCCTATGGAAGACGATCACTATGGAATGAGATAATGGCATCAGTACTGCTTGCCTCTAGAGTGTGCCCAAACCAGCCAGCATGGGAGGGCTAGGTACTAGGTGGTCTGGGGACATGTGAACAATATTATAAAATATACTGAGCCAGTAAGTAAAAAGTAAATTATCGTGTCCGTTCCCGAAGTGAACTCACGACGGCCGCTAACACCCGATAAACCCGAACCCGATAAACCCGATAAACCCTAGATGCAGATGCAGCGCCAGTAATAAATGTAAAAAGAGAAGAAACACATGAGAACGAGTTATGCAACAACTATCCACGACTGTCATAAGATGCTCGTTCCCGTGTGTTTCTTTAAAAAATATATATATTGATGCACATCAAGGTCGACAGAGCAGCCTGGCCCCGCCACCACTTCTCATGCTTATCCGGGAATATAGTGGACTTTCGTTAAAACACACACACACACACACACACACGCACACATGCACACGCACACACACGCATGCCCACGCACACGCACACACACACACACACACACACACACACACACACACACACACACACACACACACACACACACACACACACACACACGCGCGAGTTAACACTGCGCCTGCATGCACTATAGGTATGGTGGAAACTGGACCACGGTAATGTTTGCATGTACATGTACACGCTTATACCCGCACATTGCTGGTGGATTGGCTGAAGAGAGGAATATGAAAATCACACCATATGGATGACAGCTACACCATTGCTCAGCGGTTAGAGCATAGCTGGCCTTAACGTAAGTGAAGGTACCTGGTTTGAGTGCTGGTGATGACAAGCAATAATTGTTCTCCATGAATTGATTTCAATAAATTAAAGGCCGGTTCGCGATACAACCTTTTGCGATGCGACTTGCGACACCTGCGACGAGCTGCGACAGCGACACACGGTTCACAATCTTTTTGATGTTTACGACATCCCTATACAATAGTACAGTCCATTCACTGGAAACTGGCACCCTAACTTTCTGGTGTTTGAGGTCAGAATAGTCCAAGAACAGGGAAATAGAAATTCAGCCAGGTTTTACAAAATTAGGACAGGTATGCCATGGCGGAATGAGTGGAGAAGCAGATCCCAAACCCAGAGGTTTGAAATGTAAAGTGGGTTTTGATCCTCAATTCGGCCCGAATCGGACTTTCAAAAGCCAGCGGGACTGTTTCCGATGAATGGGCTGTAGTACCCTGCATGTGCACTGCACAAGCACCCAGGGTAGGAACTGTGCTCCATTTTGTGTACGTCGCGCTTCGCATGTCGCAAAAGTTGAACTTTCTTCACCTTCTGCAACAGGTGCTTTGCGACTGTACGCGACAGCGTGCGACAGGCATTTTCTGGTCGCAACCGTCGCAAATCGCATGTCAGCGCAAAAAGGTTGTATTGTGAATCGGCCTAAAAGAACACACATGTACATGATTTTATAATTATGCACATGTACACAAAAATATGTATGACTTACAGACGAGTGAGCGTTGTCCAGTTTGTAAATGCTGACTCTTCAATCAAGGCTACAGCTAATGGTTCAGTAAGGAGTGAGTTGAGATTTCTACACAGGCAAATAGATCAAATAGATCAATTAGATCTAATGGATCAAATGCAGTATTTTCAATACTCTCCATGGACAATTTCCGCAATCGTAGAATCAAAAAATTATCTTACCGATTGTGTTAACGAGAATGGACTCGGATGGAGAGTCTAGGATAAATTTATCAGCAGTCAGTGTCGTGCAATGTTATCGCATGAGCTGATTGTTTAGTAACTGGTGGTGTTAGGGGACAGTATAGCGGAACTTGTAGTTTCTTGGGTTTTTTTCTTTTCAATAGATTGTGTTAACCCATGGCATGCCTTCATAATCCCAACGAATAATTATTGCCATTATTTAGAGTTTTAGGATGGCAATAAACAGAATCAGCTGAAGCGACATGTTACGAAGGTTTTATTCAGATGTCACGAACAAATTCTAGAGAAATTGGTGATGGACAAAGAAATAGCTGTGATGGAAATGTATGTGTGCAAATGACCTTTGTGTTCAAAAGGAGAGTGTTACCTTTTTGAAGTTGTTCAACCAGTAGAATGTTGTGTTTGTCTGGCCATGTTGGGCCAGAATTTTGTCACTAGTGTTGCTTCATACTTGAATTTTGTCCCCTTGGAGTGTTCGATTGTTACCTTTCACGCACACGGTATCTTTCAAGAATACATTGTGATAAGCCTAGTTCACATTCGACGGGGCACAACGGGGTGCGACGGGACTCGACGTAAGGATCGACGGGAAGTGGTGGGACAGTCTGACGGCGTCCATGGTGAACACCAGGAACGAGAACGCAACCGCACTGCCGTACGGATCGGGAAGCGACGGGAAGAGTAGGATCGATCCAACTTTTCGTACCTTAGACGGGCGTAGACGGGGACGCAAGCATGCAAATAGCTGCATTTTGAGTGTGAACAGGAGATGGCGGCTTGCGCCGACTACTCCCGATTCGTACTTGGAAATTTTTAGCATTTCGAAAACTGCGCTTCCCATGATAACTCGCAGAATGGCTAACACGACTTGAGTTGAATTTTAGCAAGATAAGGTCTGATGTCACTTATGGTATTTAGGGATAGTTCAGGAGCATGACAAATGAACTGTTTTATCATTTCCTGGAGCTATTATTTGAATGGCACACCTTTTGAAGCTACTTTTTTGGTGTTCATGAAAAACTGGACGAATTTCGACTTGATCTCTTTCTCTCTTTTCTCACTCTTCAATAATCACCATGTAGTCGTTTCGTTCGTCTTGGTCTCTTGTCCCGTCTCTAATAAATGTCGTTCCACCAACCTACCTGTTCCCGTTGTAATGTCTGGATAATGTGTCGTCAGTCGAACGAAACGACTACATGGTGATTATTTAAGAGTGAGAAAAGAGAGAAAGAGATCAAGTCTGAACGGCAAGATAAAGGGCCTGGGTAGCTATGGCAAATATGGGTGCGCAAGTAGCTACCCAGGCCAACGGAATAAAAGGAGACAAAAGGTGAGTACGCAAGTGCATGCAGGCCAGCTAGAAAACGTACGGGAGGAGGTACCTAACAGTATTCTGTGTTGCAATTTGTTAATGCGTACAATGATACAACAATGCTTCGTGATGAGCATTGTGCTAAAGCTAGTTCGATGCATGTGTATATTTTCCATCGTTGCTATTATTGCTCTTCACATTGAGCCTTGATCATATGAGAGTGTTGGTGTTGCTACAGATGCGGAAAACTTAGTCCCATTGCGTATAATGCAAACCGTGCTTTTGTTGATGCAGAAACTATCATTCTCCTCCCGCCCATAGCAATAACCCAAGTGCACGAAGTTTCCAACGAGTCACTGTTCGGGAATGTGGCGTTTGAGAAGTGTGGGATTGGTGTGTCCAGGCTTGCGTAGTGCAATAACAACAACAAGAATTCACGGTTCGCGTGAGACTCGGCTGGAAGCCGAGTTTTCCGCATTCGCCGTGGGAATGCCACCACCCTCTAGGATCAAGGCGCAGATGCAGCTCCTAAACGGTGGGAGGTGAGTAGATCAGACCCACCACCAAGTGGTCAAAGACCGAAATCCCATTAGCTGCATCCATGTTACCCTCGTGCCAGGCCACGAGTTCCCAATTAACTGTGGGTCGCAGCGTAGTGCAAGCCAACAGTCAAATATTTTCCGCATCTGCATGACCGCCAGCACCCTCTAGGGTCAAGGTGCAGATGCAGCTACAAAAGCGGTGGGAGGTGAGTAGATCAGACCCACCACAAAGTGGTCAAAGACCGAAAATATCATTAAATTTTGCTATATACATGCTTCCAAAATATTCAACCAAATGACATTGATTTTGTGCAAGGGATATTTATGCATTGTGTCTAAAAATGACCATTCTTCCGGCAGCCTTCTGATGGTACTCTGCTGAGTGAGTGTCAACCTTCACAGCAATAGTATCATATCACAAGGACTAACAGGAATAGTGCTGTCTCACACCAACTTTGCACTTGATGAAATGCTCACCTACATTGTCATATCTTAGTGCTAGCCTGCAAATTGTTGCAGATTACAAGTAGTAGCGTGAATTCCGTCCCTGCGCTGTCTTATGTCAGCCATCTTTGCATCTTCTCCTATATCCCTGATGATGCCCTCCTGGGAGACAATTTGGAAACAATTACTGTACGTTGTCTGATGATTGGTTCCAGGGTGTCGGACACGGTACGGTCACTACGGTAACGACCATACCACTAGGGGTGTCGGACACGGTACGGTCACTACGGTATTGACCGTACCACTATTCCCAAGTACCCCGTGATTCAATAAAATGCAGTGATTTGGGCTCTGAAATTCCAAAATTTTCGGCTCAGCTACCCCTCCCCCGCGAGTAAATTGTACTTCAGATGGCTGACCGCACCACACTAAATTACCTTCCGACGCCCCTGGGTTCAGCCATGAGACTCCGAGTCGCAACGTAATTTGCCCAAGGTTTTCATTGTGTGCATTTGTGTATGAGGTGTAGCCAAGGACTGTTCATGTGTTGGAGATTTGATGTAAAAGCTATAGTAGTGTATAATAATATTATGACTTACAGTCGTGTCATACTCGCTAGCTGGGAGAAGGCTCCTCTGCGGAAATACTGGATTGGATTTAGTTCAATATTCCTGGCCAGGGAATGAAACAGAAGACCAGAACTACTTTCACACCTTAAAAAAAAGAGTAAATTATCGTGTCCGTTCCCAAAGCACAGTGCTGGCAACTGAAATCCGACCCCCTGAGCGGTGGGTTCACATTCTTTGCGATGTGAGTGCACCTCTCAGGGGGTCGGTTTTCAGTTGCCAGCACTGTACAAGAAAAGAAAAATGTACCGGTTTAATCATGGACATGGTATTGAAACGGATGACTCTCAGCAAATGCAGTTTTTGACGATCTGGTTGAGCCAGCATGGCATAGCTGCTGCTGTTGTAGGTTGTGATAACATCCACAGCTCCCTAACTGACGAATATCACTCCAACAATACCGTTTGCCATGATCTACAAAGCGATATGTCGGCAAAATCAACAGACCGCTGTTAGTTTGGTTTAATAGCGTGAATGATCCGTTTTCCTCTCGAAAGCAGTCGAGCGAGTTTTGCTGCACGTGGTCTGTGGTTTGCTTCAGTTCAATGCTCCTTCATCGCCGTCCAAACCAGCCTAACAGCCTCAACCAAAGAAATAGAATTATTCATTTCCCTCCAAAAGACAAACTTTGTACAAATGAGTCCATGCGCACAATGTGTACTCCTGAAGCCATAATGCACTGTATCAACATTGTAGCTGATGTTTTCAACACTGTATCATAACTGATATCCTATAAGCATTGCATGCATCTGTTGTTATGCGCATTGAATAGACATGATGTCATAATATGCACAGTATAATTGTAGAGTGATTTTTTCTATGCACTGGTTATAACTGCTTTCATAATATCATGAGATAGCAGGTGGCAGCTTGGGTCACTTACAATTTGACAAGCTTGGGAATCATTGAAAACACTCCGTTGTCAAGGGAAACGAGAGAGTTTGCAGAAAGATTCCTGCCAACCACGCAAAACAATGACATGTCCGAATTCAACTAAAAAATGTTCTTGACGGGATACCAACTATTCACCGAAACCGAATGACGTATCATTGAATAGACGGCTCACAGAATGCATTCTACACTGACAGACCATTTCACAGAAAGCCTGTCTGACCGAAACCAGTTTCACAGGGAAGCATCACATCGAAGTCATGACTCATGTGTCATACACCGATGCAGCACAAACTTGCCATACAGTCATGCCTCAAACAGTCATACTCCATACAGTCATACTCCACACAGTCATACTCCATACAGTCATACTCCGTACAGTCATACTCCATACAGTCATACTCCATACACTCATACTCCATACAGTCATACTCCACACAGTCATGCCTCATACGGTCATACTCCATACGGTCATACTCCACACAGTCATACTCCATACACTCATACTCCGTACAGTCATACTCCATACAGTCATACTCCATACAGTCATACTCCATACAGTCATACTCCACACAGTCATGCCTCATACGGTCATACTCCACACAGTCATACTCCATACCGTCATGCCTCATACAGTCATACTCCATACAGTCATGCCTCATACAGTCATACTCAATACAGTCATACTCCATACAGTCAATGCGCCACCCAGTCTCACACCTTATATTAATACTTCACACAGTCGCACACCTTACATTCATACTTCACACAGTCGCACACCTCCTTAAATTCATACTTCACACAGTCGCACACCTCCTCACATTCAAACTTCACACAATCATGGCTACTTACAGAGCTGTAAGAGATGTTAGAGCCGAAAAGGCATTGGCTTCAATGGCGGAAATTCTATTGTGAGACAAATCACTGTTCAGAAGATACAGATTTACAAGAAGAAATAGTATGTCAGCTACGTTTGGCCCAACAAGAGGGTGATTTTGATGACGCCATCAATAGCAAATACAAAAATGTATCATCCCTGCTGCCTAACTCAATCTGCTCATGCACTAGCCACTCTCACCCGTACAACTAGTTTGATCACGCGAAAGGCTAAAGGGACAAGCCCAACTTTTTTTGCGGATTTTCTGTCATAAAAAAATAAACGTCACAGGCTGCTCTTCGTAGGTGTCCGCGTCCCAGCGGTCCGGGCAAGCGACCGCACCTCAGTGGGACACTTGGCCGTGGCTTTTGTACTGCAATCTGTGGGAGAGCCTTTCCAGGGGTAGTACACACCTGGCCTGGGTACCGGGTATGGACGAATCCCTGGTGTTGATCCTTTTTTGTTCCTTTCCTTTTTATTTGTTTTTGCTGAGAAAGAAACGTTGCTGTTTCTGTTCCCGCCAGCGCCTTTGCTCTAGTAAAACATTGCTGGCTGATAAATGGTCATTGCTCGTGATGCCAAAGGTGAAGGGAAGCTGGGTTTCTTGCCATTTGCAACTCCCTGTCTCTGAAAATGTAGCTTGTAGCTCCGAGTATTTTAGTTTTTCGACGTGCCAGACCTATTGGTATGAGCTGCAGAGATGAGGAGCAACGAAGGCGTTGGATTAATGCGTTGGATTGATGCCAATAATGGTGTTTATGGCCGGACAACGCCAGCGGTTTTCACTTGTCAGGAGGACAGTCAAGTTGGAGCAGGCAGATGACAGATTATTAATTTTGGCGCATTTTTTTGCAGAGTGGGTGGCTTGCCGAAGAGAATCATCTCAGTACCTCATGGTTACTAGTATCTGACAAATGCCTCTTATTGCTAGTCTGCATTAGAGCATAGCAGAATTGATCATGTCACAAGTACTAGTAGTGTCAAGACTTGATGTGCTACGATTGTACTCAGATCATGTGGCAACTTCACGGCAATTCGTCCTGCCACTTTACGCTCTCCCGGAATTCCCTGCAGAAGTCACGTGCCTGTGCAGGGGACAACGTGTTTGCATTGCTTACTGATGCAAGCGGATGGAGTGCAGAGCAGATAAGAAGATATAATCTGGCTATTCAAATAGCTTCGGCTGCTATTAATTGGCTGGACTCCTGGAAACGTGGGCAAGAATCTAAACCAGTCCACGGAAACGATGTGACGCCACGCAGGAAGCTAAATGGCAAACCAATCAAGTTCTTTGGTAATGAAACCTTTCACCAACGTTGTCCGGTTTCATGCCTAGTGTCACTCACACAAGACCAATGGATGCCACATGTACCTAAAAGATACGCTGTTGATCAACCACAACTCAAATACCACTGAGCAGCGTCTTCTATACAGATCCAATTAGATATTGAAGTATATGAGTCGAAGTTGCTGGTATAGTCTCTCCTAATGACCGCGTATTTGGCATAATTTTCTCTATACTGCACTCTAGAGCTACTTACCTTTTCCGACATTGAACTCAGGCAGTGACCACTCGCCCACAGAATGAGCCAATTGACACAGACACCAAGTACCATGTGCATTCGTCGCAAGAGAGACACGCAAGTTTGCAAGTGCAGTGGATGTACACCCACTGATTTTCTCTTATGCCAACGATATCAGACATGACTTGAGTGAAACATATCAAGACTAGCACCGCATTACTGCCCAATTCCGTAATTATAATTATTGCGATGCCTTGTGAAAGGATTCTCAATGCACACCTGGTCTACGTCACACGGAATACATCGGATGATAATGACCAAGACAGCTGCCTATGTCTCTCTCTCTCTTTCCCTCCCTCTCTCTCTCTCTCTCTTTCTCTCTCTCTCTCTCTCTCTCTCTCTCTATCTTCATCTATATCTATCTATCTATCCAATCTGGGGACAGAACTGTTTCGTCCTTTGTGGACTCATTAGCACAGCACAGAGAAATGAGGCCGAACCTGATTGCAATGAAAAATAAATTCCAAAGCCATATTTAAACCAGGGCCGAATATACTGTGCCAAAAAATATCTCTCTATCTATCTCTATCTCTTTATCTCCTTGAGGGCACACTGGGTCCCCTGTTTTCGCAATTCTCCACCTATCAACTCCCTTCTGTGTGTGTGTGTGTGTGTGTGTGTGTGTGTGTGTGTGTGTGTGTGCGTGCACGGGTGCAGGGTATATGCGCACATATCTTTCCTTCTCTTCCTGTATTTACCTGGTTTGTGAATCGGCTTTTTAATCGTATTTTTTTCGGCTCACTGTTTTATGAGTTCACCTCATTATTGCACACAGGCAAGCAGTCAGGCAGCATTACAACAAATCAGCTTTGCTTCACTCCTGTACAGTAGTGTCTACTACACTCTGCTTTCGCCGCATTCGACAACTCTCAGCACTCTAGATCTGTGTGCATTATGCTGCTACCTACTTGTATTATACTACTTCAGTATTAGAAATCTAACGAACGAAATCTCTCGTATCTGTGTGTCTCCACATGTTTCTCTGTCTGTCTGTCTCTCTATTCTATTAATATATCTATCTGTCTGCCTCTCTCTCTCTCTCTCTGTGTCTATGTGTCTCTGTCTGTGTCTTGGTTTTTCTGTATGCCTGTCTTTGTCATTCTCTAGCTGTCTGCCTATCTCGTTCTGTCCGTGTGCCTGTCCCTATCTGTCTGTCTGTCCATCTGTCTGTCTGTCTTCCTTTCTGTTTCTCTGTCTCCATCTGTCTGTCTCTGTTTTTTCTGTCTGCTTCTCTTCTTCAGTCTTTCTCTGTGTGTCTCTCTTTGTCCCTCACTCGGTCACTTTTCTCTGTCTCTTTCTTTCTCAGTTTTCTCTCTCTGTTTCTGTGTGTGTGTGTGTGTGCGTGCGTGTGTGCGTGTCTCTCTCTCTCTCTTCTCTTCTTCTCTCTCTCCCCCCTCTCTCTCTCTCTCTCTCTCTCTCTCTCTCTCTCTCTCTCTCTCTCTCTCTCTCTCTCTCTCTCTCTCTCTCTCTCTCTCTCTCTCTCTCTCTCTCTCTCTCTCTCTCTCTCTCTCTCTCTCTCTCTCTCTCTCTCTCTCTCTCTCTCTCTCTCTCTCTCTCTCTCTCTCTCTCTCTCTCTCTCTCTCTCTCTCTCTCTCTCTCTCTCTCTCTCTCTCTCTCTCTCTCTCTCTCTCTCTCTCTCTCTCTCTCTCTCTCTCTCTCTCTCTCTCTCTCTCTCTCTCTCTCTCTCTCTCTCTCTCTCTCTCTCTCTCTCTCTGTCTCTGTCTCTGTCTCTGTGTTTCTCTGAATCTTCGTCTCGGCCTTTCTGTCTGCCTATCTGTGTTTGTCTGTGTAACTCTCCAGCTGTCTCCCTGTCTTGGTCTGTCTCTGCTTGTCTCTCTATGTTTGTCTGTCTTCTTGGCCCTGTACTTATGTCGCTGTTTCTCCGTTTGCTTCTCTTCTGTCTCTTTGTCCCTCTCTCAGTCTCTGTGTCTTCTTCCTTCTCGATCTGCCTCTCCCTTTCTGTTTTTTTCTCTCTGTCTCTCCCTAAGGACCCTCTGTCTCTGGCTCTCTGAGTCTTTGTGTCTGTCTCTCCTTTTGTCATTCATTATGTGCGTCCCTCTGTTTCTGTCTCGGTCTTTCTGTGTCTGATTGTCTGTCTCTGTCTGTTTTCTCCTCAGTCTGTGCTTTGTCTCTGCCTCTTTCTCTCTGAGTCTGTGTCTCTGTCTGTCGCTCTTTATGCGCAGCATCCCTCCGTTTCTGTCTTTCTGTGTCTGTCTGTCTGTCTCTATCTCTCTACCAGCCGCTGTTCTACACATAATGAAATTGTGTGGCACCGCGCACGTGGCTATGCGTGGGACATTCACACGCACACACACACACACACACACACACACACACACACACACACACACACACACACACACATCCGTACGCTCGATCATACAAGTACATGTAGTAGTGAAGAATTCACCTCAGACACATTATTAAAACGTATCTCTCTCTCTCTCTCTCTCTCTCTCTCTCTCTCTCTCTCTCTCTCTCTCTCTATGCCTACCACTGTGCTGCATATACAGTTAGTGAAATTGAATGGCACAGAACACGTACATTACTGTATATTTACCCACACGTGGGGCATTCACGGATGCACCCACACACACCATGTATACGCCCGTCGCAAGAGAAGCACCAAATCTGCAAATGCACACCCACACACACTTGTACGCTCGATCATACAAGTACAATGTAGATTATGTAGTAGTGAAGAATTCACATCAGAGACATTAAAACGTCTCTCTCTCTCTCTCTCTCTATGCCTGCCACTGTGCTGCATAATATTATACAGATAGCGAAATTGGTGTGGCACATAACATATACATGACTGTATATTTACCCACGGGCCAAGCGTGGGGCATTCACGGAGGCACACACACACCACACCACACACATGGCCTGCAGCAAATAACATTTCATAGCTACAAGACCTTCAAAGAAAGTCATGGTGTCAAGAAGATAGACACGTACAAGGATAATTGTAAAGTATAAATTATATTATACATGTACATGTAGCAGGGATATTCTCAGAGAGTCAAACTACCGGATGAAATGGCAAACGAAAGTCTCAACTTCAGAGAGTAGAGTAGAGAGTAGAGTGGGTGGGTGTGCAGACCAGCGAAGGTCATAACAAATTGATAATAACGTGTAACCAATGCCGGCAATGGATAATGTGTGAGCGACCAAAGAGGCGTACATAGCATTACCTGTACCACCATAAACACACCTTGACCTTGCCCATTGCGTAGCAATGATACTGCATTGTTATTTCTCCAGTCCACGACAGAATGACTGACGGCGTTTCAGGTCGCCGCTTCGACGGAACATGCGGCCGCAGGCGCAACCGTAGCCAGCAGCAGAGGGTGCCTTGTGTGGTCGACGGGCAATGGCACGCTACTCCGGATGGTTCTGGGCTGCATCGTACCATCCACATGTTGGTACCGGTGGCTCAACCGACGCAAAGTCATGCATAACGTCCCTCCACCTCTTGCGTGGATCACGCGCGGGGCGCGGGGCAGGCAGTTCAACGAAGAGAACACACTTCGGCAACCGGTGATCTTCCCTCCGTGCCACGTGTCCAAGCCAGCGCAAACGTCATTCCCGTATGATGTGACCAATGTCCTCAGGCACTCCAAGGGTCTTTGCAAGGGCTGAGGACGTTGCGTGGGTCTCCCATTGCTGCCGTCGCGACACTCCAACGATAGATCTGACACATTGATGGTGGAAAAAGTTGAGGTGTCGTAGGTCCGGAGCCTTCGTTGTCCAGGTCTCCGCGCCGTACAGGAGGGTAGAGAGCACCACGGCAACATACACGCGACGACGACACTGCAAACTCAGTGACCGGTTCTCGGGTACGGCTTGCTTCAATTGCAAGGAACTAAATACGGCAAGCAAATCGAGGGACATTAGGTGCAAACCTCGTTGTTCTAGTTGTTTAGACTGCACGGGGTCTTGAAAATACTGAGCCTCCACGTTGTATCTGTGTGGCATGTGGCATCCGTTGATCTCGTTTGAGTAGTAGTAGGCATGCACTGCATTATGTTTTGATGAAAGGTTCGATAGCTGATGAATGGGTTTATCATTTGGCTTCCTGTGTGGGTATTGCTTCTGTGGATTGGTTTGGAGCAATGTTCAGATAGTCCAGGCATCAGGCAAATTTATAATGGCGGTCCAAGCTAGTTGAATATCCGGATCACTTTTTCTCATCTGGTCTACACTCCATCCGCTTGCATCCGTAAGCAATGCAAACGCATTGTCCCTTGCACAGGCACGTGACTCCTGCAGGCAATTTTGGGAGAGCGTAAAGTGGCAGGACGGATATTCCCGTGAAGTTACAACATGATCTGAGTATAATCGTAGGACATCAAGTCTTGACACTACTTGTGACATGATCAATTCTGCTATGCTCTAATGCAGACTAGCAATAAGAGGCATTTGTCAGATACTAGTAACCATGAGGTACTGAGACGATTCTCTTTAGCAAACCACCCACTCCGCTATAAATGCTCAAATAATCTGTCATCTGCCTGCTCCAACTTGACTGTCCTCTTGACAAGTGAAAATCGCTGGCGTTGTCTGGGCCATAAAACCATTATTGGCATTAGTCCAACGCCTCCCTTGCTCCTCATCTCTGCATCTCGTAACGATAGGTCTGGCACATCGAAATCTAAAACTAAAATACTTGGAGCTCTTATTTGTTCAAGCTATATTTTCAGAGCCAGGAAGTTGCAAATGGCAAGAAACCCAGCTTCTCTTCACCATTGGTATCACGAGCTATGATCATTATCAGTGAGCAACGTTACTAGAGGAAAGTCGCTGGAGTGAACAGAAAGCTTTCCAAGCAGCAACGTTTCTTTCTCAGCAAGAACAAATAAAAATGAAAGGAGCAACACCAAGGATTTGTCTATCCCGGTATAGGTACCCGGGTGTGTGTAGCCTCTGGCATGGCAAGGTTCTGCCACAGATTTCCAGTACAACGGCCACGGACAAGTGTCCCACTGAGATGCGGTCGCTCGCCCGGACCGCTCCGACGCGGACACCTGCGAAGAGCAGCCTGTGACGTTTATTTTTTTATGACAGAAAACTGCAAAAAAAGTTGGGCTTGTCCCTTTAGTCCTACCCAGCAGACCCGTTTGATCACTGCTAACCATGGAGTTTCCGCATCATATTATAATCACGCATTCCATACCCACCATGCCATGTCAATCTCACTATTATTATCTCCTATTCGCCACAGGCCATCGTGAGAAGAACGATTTGAAAAATAGCATGTACTAGTGAAGTGGAAACAGATTGACAGACTGAGCAACTCACAGCGCACTCAGAGCTGGCAAGGTTGGGAACACGGACTGAAACCGAGTAAGATTGTTATAAGACAGATCTCTGAAGGGCACAAGGAAAACAAATGAACAAACAACCAAGAACATGGCTGGAGCACTAGGAAAGAGCACAAACTCCAGGTACCTCAACACTAACATTTGAGTTGCCTTGTTCTCAGGTGATGTGCGGCAAAGAATACTGGACAGATGAGAAATGCACAGAACATTTGCCTGCACATCGCCTGAGGAGAACGCAAGGATATTTACTTCTGAAACCTTACTGTCAGCATACTGTCACAAATGAACCTGAAGATTGTTTTCAAATATATTGTTCTAGCCTTTTGTGCCTCCGCTAAACTATTGACATTGGTCAGAGTGCCGCAATGGGTATGATACTAATGTATGCTGCACTAAGATCTCAAGAAATGGAAAAGATTCACATGATATCACACAAAAGAGGATAAATGCGATATTGCTTACAAATTCACAAGGGCCTTGTTGGAAGAAAACAGGGCAATAGGATTCAGTTCGATAATATGTGACCTTGTCAAGGACCTGAATACAGACACAAATAAATAGAGGAGAGGCAGGTTAATTAACCCTCTGACACCTGTGTCAGAGTGCAGCGCAGATCTGCGTTGCCAGGTGATAGCGTATGTTCTACATGTATGTATGTATAGCATCACACTATTCCTCTACCCAATGCTCTATGCCTTTCACCCGTCGACATGTAACATCTTTTGCTCCTATTTCAATATAATATGATCAAGATTTGGATGGCCGTCGTGAGTCAGTCAAGTGAGAATTCAAGTCGGCAGGAATAGCGCAAGCTACCACGTAGGGAGCAACACACAATTCCCCTATTATCGTCGAAGTCGCACCAACCTCTTCTTCATAATATATAATCAAGCTGATATTTGTTTGCCACCCCCTTTCCCTCGCATGTGTGTTGCAGAATGAGGTGTGTAGCGGTGCATGTTGGATGCGTGCGTCCAGATCCAAGTTGACTTATCATTTCGAGTGTGGGCAATGTGAGAGCCGATATGCAGGTGGGACCGTTCATCATCTGGACGCACGCATTCGACAACATGCACCGCTACACCTCGTTCCATGACACGCACGCTCCACTCAACCAATGGCTAAGGTCCACTCGACTGGTGCTTTCATATTGGACGTGTCCACCGGACATTCTGATTGTTCTGATGGTAGTTCTGATAGTTCTGATGGTAGTTCTCTAGACACACTGTAGTTTAAAAAAAAAAGTTTTATATTGAAAACCAAAAACCGTCAGACATGTGAATGTTGTTGTTGTTGTGTATTTTACTTCACCAAATGAACAGGCAGAGATGCCTTCTCACCTGCCCATAGGACAGGTTCTCATAGAATGATGAAGGGATGATATGCCGCTTGAAGAAAAAACAAGAAATGATAATAATATAAGACAGAAAGGACCAAAAGAAGAAAAGGAAAACATTATATGAAGACAATTAGGAATGTGCACATATACAGTCTACATGGTACATGGTGTAGAGAAGGCAGCACAGAAACGGCAGTGGTGGTGAGGCCTGAGCAGCTCATTCGACCGTGGGTCTCATAGTGTCTTGTATTAAAGCCTATCTCATAATTATAGAAGCCTGTCTTGAGTGGAAGCCGGATTTTCAAGATACACTGTCGGCACATAAGCCTGGTTTTAGTGTTGACACACACAGGGAAATATCTGGTCTGAATACAAGCCTTATGTGAATATAAGCCTAGCCTTGACATCGGCTTCTTCAGGAATAAGCCCGACTTCAGTACGCGACATTACGGGGTAAGGGTCTACGTGTGTAGAGCACTCCAAACAACAAACTGATCATGGTCTCATTGTGAGGCGAAGGACCCTTTTAATTTCAGTGCAAGAACACAATTTGGACTCGGGTGGAGAGCTAAGGATTAATTTATAAGAAGAAAAGAGGACCAAAGAGTAATTTATAAGAAGAAAAGAGGACCAAAGAGGTACTACAGTCCATTTCAAAACTATAGACGCGTACCTAGGCAAAAACCGTTATGCCAGCATCTATACCACATAAAATCTGTGATCACTTTGTGCATACATTTTTCCAAATTGGGCGTCTGTTATCCAATCGTTTAGAAACTATATGAGAGTAATTGTGGAGCGGTCCTGAGCAATATTCCGAAAACTATTTTCAAAAGGTTCCAGCCAAATTTGAAGTATTTCAAAAACCCTACGCTTCTATAGTTTTGAAATGGACTGTAGTTACTCTATACACTCAGACGTCTCTTATCCGGGCACCTTGGGACCGGAAACTGTCAGTAACTCAGAATTGCCCGTATCTCAGGATTACTCATCTACCATGTATCACATCATTTTTGAAGAAGTTTATTTGGCACATATTGCACACGTTCAGGTTGCAGAAAGAATCCATTGGTAAAAATGTGTGGATTTCACAGGTTGGCAGTGACAAATAACCACTTGCACATACGAAAACAGTTCAAACCCCCCAAATTCAAAGCATTTTTACCATAGGAACTCAAGCTGAAGGTGCCCGGTAGAGAGCGGTGCCCGTATCTGAGGCGTCCGGATAAGAGGCGTTTGAGTGTATTATCCACTAACAGCACCAAGAGTTCCACCAAGTGATAGTGGACACTATAGAGTAACTAGTACCTCTTTGCTCCTCGTTTCTTCTTATAAAGAATACAAAATAGTAGTGCAAGAAACATGATACGGCAGGACAGTAGCGTGTGCTCCATATCGGGATCTAGCAGACTATTTGAGGGTACGCTACATACAGTGCATGGCACATCTAGATATGGGATGAATCACTACAAGAGGGATACCGTTATGGCCAGTCTAGAGCTATAAAGAGAAGACTTTACAACGTACCAAAAGAGCACGCATACACAATGGGTACACACACCATCATCAGAGGCGATGATAGCGATGCCACAGCAGGAGCCATAGTAGCTTGTGCTGGGATTTAACCATTCAACAGCTCGCAAGGCTGAAGAATTGACCGCCACTATTCAGTCCACACCACACAGCTATGACGTGGCTTTTTCTGGTCAGTGAATCCCTACTTAGTACTTTTCCACACCTACACCCACACACCCACACACTAGAATAAGTGTGAGTCGTCCATTGCTAGTCAATTGTGTGAGCATCCTGAATGTCATGTTGTGTATTCAGACAATTGCTTTTCGATTGTGTCTCGTGTACTCAGTGCTAGATTGGTGAATGTGTTGGTACAGTACGGACAAAGTCTAGTCCATTCAAACAGACAATAATAATAAGGAAGACGACGGTCAACTTACAGGTGACGAAGCTTTGGAAGTGTGTCAAACACTCCGCCTTGGAGAGAAGAAAAGCTGTTGCCACTTAGGTCCCTGTCGGCATCACGCAAGAACCAAGGAGAAACACATGTTGGCATTCGCTCATCTGACTCTGGCTATCAGGGGATATGTTAAATTTGTGCAATGTAATGTAATTCCTGCATTGATATTCACCACCAGCATTCCACTCTGTGGCCTACCACATAAATACATCTACTCACTTGCCCACAACGGCAACAAGAGGTTTCACAAGCTGTCAGAAGGAACAAAGAAGTCAATGCCCGAAGGAACCTCTTGTTGCTGTAGTGGGCAAGTGAGTGTATGTATGTGGTTGGCCATCCAGTGCAATGATGGCGGTGAATGTCAAGGCAGAAACTTTCAATGGCCAAATGCTGCTGCTTACCCTCTGGTAATGTTTGAAATCTTTTATTTGATTGTTTTCGACTGGTTTGAGGGAAAGACGCACATGGGAAAAGTCTGAAGAAAATATTGACTGTCACCATCAGGACATGAACCAGGGACCTTCGCTTGTAGCCAGCGATGCTCTAACCACTGAGCTGGGGTAAAGGCGTCATTCCAGCAGAGACCGTTCAACATTTTCTTCAGAATGATTGTTATATTATTTTTATTTCATTTCCCCACAGGTACAGACACAGGTACAGACACAGGTACAGACATTGTTGCCTTCTCCACAGGTACAGACATTGTTGCCTTCTCCACAGGTACAGACATTGTTGCCTTCTTGCTGTGGATCCCGAATGACCAATCTCATCAACTAGCACAATGTCTCTGTGCATGCAACTCTAGGTGTTTATACTTTTTGCTTCAATCGCGAAATATCGTTAAAGTGCAATTGCTCAGGTATACACACACCGAACGGTTCTGAGAAAGTGTTCCAATTGTGGCAAATCTGGGGGTTATGCACAGGTGGTTGTCCAGCATGTCCTCCACTTTGCCAATGCATAACATGTCACACACACGCGCGCACGCACACACATGCACACACACACACACACACACACACACACACACACACACACACACACACACACACACACACACACACACGCACGCACACACGCACACCCGCACGCACACACGCATGCACGCACGCATGCACGCACACATGCACGCACGCACGCATGCATGCACACACACACGCACGCACACACACACACACACACACACATGCGCGCGCACACACACATGTGCACACGCGCGCACACACACACATACACACACACACGCACGCACGCACACACGCACGCACGCATGCACGCACGCATTCACGCACGCACGCACGCATGCACACACACACCTTGACCTTTTACGCCCATCGCCGGAGGCGATGATAGCAATGCTACGGCATAAGCCATAGCAACTTGTGCTGGGATTACACCATTCAACAGCTTGCAAGGCTGAAGAATTGACCGTCACTATTCAGCCTGGTCTACACCATACAGCTATTTGGAGTGACATTTTCTGGCCAGTGAATCCCTATTTTTGGTCTTTTTCATTTTTTTTCCCCACACACATCACACCACATACGCCGGCATGCACTGGCTGTTGGTAACCACCCAGGAGAATGAAAGAAAAGTCAGGAAGAGTTTGAGAAAGAGAAGAAAGACGTGTGTGACCATAATCGTCGGGAATCGAACCCGCAATCTATCGATTGGAAATCGCTGCACATACCACACACACACACACACACACACACACAAACACAAACACACACACACAGAAAGACACACACACACTCACATGCACTATAGCATGCATTGCACAGCTTACAGATTAGCTAAGTTCTCAAGCTGGAAAGATCCATTTCTGATTTGCTGCAAATTATTGTGTCCCAGATCCCTAGACAGACAAGATATAACAGGTGAGTAAATGAAAGCTCAATAATATGAGAGCAATGATGTGTCTCGTCAAGAGCACATAACCCCCAAGAGTGTGCTACTCCGGCTATGGAGTCTGTGACGGGAGAACTTCAGGTCATGTGACAACCCCGTACACATACGTTGCACCCTGTGCATGATAGATACAGGGTTGTACGCAGCTTTCCATTACAGGGAGGTAGGGAGGGGGGGGGGGGGGGGTAGAGTGTATTCGAAATGCAGAGCATTTCCAAAAAATGAGAACTTATGAGATGCTCCCTTACACGAAGGGAGTGTATCCTCGGAGAGTGAGTGTGGCCTACATGCGGTTAGTGGTCGTGGGCCTTCGACCGTATGCAACTCTTCGGAATCACAAGCAATGTCAAGGTATTCCTTTGGGAAATGTTTCACTGGCTTTCGTTTGAGCAATTATCTCTTAGTAAGACCTGACTGGAGTCAGCTTGACAGAGCGTGGAGAATGAATCCTAAACAGATATGAACCTTGAATACAGATCACACTGTTAATACCTATCCGGGAAGAGTGCGATAACATATTAATCACATCCGTTTGACTCGGCTAGAAGCACAGTTTTCCGCATCCGTACGAACACCACCACCCTCTAGGACACAGGAGCAGATGCAGCTCCTAAGCAGTGGAAGGTGAGTAGATCAGATCCACAACAAAATGGTCAAATACCGAAAATCCCATTCACTGCATCCATGTTTCCGACGTGCCAAGACCCATTGGCAAGTAAATTGTTGAGGGGTTCTCTAATTGCACGATATTGAATGTGTAGCATAGCAGGGGGGGGGGGGGGGAATAGAGCAAGTAGTATTGTTTCGGAGGCGGGATTTTCCCCAGTTCAAGTCCATTAGCCTTTACAAGGAGCTTGCCGAGCATGCTTATCCGGTGCTATGTTGCGTATCCTTTTGAGGTCTCTCGTTTCCGAAAGTCGTTCTCCCCTGCGGGTCATATTGGCATTGATTGAGCTTACAATGTTTGTGCGAGGTCGTCCTCGAATTGCAGCCGGGTGTCCAAGTTTATCGTCTACGAGTAAATATCCTTGGAAACGGTACTATAAAAGTGAGTTTACATGTAGTGCAAATGGCCTATCAGCGAAACAGCATTATTGTGTCCTGCTGATTGCTCTACTAAGCATGACACTGGAGTAGAGACTGTATCTTATAATTGGCTGAACCTCTGTAAGGAAGAGTCCTAGAAACAGTGTCATAAGCGTTGATACATCTCAGTTCAGTACATCGAGACGTATTCCTAGACGTTGCCACGAGTTTCAAGTCTTGCACGTGTATAGCAAAGTAAACTAGCAAGGAACTACAAGGTCACGCTACAAGGTCACGCTACAAGGTCACACTACAATTTCACACTACAAGGTCACGCTACAATGTCCACAAACAACACCAGTTACTTGACAATCAGATCATGCGATAACATTACTATAGCGTAACTTGTAGTTCCTTGGTCCTTTTCTTTGCTAAAAATTAAGCATTGCCTCTCCATTAGAGTCCTTTCTTGCATATTTATACTGATTACTCATACCATATCTATGGATTGGAGAGGAGTAATGAAAAATGGAAGACGATATCCCACAATGATATCCACTTACAGTTGAGTGAGGGTTGGCCAGTTTGTAAATGCTGACGCCTCTATGGTGGAATTCCCTGACTTGGCAAACACATTGTTGAGGTTTCTAAAGGCAAAAGGTAAAAAAACTGTCTTTATTGGCACAAGGGAAAGGTGCAAATGGGAAAAGTCTGAAGAAAACATTAACTGTCACCACCAGGACTTGAACCAGGACACTTGCTCATGGTCAGCCATGCTCTTCAAGCTAGGGCATACTCGTCATCTAGGCAGTCATCGTTCAGTATTTTCCTCAGCCTTTGATACTCATGCATACTGTTAATCCACACAGGCTGTTGAGACACTCGCAGCTCTCACTGTAACCTACACACACCATCGAGATCGCGACTCAACTTACGAATGATGTATCGCAGCGCTTCGCGAATTGTTTTTACCGACAGCTGAGAGTTTTCTCTTCGACTTGGATTGTTAGATCTTTGGATTTGATTGAGATTTGAGTTACGATCGGTTGAAGTTTTGCATTCTAGTCAGATCGATCGCGCGCCCTACCAAAAAAAAGCCATAAAACGTTGCACGTTTGGAACATGGGGGGGGGGGGGGGTCCGGGCAACGGGAACCCCCTCCCCTCCGTACCCGCCGGTCATGCACAATCTAGAACGCGGTGAGCCCCAATGTAAAAAGTATTCATTTGCGCAAATGGTAAAAGCCTGAAGAAAACAATTGACTGTCACTGCCAAGACTCGAACTCAGGAATTCGAGTGTCATGTTTTGTTTCCAATTTGCTTTCCACCCATCCAAAAACATTGGCTGCTAAATATGATACAAAATGTCTAGCGTGCAAAGAAGAGTTAAATTCACAAAAATTATTAGAAATGAATAGTGTAAAATGTAACTCGGATGGTGAGCCAATTAAATTATTGTGAAAAGAAGAAGGACAACATGTTACGAGATATGACCTATACGGCGAAGCGTACGTCGTGTGGAACTACTTGTTATTGTACATAACTAGTCCATCATACATGATAGTGGAGTTCAGTAGGATGTTGACGCTTAGCTTCCCCTTTCTACGTTTATTACATAAACTTGAGCCTCCCAAGTTGGGTGGTCTGTTGCTTTGCGTCGTCGAGTTGTAGTAAGGCCGGTGTGTCCAATAGTCTTACTAGTTTCGTCATCATCCGGTAACTTTCGGCATTCTTTGTTGCCGTGATGCGTAGCTTGTGCTCTTCTTCGTTGCGCCTTCCTTCCCCTCTTGGACCTTTCCGAACCTGAGCCTTCCAAGTTGGAAGGTTGTTGGTTTGCGCCTTGGAGAAGTGTTGGAGCTAGGTGTCAGGTCGCCGAATATCTCAGTACTCCTTGTCAGTTTTGTGCCATTTTGTCGCACTCACTGACTGTATAAGATCTGGTCCTGTTGGTGGACAGTTAGTCATAACTCGTAACATTTTGTCGTTCTTCTTTTCACAATAAATTAATAGTGTAGTAGAAATATAACAACTTGCATATACATATACAATAACCAGTGTACAGGACATGTTATGACAGATTAGAAAACTTACAGCTGTGTCATGGAGCCTAGCTGGGAGAAGGCTCCACTGCCAATAGTGTTTATATTATTATGATCAAAATGCCTGGACAGAGAAAAACCCACGTCATGCAAACTATTGCCACAACTTAGAAACCCGAATTCGTAGCAGAACAAATTTCGAAAGTTCACTTGAAGAGAATTTCAGAATGTTGTCAAAGAACCTGAAAGCCGTCTTTCTGGTGAGTGTTTTAAGTTTCTAGTCAGTTTTCTGGACATGCGGGAATGTAGCAAAAGAGGTCTCCTCCGGTGATTGCAATCCAGCCAATCACCACTCCTCTACTCGCCTGCTGCTCAAAATTAATATGCCTCCAAATTTTCGCCTTCCTTCACCCGATCACAGATCTCTCCTGAAAGACAGCCTGCATTCTTAAATCCATCACCTTTTGTTGTTGTTGTTGTATACTTTATTTATAGTGGAAATCAAAACAGGCAAATTGCCTAATAACATTGGACCCACTGTGACCTTTTGCACGAAACCTCACCCTTTTTTCTTTCACTTACAAGTTGACAAGTTTTGGTATCATCGAAAATGTTCCTTGGTCAAGGGAAGAGAGAGAGACTCCGTACAAATACCTACCAAAAACACAAGACACAGATATGCTTTTCTTAAACAAATTAAAAACAGGTTTAATTGAGGTAAAAAGGAAAACACACGGGAACGAGTTATGAAGTAACTATAGTTAAACCAGTCAAGGCGACCACTTGGATAAGGTGACCACTCGGTTAAGGCGACAAGCTGTCCAAGAAGACCATTACAACCAGGACTAAGGGATGCTATTTCCAGTCAAATGACCCTGGATAAGGAGACCACCTGGTAACAGAGACGACGTTTTCCAGGTCCCTTGAGCGGTGGTGTTAGACAGCTTTCACTTTATCCCCAACTGTGAGAAGATGATAAGTAGTCAGAAAGTGTGATAACTGGGCACTAAACTGACATGCTACTGAGACATTCAACCACCTGAGACCTAGCTCTAACACATCTCCAGTGTGCAAGCCAACAGTCTATTCTTCTATTCTACATTTAATACTGGCTCATTTCCCGACTGTAATCAAGTTAGAATATTTAAGTCAGTAGTCTTTCCGACGCATCGCCAGGCGTGTGGAGCACAGTCCTAGACTCGATACCGAACAGCACATACAGGAGATTGTTCAGCGGATCCAGCAACTCAGAGAGGTTGCACTGGGCTGCACCTTTCCACACCCTGGAGGGAAGGTGGGTTGGGGGGGGGGGGGTGACCGAGTCATATTTTAACAGAAACGTGAGTCGGCTGAAGCCAGTAGAAAGTTGGGAACACTAACGTATTTCTTTACTCCCACCTACATCTGTCTTATCAAACAAAAAGTTGATATTTTTGTGCAGGAGTTCCCCACGTGTTCTACATATACGTGTGTACATGCATTGCTGATGACATTGTTAACATGCTTGCTATGGGCATTGGCCACTTACAGGTCTAGCAGTTCTACGAGAGGTGAGAATGCTTCGTTGTTTATTTGCATGTGCCTCACGCTGGTGTGCGACAAGTCTCTGCAGATCGCACATAAAGACACATAGAGGAACACATTTGCAGTCCAGCAGACTCAGGAACATTCATAATCAGTAGCATGTTGGTGTGGATTCTCTTCAGTCGGTTATAGCAATAAAAAGAATAGATGGGCGAACATTAGAACGTAGCAATTACACAGTCATCTCACCAATACCTGGACAATCAAAAGCTTCGACTGAAATTGAAGTAAATTAAATCAGTCTCCAAATCTTCGTCATTGGCCTTAGCAGCTGTGAAACTCCGACAAAGGCGCACGAAGTGCTTCAGGATGCACATCGGTGTGACAGCATTGATCTCAGTACAGGAACTATTGTTGTCTGACAAATCACCGTCATCTCTTAACGATCTGGGTTGGCACCACTCGCCACATCCCAGCACTACCGCTATAGTTCACGTTCATATGCTTATACTGTTCCACTTTTAGTTGAGCATTTGAGTTGCCTTGAAAGAAAAAGAACGGAATATCAACAACACTGTTTCCATTGGTTGCTGTTGCCATCCGTTATGTGCAGGGTACACAATTGAGAGATTGTGTGTGCGTGTGAGTGTATGTGTACGTGAGAGAAGGAGAGAGAGTGGGTGCGTGAGAGTATGTGTAAGAGTGAGAGAATATGTTTGTAATGGTGTGAGCATCTCTCTCTCTCTCTCTCTCTTTCTCTCTCTCTCTTCTCTCTCTCTCTCTCTCTCTCTCTCTCTTTTTCTCTCTCTCTCTCTCTCTCTCTCTCTCTCTCTCTCTCTCTCTCTCACTCTCTCTCTCTCTCTCTCTCTCTCTCTCTCTCTCACTCTCTCTCTATCTCTCTCTCTCTCTCACTCTCTCTCTCTCTCACTCTCACACACACTCTCTCTCTCTCTCTCTCTCTCTCTCTCTATCTCTCTCTCTCTCTCTCTCTCTCTCACTCTCTCTCTATCTCTCTCTCTCTCTCACTCTCTCTCTCTCTCACTCTCACACACACACTCTCTCTCTCTCTCTCTCTCTCTCTCTCTCTCTCTCTCTTGTGTACAAGGCCCTGCGCTACATGGGCATTGAGTACTACTGGTATTGGGACAGTGAAGCATGATACTTGATTACTCACAGCGTAGTAACAGACGGTAGATGTGTCCAAAACCCGCGCTCAATGGTTAAATTCCTGTTGTACGATACATTGCTGTTGGGCAGAACATAATAACAGAACACATCGTTTCATCGTTCACTTTTCCTCTGCTCTGGATGGCAATCTTCAGTCAGTCAAGCGACAATTCCAGTCGGCAGGAATAGCGCAAGCTTCCACGTAGGTAGCAACACACAATTCCCCAATTATCGCCGAAGTCGCAGCAACCTCTTCCTCGTTGTAGGATATCTCCCAAAAGTTCAGCGTTTGCTTGTGAAATTGGTATTCCTCTTGCATATTATTGTCTTGTACTGCCCCAAAGCTCCCTGACAATGGTCTGAGTCCTTTTTTCATGAGGATTATCTGTTCTTTTGATCTTTTTGTTGAAGCATAAATAATTATTGGCTGTTTTCTCGAGCATCCTGCGAGCATCCGCTAGAGCATAATCTGGTCATTTTCCGCTCAAGCGTTGGTCGCCGCTCAAGCGTTGGTCGCCGCTCAAGCGTTGGTCGCCGCTCAGGCGCTACTGCTGCACCGTCTACTGATGTCCACAGCATCCACGGCATCGGCAATATTTAACTTTGTGATGTTACTTCTCGAAGCTGTCTGTGCAGAAAAGGTCCTGGTCATTTTGTTTTTGACCTGTGCTTCACTTGAGCTTTTTTTGCACATAAACGTGTTTTTTTGCATTTGTGCTACTCTTTAGGATTACGTCACGAGTACAGGTTTAGAGCGGTGCATTTTCGGGAGAACATCTTTCGCACACTGTTTGTATCTGCTGCCCATAGTTGAGCGAATGCTGGCTGGACTGCCACGTACATACCTACAGCGCGTTTCTAAAATATAGACGCGTGATTTCAAAAAACCGTTAGGCCAGCATCTATACCACATAAGATCTGTGATCACTTTGTGCATAAAAAAAATTGAAATTGGGCATTTGCTATTCGATCGCTTAACAAACTATATGAAAGTAATTGCGGGAAGGACCTGAGCAATATTCCGAAACAAATTCTCGAAAAGCCCCAACTAAATTTGAAATATTTCAAAAATACCATGCGTCTATATTAATTTTTTTGACATGGACTGTACAGTGCCCAGCTTGCTACAAGCGTCTGGAAACCACGCGGTGGGCGGCATTGTTCTCATCAATTTTATTCTTTACCGCAGTCAATAGGACAAGATGAATCGACATGAAATGTGTGTATACTCTATTCATGTTCTCACGCTGAAAGCACGATTTCATTGCCGTACTTAGAATATGGTGGTAAGGACACAGCTGGCAACATGGCGGTAAATACATGCCTGCCCACACACTCTCTCTAGGCTGCAAAGTTCTGGCACAGAGCTCTTTTTCTCACCGCCACCACCACCACTAGTTCACCCTTGGCACCTACCGTATTTCCCCGAATATAAGTCACACTCAATTATACATTTTCAGGTTTTAGCAATACTGATTAGATATATTGACTTCAGTAGTAAGTCATGCTCGGTTGTAAGTTGCACCCCCTTTTTCACCCTTGGAATTTAGTGTACAAAGGTGCGACGTATATTCAGGGAAACACGGTAGTCGATGCATGGTTGGCGGTATCCGGCATAGCAGGCTGGTGCATCAGTGCTTAGCATAGTATGGAGGCAGTGATGATGTGTGTAGAGTGCACCACACTCTCCCAGCCACACTGCCAATGTGATGTGAAAATCACTTACAATCTCACAAGTTGTGTCGTTTCGGAGAGCAGTCCAGTGGGTATCGCTGAAAGTGAGTTGTTATCTATGCGTCTGATCAGAGAGTGTGGAGAGAAACAGAAAATACATAAACAAGATGTTGGCAAGGAGTTTGCAACGGTTGTTCGTTTCTATGAATGAGCCACTAGATCTGAAAAGGGGGCTCATGTCGTTTCGCGCAGTATTGACAAATTCATTTGAAAGCTAAATTTTCCATACTTTAAGCGATGTGTAATTCACTTATTGAAACACCCATAACTCTTTGAAAGATAAAGGCTTTGCACCTAGGTTTTTCACAGAGTGGTCTGCTGCTGTACAGCAATGTCCTGGTATAGATAGCTTGAAATGCACAAAAATAACATAAGCACCCTTTTTGGATCTAGCACACAAAACAGCTGAAGCGCGCCTCTGAACAGCCAATTCATAGTAAGCTCTATTGTTTGTAAAACGAAAGTTTCTAGGAATGAGAGATGCTCCCAGGACCTTGCCAAATCTGCCTGAAAAAGCAGGTTCAACAACCTGGTATCCAATAGATAGAGGAAGTATGGGAGTAGAACGGAGCTGTTAGCAATTGAAGGAACCGAGAGAGATTCTCATGTGCATGTGTGTGTGTGTATGTGTGTGTATGTGTGTGTGGGTGTGTGTGTGTGCGTGTGTGTGTGCGTGTGTGTGTGTGTGTGCATGTGTGTGTGTGTGTGTGTGTGTGTGTGTGTGTGTGTGTGTGTGTGCGCGCGTGTGTGTGCGCGCCCTGGAGATCGTGCTCGCCACAAATGTGTGCTTGAGCGGGCCAAGCCGATTGCTGAGCAGCGAGGGGCTTGCCACTGTGGAGATTGTGGGCGTTGGTTTCGAAGCAAGGGTGGTCTAGCTGTTCACCGCTGTTCCGCACCTCAGCCTCAGTCTCCTGAGCCCTGCCTAGTCTATGTACAGGATGCCTGCTGTGCTGCGCACTGTGCTGTGTGTGCCCGCTGCTTTCGGACTGCCCAAGGCCGTGGTCGTCACCCGTGCTCGTGGACTGGCCCCGCCCAACTGTCCAGTAGCGTAATTCGTTCTGTCATGTATGCGTGTGTTCTCGCCGGTTCCGTTTGCTCCACCATCTCTGGCATCATCAGGCTGCGTGCTCCATCTTCCTCTCTGATGCCCCTCCAGGGCCCACATGACCCCTGCGGCAGTCACTCTTCAGGACAGGACAGGACAGGTGTGTGTGTGTGTGTGTTTGAGTGTGTGGGTGTGTGTTTGTGCTAGATCCACAAAACATGCCTGAGAGAAGCGTGGTGGGGGTCGTGTTGAGATCAAGACCTTCAAGGCTCGTCAGAGCAGCCTGGCCTCGCCACCACTTCTCTCATATATTCGGGAATATAGTGGACTTTCGTTGAAAAAAATAAAACAAATTCACTCATACAGCCATGTCGAGGACTTACAATGAACGTAATCTTCTTGTATGCCAAAGCAAACGATCGGGTAATTGGGTCAGTAAGTTGTTCTCCAACCGCCTGAGCAATGCACATACATACGTACACAAAAGAAATTTCCAGAATGGTGCAGGCAATACGAGGTTTTAACCCTTGTGATGCTGCTCAGTTTCACCTGCTGCCTATTCTTCATTGACGTGGCGAGCGACACCATTCGTCCTTTCACTAACACAGTACAAAACATGATAGAAAGTAGAAGAGAACTGTTGCACGTATACTCTCATTGAACACACTTGAGAGGGATGAAAAGCGTTTCTTCTGTAACTCTGAGTTTCACGGTTTTAACCGATCATTAGACAGCAACTTGACTACAATTCTCAGAAGATAAGATTGATATAGGCTGCAAGCTACTCTGATTAAATTAATTTTCGAAAAAGAAAAAAAGGACCAAGGAACTGCAAGTTATGCTATTATATGCACTAACACCAACACTTACTAAACAAACAATTGAAACATAAATTCATCTGATTGGAGGGAGAAATTCGAAAGGGGAAAATCTGAAGAAAAATTGACTTTCACCACCGGGACTCGAACCGGGATCTTCGCTTCAGCCTCAGGCCAGCGACGCTCTAACCACTGAGCTATGGTGTAGCTGTAATCCGAGCAGAGACTGGATAAGCAAGAAACTTACAGGTGTTTTAGTTTCTTTAACGGATCAAACAGTCCCTGTGGCAGCGAACGTAGTTTGTTATTTCCTAATGACCTGAAAGGGGAATAGTGAGCAGACACACACACACACACACACACACACACACACACACACACACACACACACACACACACACACACACACACACACACACATACACACACACACACACACACACACACACACACACATACACACACACACACACACACACACACACACACATACACACATACACACTCACACATATATAAACACACACATATATACATACACACACACACATACACACACACACGGCTTTTCTCAGCCTTTCCCCCCCACTTTTCACGACCACCTCACCAACACATAGCTCCCACACTTCCGAAGATGAAACCGATTACATGTACTAGTATGACCAACGCACTGCATCATCCACTCCACTCCACGCTATCACTGCATCATCCACTCCACTCCACGCTATCACTGCATCATCCACTTCACTCCACTCTATCACTGCATCATCCACTCCACTCCACGCTATCACTGCATCATCCACTCCACGCTATCACTGCATCATCCACTTCACTCCACTCTATCACTGCATCATCCACTCCACTCCACGCTATCACTGCATCATCCACTCCACTCTATCACTGCATCATCCACTCCACTCCACTCTATCACTGCATCATCCACTTCACTCACTGCATCATCCACTCCACTATATCATCCACTCCACTCACTGCATTATCCACTCCACTCTATCACTCTATCAGAGGTCTTCAGTTGAGACTGACAGCTGCCTGGATGATACGCCCCGGTCATGATGGCAGCAGGTGTGGCAGCAGGGGTGACAGCAGAGGTGGCAGTAGGGGTGGCAGTAGGGGTGGCAGTAGGGGTGGCAGTATGGGGTGGCAGCAGGGGTGGCGGTATGGTTGGCAGCAGGGGTGGCAATAGGGCGGCAGTAGGGGTGGCAGTAAGGGTGGCAGAAGGGGTGGCAGTAGGGGTGGCATTAGGGGTGGCAGTAGGGGTGGCAGCAGGGGTGGCAGTAGGGGTGGCAGTAGGGGTGGCAGCAGGGGTGGCAGTAGGGGTGGCAGTAGGGGTGGCAGCAGGGGTGGCAGCACACTTCAATGAGATATTTCTTTAATGTTAACAAAGGGTCACTTACAGGCGACCTAAAAGTGCCTGGTTTTTGAACAGTGCCCCCGGTAGCTGCGACAGCTCGTTATATTCCAAATGCCTGAAAAGAGACAAGGCAAGCAGGTACATGTTTTTAGAACTCAAATGTTGAGTGAAGGAAAACAATTGTTACATGGAGAATGTGGGCACGGTTTATGAATTCAAGTCGTGCTAACCCGCTAAGTGCCAAATTCAAGAGGATGGAGATTTTCAGCTCTGTGTAATAACACATTCTAGGAGCAGTGCACGCAAAATTTCACTTTCAAAATTGACTAGCACCATTTCAAACTGGAACTCAGATATGGATATAGATAGAAAACCGCACATAACAGGAATCCGCTTTGATCAGTATCCGACAAGTGTTGAAATGGATATAGCGAGTTTTGTATTCCAGCTCTTCAACTCTACTTGGGAGGCAGCAACACGTTAGGGTGCAAGTTTCAGATGGACGGACCTGTTTCCGTATGGGAAACGATGACATTATAAGAAGATGTGCAGGACTTATATGCTGGCTGTGCTGGCCTTCGGATCTTGTCACTTTTCAGTTCAGCCCAACACAGTGTGTCTATGGGTCTGCTACAATCCATTCTTCGGAAACAGTCCCGCTGGCTTTTGAAATTCCCATTTGGACAGAATTGAGGATCAAAAACCCACTTTTAATCTAAAAAATCTGGGTTTGTGATCTGCTTCTCCATACATTTTGCCATGGTGTACCTGTCCCAATTTTGTAAAACCTGGCTGAATTTCTGTTTCCCTGTTCTTGGACTTTTCTGGCCTCGAATGTGGCAAGGAGTTATTGCACGGGTCACACAATGCAGAATGTAATGTTGTTTTCATGATATCTATAACTATGTGCGGGATACACCAAAACGTTAGGGTGCCAGTTTTCACTGAATGCCAGGCCTGTAGATGTGCAGAATCAGTATTACATACATATTACATACATGGATAAGAACAGTTCCTGTTATGGCAACCAAGAATTGGATAGAGTCTTTTTCTTCAGACTCTTCGCGTTTTGTTCATTTTTTGGAATGAGATTTTGTGTCATAATATTATGTAAGCACATTTGCTTCGCCCGTACAAGAGGCTTTTCATGATAACAACCTAGTTAGAAGTGAGAGAAGTCAGCAAGCCTGTATTCAGTGCAGTCATGGCGTCAGACGAAATTACTGGTCAGTCGGCGACACGCATTTTTCACAAAAATTTGCGTTTCACCTGCTGGGAGAGTATGCGTGTACTCGAGTCTCATCCTGAGCACGTTTTTTTCTTCTTTTTTTCAGCTCCAGTATAGCTGTATTTTTCATTGCAAAGCCGTCCTCGATTGTTGTGTTCGTTGTTCAAACGAAGTGGACATTCAATCCTGAAGGCAGAGGACATAAGAGCCTGATTGGAGTTTCTCGTGGCATAGGACGGCCACACAGAGACACTTTGGGATTTTCTGAATATAAAATACCGTACGCACGATGCTGAGATCAATTTGTGCGATATCAAATTGTTTGTGATCTACCACATCGAGCAGAACGGGATCCAAACACAAGCTTATCGACGGTTAGGCTGCCGACCTGACTGGACAAATGATCCCTGGCTTCACCAGACGCCAGAAGTCGGACACCATGTCCTTTGCCGCGACGTCCATCTCCAAAAAGAACTCCATCTTCGTCGTGAAAAGGCTTGAAATACTCAATATTCAACCGAGATTCGCGGTCTCACCCTTTCTCAGATCGAATCATTTTTTGTTGTAGCAATTGCAGGGCAAATCCCCGCCACTACTTCAACAGAAGATGGCTCCAAAGCATGCCTGGAACGAGCCATATCGAGGTTGCAAGCCACCCCTCTCAGCACTTTTTTTGAAGAAATTCGAAATTTCAATGGTGGAAGATATACTATGAAGAGAATTTCAAAAGTATGTTTCGCGGAGCGATCGCTCAACCTACGTCATTCAAACTTTGCAGGATGGTTCAGACGTACATGCTAGGCATGGAACCACAGAAGATGATATCATAGCTGACACACAGAGGCACACACACAGCAGATTCGTGTGCACAGATACTAAATTAGTGGACGTCGTCATCTTCTTCCCGCTGATCTCAAATGTACTATGACGTCCTGTTTCGCCTGACGGTGAGGACGAGAGCAATAATACATTTTTGACTTACAGATGCTTCAAACCTCGCTGGTTTTCAAGCAAATCCTCCGGAACTTGCGTCAAGATATTATTTGCCAAAGACCTAAATCCAGGAAAAAGGGGGTAAATAGTACAAAATACATATTCAGAACTCTGGTGGCGAGCCAATGTGTTCAAGGAAAAAAGGAAGGGCAACATGATAGAAAGCAAGAAGAATCCTCCACCGATAGCCCCAGATCCCATGCAGGCAGAAAGTTTGTAAATCATCACCGCGACAGTGAAGGGGCGTTGGACACGCTACAGTCACTACGGTATTGACCGTACCACTCTCTGCCCCGGATACCCCGTAACTCACTAAAATACACTGATTTGGGCTCTAAATTTCCAGAATTTTCGGCTCAGCCACCCCTCCCCCCCCCCCACGAGTATATTGTACTTCAGATGGCTGACCGTACCACACTAAAATACCTTCTGACGCCCTTCAGGGACAGTCAGAACTGAGACATTGCATAACCTGACACCCTGGCTCCAAACCATCTACAAGGCACAAACCAAGAATCTTCCAACTTTGAAAGCTCAGGAAGAGAAAAGGTCCAATGAGGACTAATTGTATTGGAGCTAGGTGCCAGGTGGTTGAATGCATCAGTGTTGACTGGCTGGCAGTTCTGCACCCTGTTGTTGCACTCTCTCTCTTTCTCCCCCCCCCCCCCTCTCTCTCTCTCTCTCTCTCTCTCTCTCCTTTTCCCATTAGTCCTAAGCCCTACTTTTGATCTAACTCCCCACTCTCTTACCTATCACTGGCCACAGTATTAGTAAAAGAAGAAGAAATAATAATACACAGAGGCAATATGCTTTGGTTCTGCAAGAGTGCTCAATGCCTGATTCAGGCAGAGCGGCGTACACAAAGGCACACAATGAACACCTTGGCAAATTTATTCCGTTGTGACTCAGGCTGAGTCACAACGGAATAAGTTTGCCAAGGTTTTCATTGTGTGCCTTTGTGAAGAAATGATAATAATATAATGTACACAGTATTAAAGTCAACAAGCATTTGGCGCATATCTATGTTTGGCTATTTTCCGCCTTGTCATTTTGGACTAAAATTGTTGCGACTGAAATTTTGCTTTCCAAGGTTCCGTCACTTCAGTATGACAGTGCAAACATGCAGCAGCCATGCACGCTGAAATGTTAATGCGGCCGAGACGTGTTTTAGCCCAAGGAGGCTGAAAGTTAGACGAGCCAAAAATGTGTAGACTTACGGTAGTGAGAATAAAGATTAGAAGCGTGTGCTCGTCACGCGAAATTACGCATCTATGAGCGACATCCACAGAGCCTACTGGGAGAGTAAGCGTGTACTCGAGTCTCATCCTGAGCACCTTTTTTATTCTTTTTTTTCCAGCTCCAATATAGCTGTATTTTTCATATCAAAGCCGTCCTCGATTTTTGTGTTCGTTGTTCAAACGAAGTGGACATTCAATCAAGACGGCAAAGGACATAAGAGCCTCGTTGGAGTTTCTCATGCCTTAGAACGGCCACACAGAGACACTTTGCGATTTTCTGAAGATAAAATACCCCACGCAAGATGCAGACTTCAATTTGTGCGATATCAAAATTGTTTGTGATCTACCACATCGAGCAGAACGGGATCCAAACACAAGCTTACCGACGGTTAGGCTGCCGACCTGACTGGACAAATGATCCCTGGCTTCACCAGATGCCAGAAGTCGGAAACCATGTCCTTTGCCAAAAACAACTCCATCCTCGTCTAAAAAGGTTTAAAAGGCTCAATGTTCAACCGAGATTCGCGGTCTCACGCTTCCTCAGATCGAATCGTTTTTTGTTTATAGCAGTTGCAGGGCAGATCCCCTCCACTACTTCAACAGGGTTTCGCTTCACAGTGTGCCTGGAACAAGCCATATCGAGGTTGCAAGCCAACCCTCTCAGGAAGAAATTCGAAATTTCAATGGTGGAAGATATACTATGAAGAGAATTTCAAAAAGTAAGGTTCGCGGCGCGATCGTTCAACCTACATCATTCAAACTTTGCGGGATGGTTCTGACCTACATGCTAGGCATGAAACCACAGGGTTTGATGCCATAGCTGACACACAGAGTCACACACACAACACATTCGGGTGCACAGATACTAAATTAGTGGACGTCGTCATCTTCTTCCCGCTTGCCTCCAATGTGCTATGATGTGCTATTTCGCCTGACGCCAGTGTTCCCTACTTCGTCCTCTGCTGTTTATCCTCTATGTCTTTGGTGTGGCAGCTGAACTGCAACTGCATGGTGTGCGGACAGTTCAGTTTGCAGATGACATCATGCTCTATATTAGTAGCAGGGATGAACATCAGCTGGAACATAGTATGTCTTCTGCAGTTACGCACCTAGCTAGATGGCTTGCCAGCAGGAACCTGGTACTAAAAGAGCGTAAAACCCAGATTTTGTTCATCCCTGCCCATCGTACTGTGAATCCTTGTGTCAGCGTTACGTGCTCTGGAGTTCAACTGGCACAAGTAGAATCTGCTAAGTGTCTTGGTGTCCAAATGGAACAAGACCTCAAGTGGACCACCAAGGTCAACCAGATCGCCCAGTGAGCTGCCTGTAAAATAGCCGTCCTGCTCAGAAACATGCCCCTTCCGTGCCGCATCACATACCTGAAGTCCCTTATACTTCCTGACTTCCTGTATGCTAGCAACTGTTTCTCTGCTGGCCTCAACTCACATCAGCTCGAGCGCCTAGAGCGTCTACTCAAGCGTGCAGTCCGCTGTGTTTTCAACGCTCCATTTGCATCCACATCTGCACCACTGCATTGCCAATTGTGCTTGCACTCGCTAGAAGTTATGTACTGCCACAAGCTCCTTGGCTACACTTGGCGCTGCCTTCAGGGTAAATGCAGCACATTGATTGCCGATATGTTCAGTCCTCTCAATGCCGGCCATGCTAAATGTAGTCAGGGATATCGAGCACTTAAATTTCCAGTCACTAAGACATCCGCTGGCACACACTCTGCCTCATTCCAATGTGTATCACTGTGGAACAGGCTCCAGCCCAACATCAGGAAAATCCCACAGTACCACCGATTCATGCGATCCCTTCCAGCACATGCTGGTTTTCAGTAAAGCCACTGCCCGCTTTTGTTTCTTTTTTTCTACAAAATCCACATATCTCCAGACACTGGGGTGAATGATGGAGTGGCTGTAGTATCATTTCCTTTCCTGGCCTAACTGGCTTTTAATAGTTTATTACCCACTCTACTCAGTATCATTACCCACTCTATTCAGTATCATTACCCACTCTACTCAGTATCATTACCCACTCTACTCAGTATCATTACCCACTCTACTCAGTATCATTACCCACTCTACTCAGTATCATTACCCACTCTACTCAGTATCATTACCCACTCTATTCAGTATCATTACCCACTCTACTCAGTATCATTACCCACTCTACTCAGTATCATTACCCACTCTACTCAGTATCATTACCCACTCTATTCAGTATCATTACCCACTCTACTCAGTATCATTACCCACTCTACTCAGTATCATTACCCACTCTACTCAGTATCATTACCCACTCTACTCAGTATCATTACCCACTCTACTCAGTATCATTACCCACTCTACTCAGTATCATTACCCACTCTACTCAGTATCATTACCCACTCTACTCAGTATCATTACCCACTCTACTCAGTATCATTACCCACTCTACTCAGTATCATTACCCACTCTACTCAGTATCATTACCCACTCTACTCAGTATCATTACCCACTCTACTCAGTATCATTACCCACTCTACTCAGTATCATTACCCACTCTACTCAGTATCATTACCCACTCTACTCAGTATCATTACCCACTCTACTCAGTATCATTACCCACTCTACTCAGTATCATTACCCACTCTACTCAGTATCATTACCCACTCTACTCAGTATCATTACCCACTCTACTCAGTATCATTACCCACTCTACTCAGTATCATTACCCACTCTACTCAGTATCATTACCCACTCTACTCAGTATCATTACCCACTCTACTCAGTATCATTACCCACTCTACTCAGTATCATTACCCACTCTACTCAGTATCATTACCCACTCTACTCAGTATCATTACCCACTCTACTCAGTATCATTACCCACTCTACTCAGTAGCATTACCCACTCTACTCAGTATCATTACCCACTCTACTCAGTATCATTACCCACTCTACTCAGTATCATTACCCACTCTACTCAGTATCATTACCCACTCTACTCAGTATCATTACCCACTCTACTCAGTATCATTACCCACTCTACTCAGTATCATTACCCACTCTACTCAGTATCATTACCCACTCTACTCAGTATCATTACCCACTCTACTCAGTATCATTACCCACTCTACTCAGTATCATTACCCACTCTACTCAGTATCATTACCCACTCTACTCAGTATCATTACCCACTCTACTCAGTATCATTACCCACTCTACTCAGTATCATTACCCACTCTACTCAGTATCATTACCCACTCTACTCAGTATCATTACCCACTCTACTCAGTATCATTACCCACTCTACTCAGTATCATTACCCACTCTACTCAGTATCATTACCCACTCTACTCAGTATCATTACCCACTCTACTCAGTATCATTACCCACTCTACTCAGTATCATTACCCACTCTACTCAGTATCATTACCCACTCTACTCAGTATCATTACCCACTCTACTCAGTATCATTACCCACTCTACTCAGTATCATTACCCACTCTACTCAGTATCATTACCCACTCTACTCAGTATCATTACCCACTCTACTCAGTATCATTACCTTCACTGGCTTTTGTACTTTATTCTCCTTTTTAGTCGATATCATGTAATTAGGCAAATTTGCCTGTTTGTTCTTCGACTCTAAATAAAAATACAACAATAAACAACAAGCAGGTGCTGAAGTGCATTGTACCGGACTTACAGGTTAGTCAATGGTGTGAGGCGTTGAAGGGCTCCTGCAGACACGCCTGTCAACATATTGCCAGCCAGGGATATGTGTCTGGATGCAGCGGAGCAGTCAAAAGCAATACTCAAACATTAGGTGCGCCTCCAAAGGTTTGTCAATTGTGTGCTGTGATGCGCCATATACACTCGAATCCTGATACCGTAAGACCAGTACTATAAGTCAACAAATATTTGGCGCATATTTGTTTTCGGCTATTTTTGGCCTCGTCATGCTGGGCCGAAAACATGGAATGCGAAATACAACACTATAAGTCAACACATATTTGGCGCATATTTGTTTTCAGCTATTTTTGGCCTCGTCATGTTGGGCTGAAAACATGGAATGCGAAATACAACATACACCTGACTTCACCGCAGACAAATTTGCCTTTATGAACCCTCTAGTACTGACTACCGTCTGCATTTTTGCTGAATGGCATGAAAAAACAGAAAAAATTGGACAATGATAAGAGGCCGACAAATTTCACATGGGGGGGGGGGGGTGCTGCGCCCCCTACTCCCTTTGGCTAGAACCCTGCTGTTCGTTCGGAATGACAAACGAAGACTTACTTCAAGGTACTTGCAAGACACGTTTCGATAATTCCGTCCATACATGTGCAGGGTCCACAGTCAGGTACGGCATAACAAGGTGCACACCATGCTACTAGCAGGAACACCATAGCAACGGACATCACCTGACATTGGCCAAACAACACAGACGCAAAGATGAAAACCAAGGAAATCGTTAAAAATGTTCTGTGATGATCACATGAGATATTTAGAATGTGTATAAGGGTGCTTTCTTAAATCTTCTCAGAAGTGTTCGTGACTCTCGGGAAAGTTCGAGAAGTGTTCCCATAACCTCTCTGACATTTAGCTCCTCCATCGCGTCTTGAATGCGCAATCTCTTTGAGGAGACTCTCCAAAGCTGTCCAAACTATCCGTACTTCAGAGGTGGTTGAAACTTGGGGATTCCCGCGGTTTGGGGTGAGCACATGGGAACTCTTGCAAAAGCCACGCGTTGACCATGAGTGTACGCAATTCTGTTTTCGAATACATTCGTGTCACTCAAGACCGTGGCCTCGTTGGCACTTCACACGTGCAACACATCTCCGAATTCTTCGAGATCCGTTTCTAAATTATCCCAGTTTCTTCGACTTCCATAAGAAATGTCTCCGAGACGCTAGAGAAAAAAAAGAACGCACCCTAACCATGTCATGGCTAGTCACATGAGATATGTAAAATGTGTGTCACCATGACAACTATAGTGTGCTGTTAACAGTCGTAGAGCACGCGTGACGTTCTGACACGTCATGACCACTGCCACTGTGACACGCGTGACGTTCTAGAACGTCACGAGTCAGTACGGAACTACGGTAAAAAAATGCGAGTCGCTCCGTAAGTTTGAACTGTGGTTACATGCGTGGGCATACATTTCAAAATATCAAATTCGCGTATAACTACCTTTCTGAAAACGGTCATAACGTTTTGTAATTTGTGTTGTATTTCCAAAACAAAAACAGTTCTGTGCTCAGGATACATGAAAGAATCGTTTGAAATCAAGTTTGCTCACATAGAATGAATTTAACATTTTTACTGCATGGCAGAGGTTTTCAATGGGCCCTGGCTCAAAAGGTTAACAGTCGTAGAGCGTTACTCAACATTTCCTAGACTGAGGAGCTTGTGCACAAGCAATTGGTTAGCCGCTCTCATTGTGAAAAATCCATTTTGAATTTTGATAGACCAAGAGAGGTACATATTTTATGGTTCTCGGCAAGCACACGAAGATGGATCGACGAGGTTCTCAAGCACACTTACTACAGGTCTACTCACCATATAACGTAATTTCTGGGACCACGCACAAATTATGTTACATAGAGAGTTACGTTATGCAGAAAGCCGTCTGTAAGATGCAATATGTACCTCAAAATGAAGGGTATTACAAGGCGGATTTAACCATGCGAACATACACACACTGTACAACCATCTGTATCAGATACCATCAATGCCGCAGAATATTATACACAATAGGACTAAACTGGCTAGCGATGGCTACAGCTCGATCGTACAGCGCACGTGAATCTACGTTGTATCCAGAGTGCGCACGTCGGGGACCGCACCCTAGCGTGCGTTATACCGAGGTTTACGGTATGTAGGACTAAACTGGCCTAAGCTGGCTAGCTACAGCTACCGTTTGATCATACCATGCTCGTCAATGTACGTTGTATCGAGAGTGCGCACGTCGGGGACGGCGCCGTAGCGTGTGTTATGTCGAGGTTTACGTTATGTAGGATTACGTCGTGTAGAACAAAATGTGTATGGGAGTGATCCTGTTTAGGCGCGGGATTTGATTTTGTTACGTACTAGCGAGGTTTATGTGCAAGTGAGAGTTGTTATATCGAGAGCAGACCTGTACAAAGATTGAACCTGATTCGAGAGAGAGAGAGATGCTTCGAGAGAGAGAGAACGACTAAGGGGGAAACACGAGGCTATAAAGGGCCTGGGTAGCTATGGCACAGAATGTATGCGATATAGCCAATGTAGCTACCCACGCCAACGGATAAAACGGGAATGCGGGAATTTGTGCGGGGCGAGTGCTACAGCATGAAGTTAGTAGTATAGTATGAGAAGCGGAAAGAGATGCATGCCGTGTACGTGCATATATGGGAGAGAAGGCCTGCAAAAGGTGCATGCAGTAATTCGTGTGTGAGTGAGTGTGCACTGTGCACTGTGCACATGCATATATGGAAGACAGGCCATTAGAGTGTGAGTGCGTGCGTATACAGAATCGTGAGCATAACAATACGACAAAAATAATGTTGCAACCCCGGGCCCCCCAACACACACACACACACACACACACACACACACACACACACACACACACACACACAGTGACACACACACAGAGTTACAGTCTAGTTCCATTGTAAACAAAGATAGAATTTTTTTTAAACCCGGATGTTCAGCTTATAGTAATACTGTGACTTAAGTCAACAAATATTCGGCGCGTATTTATTTTCGGCTCTTTTCGGCCTTCTCGTGTTTGGCCGAAAATCTGTTGCGGCCGAAGTTTTGTTTTGCAAGGTTCAGTGTGACAGTGTGTGTATACAGGCGGCAGCAGTACAGGCCGAACATTTGATGTGGCCAAAATGGGTTTTAGCCCTTGAGAGGCCGAAAGTCGAATGGGCTGAAAATTTGTAGACTTATAGTATGTAGTATGTAAAGAGAAAAAAAGTTACTAATGTAAAGCGTGAAATTTTCGCTGCGTTTTTAGTTCGCGTTTTCAGAATCCGGACCGGTTTGAGAGGTTTTAATGTTGCGATTGCAGAATGGCATTCTTGCTAAACCTTTCATGGATCTCCTTTTCGCGCTGTCTAAATTTCGCGATTTCCACGCGGTCGCGCATTTCGCAGAAATTAGACCATGGCAATAATTTCACAGTTTACAGTAATTATAACTAATCGTCCACCAAGGTAACGAGATTATAATTATACAGTGAGATAGTGTGACAACAAGGCACAAAACTGGCAAGGATATTGAGACATTCGACCACCTGACACCGTGTTGGTTATTCGTTTGCGCTTCGTAGATGTGTTGGAAGTTGGCACTAGATGTCAGATCATTGAATAAATCAATATTTTTGTCAGTTTTGTGCCTTGTTGTCGCACTATCTGACTGTATATTATCTCGTTACCTTGGTGGACGGTTAGTCATAACTAATAACTTATACGTCATGTCTCTTTACGTAGAATATTTTACGATGTAAGTGGATTTCATTTTCCCTGCTTGCAGGCCCATGCTATCTCCACACTTAGGCTATAGGCACCATGACTACAAAGTGAAGGCTATATTTATGACAAGACGACGGAAACAGAACTGGACAAGACGAACTTAGGGGTTGTGGCAAAAGTTTTCTGTCGTCCCTGAAACGAACATCGTGCATGTCGTACTCGGACCCCTCCCTCTGAAGCGAACACAGCTTGCTATGCTGGGTGATGAAAATCGCATGCAGTCGGTCGACTTGCAATTTTTAGCTCGCACCCCTGTCCCCCCCCCCCGAATAAATCATGTTCGTTTCAGGGACGACAAAAAAGTTTTGCACCGACCCCTTAGGGCGAAGACCGCTCCCCCTGTCCCCCCCCCCCCCAAATAAATCATGTTCGTTTCAGGGACGACAAAAAGGTTTTGCACCGACCCCTTAGGGCGAAGACCGCTTTTCGCACAACAGCCACACGCGAATGCACCAACGCCATGTACACGTGACGTACAGAAAATTACATACTACAAAATTGATGCTTTTCCAGGCGCTTCGCAGTCCTGAACACCATTGTCAGTGGATGAAGATGATGATGGTGCTTGAAGACGAAGCTGTTTAGAAAGACGAAACCTCTGGAAACATTTCTATTGACTGATGGCGTGCGCATTCAAGACGCGATGGAGCGAAACGTCCGGTCGTTAAATCGGTCAGTGCCACGGCAGTCATTGTTTTTTTTGTTTTTTTATTTTATTGAAAACCACAAACCTTCAGACATGTGAATGTGCACATGATAATACAGTGTACATACGTATGTATCGAGAAGGCAGCGCGGAAACGGCAGTGGATTGTAGTGCTAACAGCATCCCTTTGTGACTCATTAACATCATGCTGATAATCACCACTGCCCCCGGGGTGTACCAGGTGTTAGCGGCCGTTGTGAGCCCCCTTTGGAACGGACACGATAATTTACTTTAGTTAACTTATAAATACCGTCCTTGGTTTAGTTTTTAAAAAAAGATGCACACTGTATCCCAGCCCTCTCTCCCATATTATAGGCACGCACACTGCATATACCTCTTTTTTTCCGCTTCCCGCTTCTCCATACTCTGGTACTCCAACTTCTTGCTCTAGCAACCACATGATCTTGCTAAGGCATGAGCCCTATGTCCGCAGCACTGAGCTGTCCAGAAATTATTATTATTATTAGATTTTGAATAGGGCAATCCCCACAGGCCTAGGGCCTTCTTTCAGGGTACCCTATGTGTGGAGCCATGGGCGTTAGAATAAAGGCTAGGAGATGTGCTGAGCAGTCACGGAACGCGCTAATGCCTACTCCTGTACCACAAATCGCTGCAAACTCTGTATAGCCATGAAGTATCACACCCTGGCATCACACTGCAGGGTCTCCCTCAACAAATGCACCGAGACCGTACTGAAATATACACACGCTGCGAAGTTCCTGCTCAGCAAATACGAAGGTGTGACCTAATACGTCTCACTTAGCCCGCTGAATTCACACTTGATATTCCCCGCTCCTCCTTTGTCTCGCACACATACGTCTTAGGTTCTGTGGCGTGATGATCCGATATTGCCCGGTCAAGCAATATCAGATGTCTGACGATTGGCTATCATTTGTTTTGTTGGCTTGAAACTACTACTAGTTACAGCAAATATGAGCGGTGATTTCGTGGTATATTACTCACGTGTAGCCACGAGTTCTTCATGATGCCGCTTTCCGTTACTACTACTACTACTACTACTACTACTACTACTACTACTACTACTACTACTACTACTACTACTACTACTACTACTACTACTACTACTACTAGCAGCTCCCAAAGTCCAAACTGTCCAGGTAAACTGATGCTGTCTCCGGCTGTCAAGACTATTTCATTCGACTGCTCGACGTGCTTATCTCTCCATCAACAGCAA